CTGTGAGAATGACATTTTGTTTTAAATATTATCAATTAGGTTTTCAACCTAAGGAATTGGAAGATCCTTCATGATGTCGGAGGGGAAACAATTTCCAGGTCACAGGAACAGCACTCAATGAGCGTGCACAGGTAGGAAGGTAGACGGGCTGAATGAAATGATTGGCTGAGCTTATTACCTGCAACAGTCCCAGATACCAGACTTCTGTTTCAAAGGCTTTAATTTAATGATTGTTGTTGGGATGCAAACAAAAATGCTTCTGAAACACATTGCCTACTCTAGCTTTCACACACAGCATATAAATGAGTAATCACACATTTAATTTAATAAGTCATGAACAATAAAGTTTGATATCTGTGAGTCAGTTGAGTCTGTTGATCACTCTGGTTTTGATTTCATACACAACACTAATGTAAATGTTTTCCCCAATTCATTTCAATTACAAGATGAAGATAGATAAAAAAAAATACTATGGGGAGAAAACAAAGACACAAAGAAACGAGTATGACCAAAATCTACATTAATGTCTACTAATTTATCTGCAGTCACATCAGGATTTTTCTTGAAACTGTACTTTAGTACAATTTTAAAGGTACTTTGGCTTTTGCAGAGTTCTTAGGGTGCCCAGACTTTTCATGACAAAATTATTTTTGTTCAGTGTATGAAAGAAAATGTAACTATGTATGAATGTGTGCCCTGAGAGGCTGTGGTGTTTACATCAGAATCAGAATCACTTTATTGGCCAGATTTCTGCACATATACAAGTAATTTGACTCCGGTTTTACGTTGCTCTCAATGTACAAACGCAGAATAAACATAAATAAACAGAACAACAAGTTCAACAAAATAAACATAGACTTATATGTACAAATATAAACAAACAAAAAACAATTACATTTGTATACAATAGTGCAAAGGATTCTGAAATAAATATTTTATGTGCAGGTTTCTTTAAGTACATGAGGTATGTGGGCATGGCAGAATATACAGTACAAAAATGGAAAAATAAATAATAAATAGTTTCCAGATTCAGTGGATATTAGAGTCCTAGGGTTATTATACAGGGTTATTAACTGTTGGTCAGTGTGATGTCATGTAGGTCGAAACTGTTCCTGTGTCTGTTTGTTTTGATGTACAGCGCTCTGTAGCGCCTACCAGAGGGGAGGAGTTGGAACAGTACTTTGATATCCTTCAACCTCCAATTAATCCTCTGGACAAGTTCAGGATCTGGTACAGAGTTTAAAGTTTGCTTAAATACAGTTCAGATCCCAAACTTAAAATCTCTTTGGGTCCCTACAGCGGCCATATAATCTACACTGGCCACAAGTTCTTCATATGCCAGGCTGTAGAGATCAGGTAATTGAAGTGCTGGCCCTGTGGAAACCTGGGCCACAAAGCCAAATACTGTGAGGGTGAGAGTGAGCGATCCCTTTGTGGTCAGAAAGGCCACACTTAGTGTCCATTATCTTTATCCAACAAGTCCAACAAGGTTAATCCTCCCATGATCCAGTCAGACACAGTTCAGGTTCACCCTCCTGTAACCTGTCACCATGGTCCTGCTCCTCTTCCTGCCCCTGCTCAGTATACAAATAAAATTAAATTTAATTAAAATCCGATTGGGGGAATTACTGAAAAGCTAAATTAAAGATTTCTTCAGATTTAAATGTTTAGAAATTAAATCAGATGAAAGATAAAAGAATAAAATTATATAATTATTTATTATTATTAGTAGTAGTAGTAATTATATACCTATACATACATTTCTATTCTGTATATTGTGTTAAATATTGTAATATAAGTATTATCTCTATTCTTTTCTATATGTGAGTACAATAATAATAATAATAATAACTGTAACAAAATTTCCGCCCTGGGATCAATAAAGTTCTGATTCTAATTCTGAAATTATTATCATCATTATAAGTTATTATTCTTCCTCATTATTAAGGCTGTAATAATAATAATTATTATTATTATTATTAGGACATTGCTGAAAGAGAATTTCTGTACAAAAGCAAACAATATAGTGGTTTTGTCTCTATAGAGCGTGGTGATTATCTGAAAAAAACAAAACACAAATCAATCTACAGCCATCAGCAGAAATACTCTCTGGGTAGGAAACCTTTTAATGTGGAGGAAAAGAGGCAAAACAACACATAGCCCTTACTACATATAAAAAAAACTTCCCTCTCACCCTCTTGGGGTGGTATCTGTGTCATCCTCAAGCTCGGGTCCTCTACCAGAGGCCTGGGAGTTTGAGGGTTCTCCGCAGTATCTTAGCTGTTCCTCGGACTGCGTTCTTCTGGACTGAGGCTTCTGATGTTGTTCCTGGGATCTGTTGGAGCCACTCCCCCAGTTTGGGGGTCACTGCCCCCAGTGCTCCTACTACCACGGGGATCACGCTCGCCTTGACCTTCCACATCTGCTCCAGCTGTTCTTTCAACCCTTGGTACTTTTCAACCTTTTCGTGTTCCTTCTTTCTGATGTTGGCGTCTGCTGGTATGGCCACATCTATCACCACCGCTTTCTTCTGCTCCTTGTCTACCACCACTATGTCTGGTTGGTTAGCCAGGACCTGTTTGTCTGTCTGGAAGATGAAGTCCCACAGCACCTTGGCCCTGTTGTTCTCAGCCACCTTCTGTGGTGCGGCCCATTGGGATTTGGGTACTTCTATTCCATACTGGGTACAGATGTTCCTGTACACTATTCCAGCCACTTGGTTGTGTCTCTCAATGTACGCTGAACCGGCTAGCATCTTACACCCTGCTATGATGTGCTGGACTGTCTCAGGGGCATCTTTTGCATAGTCTGCACCTTGGGTCAGATCTACTCTTGTAGACTCTTGTATCTAGGGCCTGTTCTTGTGCTGCCATGATCAGTGCCTCTGTGCTGTCCACGAGTCCAGCCTTTTCCAGCCATTGGTAGGTCTTCTCGATATCAGCCACTTCTTCAATTTGGCGGTGGTACATGCCATGTAGGGGCATGTCTCTCCAGGTTGTCTGCTCCTCTTCCTCTGCACTCTTATCGGGTTTCTGTTGCCTGAGACATTCACTTAGCAGTTCATCCTTGGTGGCCATTTTACTGATGTACTCTTGGATTTTTGATGTTTCATCCTGGATAGTGGCCTTGATGCTCACTAGTCCTCGGCCTCCCTCTTTCCACTTAGCTTTAGTAAGCAGACATTTCCACTAACAACCAAACAAACAGTGTGTAAACTGTGTTTGGGGAACAACCAGAGAAGTAACAAAAAGAGTTTTACAAGAGTAAAGAATTTGGGGGGTTAGGGGTTGTAGATCTAAGTATCCGTTTAACAATTGTTTTTTGTTAAAAATGTCCCTGCCGCCATTTCCAGAGGAGCTCCCTGGGTTGCAGACCTCTCTGAGTGGGAAAAGAGACGAGAGCAAGATAAGGCCTTTATTATACATTTTGTGTCAGAACAGAAGCATCTCCAAATAAATTGGTGTCATCTTACTAGTAAAAGTATATTTAAAAATAACAATTTTGTTGGAGGGTTTATTGAATATAGCTGATGGAGAAGGTACAGAGGTTACAAACAAAAACAGAGAGGTCCGTTGTCTTATCTCTGTTAGCAGACGTCCTGTGAGAGCTGTAGTCTCATGGAGCTGCTTTATTAAAACTAATAAATGTCCCATGATTCATTGTAGTGAAGATGAGACACAGCAGCTCCTCCTGATGGAGACAGGAAGCTTCTCCCACATCTCCTCACTACAATATTTTAGGTCTCGATTTAAACATTTAAAAAAAGGTTTTGACTCTATTTCCAGAGAGTATCTCTGGACTCACACAACAGCTGTTTATCTATAACATGTGGATAGCATAACAGCGTTCACAGTCCTGATAGGCATTGTGGCCTTCAGTGCATTTCACAAATGGAGACTCACAGATGAAAAAACATTGATGTTGAATTTAAACATGGTCCCTTTGTGCACAATGCCTCTTACCTAAACGAACTCCTCTACATAGTCCTGCTGATGTTAAAAAATGTCTCTGACTGGACATCAATATTTATAACATCATGAATTATGTTTAATCAGGAGTTTTATACTTTTTTCTGCCCTTCAGGAATCAAATCACCACTTATAGAGAATAAATTCATTAGTAAACAATCACAGTCTACCATAGTTTCTCCTACATGCTTGAAGGCAAATATAATTCAGATAGTAAACCAACACTGTTAGTTCAGCATGAGGCCAGAGGACAAAGTTTTATGCCTGCAGTAAAAATACAATGCAGTTTGTTTTTGAATGTCTGTGTAACTTTAATAATAATAATAATAATAATAATCACATGAATAATGCTGCTGGAGATATTTTGATTAAGTACAAGTATTTTAATCTGAACTGATGTTACTATGAGATTATTGAACAAAGTCCAAATCCTCAATTTCAACATCAGCAGTCAACAAATGTGTGATAATAGTGTTTTAACAATAATATATTGATCAGTGAAACTCAGCCACGATGATCAGCTCTGATGTGAAGTGTGTGACCGTGAGTCTCAGCCATCATCAGTGTGTGTTTGCTGCGAGCAGAATAAGTTGATTTTATCCCAAAGTGATCATCAGCAGACGATTGTTTTTACTTTGAGTGTGTGAACAAACATGTGGAGCGACTGGAAAACGTGTTTTGACGGAGCTGCGATGCATTTGAAATGATTTCCGGAGAGAAATGAGTGTTAAAAGCCGCCGAGCAGCGCCGCTCAGGACGGTGAATATGTGAGGTTTGGAGGCTCCCCAAAGAAAATGCAGAGAGCATCAGAGCTCTACAAGAGCTGAATATGAAGAGACACAAGTCCGCTATCGGCTCCCTTCACCGTCAGCCTCCAGCACTTGTCCCACATTGAGTTTGGAGCGTTTTATCGATGAGGAGAAAACACAAGTGAGCCGGCATCAGGAGGCAGGGGCCGGGTTGAGTCTCCACGGTCCTCATGGTGTGTTTAAGGGCAGCCTCCTGCTCCGGACTCTCCAACACTCAGTGTCACTGTCGTATCGCGCCGAGCAGGAAGACAACATTAAGTTGACAATGGCAGAAGTAGCTCCAGCTCCCGCCGCCGCCGCCGCCGCCCCGGCTAAAGCAGCCAAGAAGAAGGTTTCCAAACCGAAGAAGGCCGGCCCCAGCGTCAGCGAGCTCATCCTGAAAACTGTGGCCGCATCCAAGGAGCGCAGCGGCGTGTCTGCGGCCGCCCTCAAGAAGGCTCTGGCTGCCGGAGGCTACGATGTGGAGAAGAACAAGGCCCGCGTCAAGACCGCCATCAAGGGCCTGGTGGCCAAAGGGACTCTGGTCCAGACCAAGGGGACCGGGGCCTCCGGATCCTTCAAGATGAGCAAGAAGACGGCCGAGCCCGCAGCCAAGAAGAAGAAGCCGGCAGCAGCAGCAGTAGTCAAGAAAGCCTCCGCTCCTAAAGCCAAGAAGCCCGCAGCAGCAGCAGGAGCAGGAGCCAAGAAAGGCAAAGCAGCAGCGGCCAAAAAGCCCAAAGCAGCGGCCGCCAAGAAGCCCGCAGCCGCTAAGAAGTCCCCGAAGAAGGCCAAGAAACCCGCGGCGGCGGCGGCAGCCAAGAAAGCCGTGGCCAAGAGCCCCAAGAAGGCCACCAAGAGCCCCAAGAAGGTGGTGAAGAAAGCTCCTGCAGCCAAGAAAGCCCCCGCAAAGAAGGCTGCAAAGCCCAAAGCCAAGAAGGCAGCACCCAAGAAGAAGTGAGCTGTCAGCAGTCTGATTGTGTCCGACTAAAGGCTCTTTTAAGAGCCACCCACACTCCCCTTAAAGAGCAAGGTCCTGGTTATTATTGTTACTGTTGTTATTATCTCCAGATGTTAGGAGGTTTTCTATTATTGTTACAATGTAACCTGATCTGAGGCTGTCTGTCAACACTGATGAAGACATATAAAAGGTAAAATGTATCGTAATGTATTATAGAAAACAAATATCTGAGGAGAGCCAGTCAGCTAATTTATATTTTTCACTCTTTTATATTTGAGGATTTTTCTTGTATAGTGATTGTATGAAACAAAATATTAGAGCTGTTGTGTCTTGGAGTTGTTATGTAACAACAAAGAAATGTCCAATGATGAACTACAATGATGATGAGACACAACAGCATCTTTTAAAGGATTGTTACAGAGCTCAGGAAGTCAGCCACAGATTGAAAGAGTTTGGACTAAACTATGATCCCTGTTGGAAGTCTGTGATGTTTGTAACCATTAACAGAAACAAAAACCATCTGACCACATTGAACTATTACAGCTTATAATGAGCATTGCTTGTTTTAAACTGTGGAAAACAACATCTGCTATGATCATATACCAGACTATTATAGACAGTAAGACTGTAACTAAACAAATATCTACTCAACTCTGGAGAAGGAAACCCCTGGACAAAAGTCAGAGCCTCCCATGGAACAATCTGGATTTATAATACAGAACTTTATAGACATTAAAACTCCCTCAGACTCTCTGAATGTACGCACTTTATAAATGTTCACTGATGCATTTTAGGGTTAAAATGTTTATGTAGCCTAATATGTGTAATGAGTCAAATTTAATAAAGTTGATAAACAAGAAAATATTAGAATGTATTTGTTTTATATAGGTTATTATTTTAACACATCTGATGTTTAACTTTGTTACATTGAAACAGAAGTTTTCTATTGTTGTTACACTGTAACCTGATCTGGATATTTCTGGCCTAATATTATATTATACAGGTCATCTGTCAACACTGGATAGTAAAGACTAATGTCAGAACAAGTAAATAAAATATAGGGGAAAAAATAAATATCTAACATGACTCAATTAAATAGTTTTGTTGTTTTATGAGGATTTATTGTATATTGATTGTTGTAGGAAACAATATCGGAATATAAAAGAAAACAAATCTTCACTTTCTCTCTTCACAAGAGTCTAAAAAAATAAATCAACTAGTTAATTAATGAGTGTAATCAGAGCCATTAGAAACGTTGCTGTTTGAGGAGAGTTTGTGGCTCTTAAAAGAGCCTTTATGTGTGTTTTCCAGCGGGCAGCAGGTTCACTTGGACTTGGCGGGCTTCTCGGTCTTCTTGGGCAGCAGAACAGCCTGGATGTTGGGCAGCACGCCGCCCTGAGCGATGGTCACTCCGCCCAGGAGCTTGTTGAGCTCCTCGTCGTTGCGGACAGCCAGCTGCAGGTGACGGGGGATGATCCGGGTCTTCTTGTTGTCGCGGGCAGCGTTTCCAGCCAACTCCAGGATCTCGGCGGTCAGGTACTCCAGCACAGCCGCCAGGTAGACGGGGGCGCCGGCTCCCACACGCTCCGCATAGTTGCCTTTGCGCAGCAGCCTGTGAACACGGCCGACCGGGAACTGGAGCCCGGCCCGGGAGGAGCGGGTCTTTGCCTTAGCTCGGGCTTTTCCGCCGGTTTTGCCTCGTCCGCTCATTTTCGATGCTTTTACAGTCGACGCTCAAAACAAAGTGTGACTCCGACAAATAAAACCCTCCTTTATATGTCCGCGGAGCGTGCGGGGGGCTTCCCGAGAGACCAACCAGAAAACAGGCTGCCGTCGGAGGGCGGCCGCTCCGGGTTTTGGCGGACATTTTGAACGCCTTTCTCCGCCAATGAGCGGCCGAGGTTGGGGCGGGGGCCGCTCCTCCGGGCGGCGCTGAGCTCCAAGAGGAGCCCCTAACCAATCCGGAGCCGGAGCTGTGGAGCAGCGTCACCGTCTGACAGCCGGTCCCACAGTTTAAGAGCAGCGGGTCTCCTCTCTTTACTACACTTTGGTCTCGTTCACAGGAACAACAACAACAACCACAAGAAGAAACGATGGCGAGAACCAAGCAGACCGCTCGTAAATCCACCGGAGGCAAAGCCCCCAGGAAGCAGCTGGCTACCAAGGCTGCCCGTAAGAGCGCCCCGGCCACCGGCGGCGTGAAGAAGCCTCACCGTTACAGGCCCGGTACCGTGGCTCTGAGAGAGATCCGTCGGTACCAGAAATCCACCGAGCTGCTGATCCGCAAGCTGCCCTTCCAGCGCCTGGTCCGAGAAATCGCTCAGGACTTCAAGACCGACCTGCGCTTCCAGAGCTCCGCTGTCATGGCTCTGCAGGAGGCCAGTGAGGCTTACCTGGTCGGCCTGTTTGAGGACACCAACCTGTGCGCCATCCACGCCAAGAGGGTCACCATCATGCCCAAAGACATCCAGCTGGCCCGTCGTATCCGCGGAGAGAGAGCTTAAACTGTCTGCTGCTGCTCCACAAAACACAACGGCTCTTTTAAGAGCCACCTCACTGCAGACTAAAGACCCTCTTCCTCTCATCACACTTTATTATTATTATTATTATTATTATTATTATTATTATTATTATTATACTTATTATTATTATACTTGACCTCAAAAACTAGGAAGACTAAATGTGCTCAGTTTTATTTTAATTGTCTAAGATAAAATGTAGGCAGAAGTGGGTGAAATAATGTAATATTTCTAATTATTATCTTATTTGACTAAATGATACAATAGTCTAACTACTGCAGTACCTCCTTTATCCAGGACAACCTGATGATTTCTTAAATACTTTTGCTACTTTGATAAGTCACAATGTGACTTTTTGTCAAAACTCAATCTATTACCCTGTTTATCTATTTAAGCACATGTATCACTGATTTAATTTCTGTTCAGGAGAAACTATGTTGGCCATGAAACCAACAACATCTAAGGCCCCATTTAGAGCCGATGTTTAGTTCTTCAATACAAACTACAGAGTGTCTGCCTCTGATCACCTTCAATTATTTATTATAGTATTGATTGTTACATATTTCCATCCTGTGATGACTGAAATCACCTTTATTTTAACCCTCCTCACTGAATGAGTGGATACAAATGTTTGAATTGACATTGTCATTAATATGAATATTTGAATACATAATGTTCTTATATGATCTTACTGCAGTTTTATAAATTATTCTGCACACTTAAAAATCTGTTGTATGTTAGTGTTAAACACTTTTCGGGTTACTTGGATCAATCCCAAAATATCGACACTTAGATACATTTTAGTTTTTGAAGACTGATTCCAGCATCGATATGATTGATACCAATAAATGATCAGTTTCTCTCTTACATGTTGTTCCCATTTGTGTTTCATCAAAGAGTAGAAATGTGTCTCTGCTGTTGTCTTGTCAGTGAATAAACATACTGTGAACTATAATGTGTGTAAGGAGGCTGTTAATGATGAGGACACAACAATGGCCCGACAGTCTTTAGTTACAATAAAGAGATAGATAATAATATTTGTGTTTTATTAACAGTATGAAAATGTCTTCATTCATTTGTGGAGCACTTTTTAGGGACTGTGATTATTGTCTGGTTCTTCTCATCCTGACCTACAGACTGAAACTTAAATCCTAATCCTGAGGGCGAGACTGAGAGAAGATGGACCAACGAGTCAAAGCTGAACTACAGACCTGCTCCGTGTTTTTGAGGCCACAGCCACAGACCGACGGGCTCACTGACACTGTAACATCTTACATTAGTTATTGGGACTTTCTGCACAAACAACAACCACAAACCAGTTTACAGCAGAACTCAGGCAGCTTTGTCAGACCATGGAGGAGGTTTACAGGGGGGACAGAGTCCTGTACAACCAGACCAGAAACACCCTGACAAAGGAGGTCAAAGCTACAGGAGCCCACCGCCCCCCCCTACACTGTGGAGAACCATCAACTGGCTGAAGACCTGAATGTGTTTTACTGTAGATTTGAAAGGCTCACATTCACACTCCTCCAACATCAGCTACCTACACCCCCTGCCACCCTGTCCCGGTCCCTCAAAAACCTCCATCACAGACTAAATGACTACAGGCCTGTCGCCCTCACTACTACAGATAGTAGTCATGAAGTCCTTTGAAAGACTGGTGTTAGTCCACCTGAAGGACATTACAGGCCCCTTTCTGGACCCCCTGCAGTCACTGACAGGAGGCAGCTGGTGAGTTTGGGGAGCAACACATCCAGCACCCAGACAATTAGCACTGGCGTCCCCCAGGGCTGTGTGCTCGCCCCACTGCTCTTCTCCCTTTATACCAATGACTGCACCTCCAGAGACCCGTCTGTCAGTCATCGGCCTCCTCCAGCACGGTGATGAGTCTGCATATAGACGGGAGGTTGAACAGCTGATCCTCTGATGTGGTCATAACAACCTGGAGCTTAATACGATCAAACCTGTGGATCATTGGCGCCAACCTGCCCTCCATTCAGGACCTGTACCTGTCCAGAGTCAGGAAACATCACTGCAGATCCATCTCACCTGGACACAACCTGTTCCAATCCTTGTACAATAACCCTCCGACTCTAACATCTATAAAACTATTTATTATTTATATTTCCATTGTTGAAATTCAGTTTCTTTAAAAAAATACACATATATAAATAAATAAATAAATAAATAAATAAATAAACATTGGACTCTGCACTATTGTATACTGTCTACTAATATTATTGCTTTTGTTTGTTTATATATTTATATGTATAAATGTACATAGTAGCTTATGTCTTTTTTGTTGAGCTTGTTGTTCTGTTTAATTGTTTATTCTGTGTTTGTACATTGAGAGCAACGTAAAACCTGAGTTTTGTATGTGAGCAGAAACCTGGACAATAAAGTGATTCTGATTTACTCCATAAACTCATTTACCTGAAAGTAAATCAGGCGCTTTTTATTAAAAATATCAATATCAGCGATTACAGTTCATTATTATCAATATGTAATATTGGTGTATAACCTACCTGTGGCCCTTTCTACAGATTTTACTGATTTTTTTCCTTTATTAACTGAATTAATCCGTTACAGTTTTTTCCAATTGCTAAAACACAATTTTGCAAACTAGGCTGGTTTTATCAAAATACTTAACACAATTCACAAAACCACACACCCAAACTGCAAAATACCTCATATATCCTGCAAAATGAAGCACTGCAACCAAAACTACATATAACATTATCAAAATCATATTTTTGCACCAAATGGCACACACTTCATTCATATTACCAGATTTTTGTCTAACCAACTACACACTGTTGGGCATAATGAAAAGCACTCTCATCTTTAGTGTGCTTTGCCATAATACTAAAATAGTTCAAATTGTAGAAAATTCTTCAGATTGTTCACATGCACAGAAATATTGTAGATACACACACACATGCTGTTGACATTTTTTTATTTATCACCAAACAAGTCAGTGCAACATATGCACAGCAGATATATTTACATTGGAGTGAACAAAAATATGCTCACAAAAAACAGTAAACTGAAAAAGAAAATTGGAGAAAAAATGTGCAGAAAAAATATATAGGAAAAAAGAGGCAAGAAAAATATTTCGGCACAACTTGCTGCACAGCTGGGTCTGGCCACAACGCCTCGTCCACATCACAGGCAATATCTTCCCTTGCCAGACATCAAGGGAAGAAGCGCCTTGAGTGCCTTATCCATCCCTGAATTGCACCCACATCAATTTCATCACATGAAACGTCTCTCAGTCCTTTAGAAGAACAAAAAAACAAAAATATAGGGCTTGGACAATACAGCCTCAAGATACAGTAGAGTAAATTGTACAGGAAACTTGTACAGTTACTGTATGACATCAGCCATTCATGAAGTAAACAGGTGTCACCCAACTGATACACTATGACATGGGGTGTACAACATAGTGTGAAAGAAATTTTGGTTACATATCTGTACTCCAGTCTAAATGTCCGGATGACAGAGGCAACAGTAAAACAGCTCAAGTTGGGCTGCACGCTCTGTCCAGCCTCTCGCATTGTCAGCCCATGGTTATGACATGATCATCTAAGGTTGCTGATTTCATTGAAAGTTGTTGTCTTCTTTGGCCATGAACTCCTCTACCAGCTCTACCCCTACCTCTCACTCTTCCTCCCACTCTCTTTCTCATTCTCTCTCACCCTCCCTCTTTCTCTTCATACTTCCTGTAGTGTCATTTTGAATGGCAGTGTTTTGAAATGGCAAACATGTGACTTTATGTCAGATTGTTGTGTCTTATGCAGAGAACTATGTTCAGTGCATTTAAAAAGTGCCATTATGAATTTCAAAACATGTGTAAAGCAGAAAATGTGTTTAGAATTTTGGAGACTTGAGAAGAGGTTTTGCTCTCTGTGTGTCAGTTTAAATAATTGTGCTATGCATGTCATTTTAGTGTGTTAGCAATTGAAAAAAAACTGTAATAGATGCTGTTGGAAGATGTTAGCTGATCTGTGGATGTAAAACAATACTGGTGGCACAAGTTTCTCTGGTTGTTTAGTCTGGTGCTCCTTCCTATAAATATTTATTCTAACATTGTCCAAAGATTATTAATCTGCAGCATTTATTAGAAATGATCAGGTCACTGACTGTAACCTTCTTGTACACATTTACATTTATTTTACATTAAATAAAGTAAAATGATCTAATATTTTAACAGTTTAACAAGTTATGTCTCTAATACTCTGGAAGATTTTTTTATTTTATATACATTCATCACATTTTTGTTTTTATTATCAGTTAACTTTTTATTTTCAATCACCATAATTACTGACTGTGTGGGGCGGAGCTTCGTGACGACAACAACACTGTAGCCAATCGTGTGCGAGCAACCGCGCAGTGACATTAGCATCAGGCTCATGGATATAAACCTCTCCGACAGTCACAAAGTCACCGCGGTCGATAAACCGAGTCAGAGCAACAATGCCCGAGACAGTGAAAGCGCCCAAGAAAGGCTCAAAGAAAGCCGTTTCCAAAGGCGTCACCAAGACCGGCAAGAAGAAGAGAAAGACCAGGAAGGAGAGCTACGCCATCTACGTGTACAAGGTGCTGAAGCAGGTCCACCCTGATACCGGCATTTCCTCCAAGGCTATGGGCATCATGAACTCCTTTGTGAGCGACATCTTTGAGCGCATCGCCGGTGAGTCCTCCCGTCTGGCTCACTACAACAAGCGCTCCACCATCACCTCCAGGGAGATCCAGACCGCCGTCCGCCTGCTGCTGCCCAGTGAGCTGGCCAAGCACGCTGTGTCTGAGGGAACAAAGGCTGTGACCAAGTACACCAGCTCCAAGTAAACCTGCTGTTACAACCAACAACACAAAGGTCCTTTTCAGGGCCACACACTGCTTCTACTGAGAGCTAATGTCCTTCATTATACATTAATGTGACTCATTTAATACTTCAAATACTGTAATATGAAAACACCTATTATAAACAATTGATGTGATCAGACTATTACTGAGGCTTTTCCTGTTCTCAGCCATTTATTACAATGGTGATGTTTATATATTTGAGTTCTTCTCCTTTAACAAGAGTTTTATATTTTCTTCAAGTACATTGCTGCCATCCTGTGGTGACTAGTTTCATTATTACCCTCTTTGTGATAAATGGATGCATTTATACATATTACTTCACGTTTACATACCATTTGATACACCTGCGTGTAAGATGGTATAGTGTAAAAGAAACTTTATCAACAGAGAAATGATTCACGACCTTAAATCAGGATAAAACTATCAAAACTTCATTAAGTTACATCCATAAAAAACCCAGATAGTGATGCTGTGCTCCATGAAAAGAGACATTATTCAACAACTGAGCTCTAAATAATGCAAATAAATAAACATTTAACTTATTGATGAGTTAAAAGGAGGAACCACCACCACAAGTTTTGATCAGTTATATATTGATTAAGTTTAACCTCCTCACCTCCATTCTGCGTCATCTCCCACTGTCAAAACATTAATTGGTTCACAACAAATTATTTATTTAATAAATGATTTAATTGAAAATGATTAAAAGACAAAAACTTAAATGATAGTAATATAAAATAATTCCCACTAAACACCTTTTTTGAAGGTTTTATTTATATTCTGCCTTTGTATCCTCAGTCAGTCACATGAGTCTTGGAACTGACAGCAGCATATTTTATTATTGTTATTATTATTACTATTAAAAACTGAACAATTAACACTGACATTTATTAGTAATTAGTTACACTACTAGTTATGGGAAAAGTAATATTACTAGTAATGAGTTTCTGCCCAACACTGTTTAAAAATCAATAAAAAAATAGAAGGCAATGAAAATAAAATTGCACTGTTTGGGTAACTGAAAGGGTAAATGACAAGTTTGAGTGGCACATGTCTGCATAGTCAGCATCTGCACAACTAGAAATAAAGAAGTGAGTTTGGTGATGTATGACGCACCGTTCTGTGCAGAAAACTACAATATTGTTATTTGAAACGTGTGCCATGAATCAATTCATTTCCTAAAACAATTAACGTTAACAATGTCCATTCCCAGCAAGTCGACACTTATTCCCCAAATCCACTTTGTTTGAACCAATCAAGTTGCAGGAAAGAAGAACAAACTTTACGTTAAAAATAATCTAGTTTCATTCCCTCTGTTGTTAAGATGGCTTTAGATTTGGTTTAGAGCACATTATGACTTGTTTAGGACTTTGGACTTGCTTGTGACTTGCAAACCAATGACTTGGTCCCACCTCTACATATTGCTTCATAATAGCTAGGAGCTGAACTGCATGAGGGCAGTGGAGTTACAAGAGATTCAAACGAGGGGCAAGAAGCAATGAAAAGAGTTGAAATAGCATTTACAGTTAAAAACTGATTTTCTATGTTGAACAGTGAATTAGACCCTGCATTCACACCATTAAAATATAATAAATAAAGAGAAACTGAAATTCATCCAGTTATGTTTTATTCTCAGACAGCCAACCAGTCAGCAGACGGAGGAAACAGGGTTGATCTGATTTCCCACCCAAACAAACTGTTATCATGTGACCACAATCTCATACCTAAATAGGATGATAACAACTAAATCCTCATCTGCTGACGAAGGCAAGATGTGCAAGAGGTGGTTAAAAGCTTCAGAAACAAGTTGGACCTTGCACTGAGGTTTGTGGTTCAAAAACAACGGCAGCTGTGGTCTTGTATTTCAGACAGGTGATGAAGAGTTGTCAGAAACCCCCAGTTCAACTTTTAAGTACATCATATATTTTTTCACCATTTACTGTTATAACCTAAGATGTTGAAACATTTTGCAACATTTTTATATCATATTGCAATAATGCAGTTTATTGCTTTTACTGTTTGTAGATATCATACAACTTATTATTGGTAATGAAATATTCAAGCTGTGTACATTTAGTCTCTGAGTCATTGTTCGTTTTGTCTTGTTTCCAAAAAGAACATCTTCACACCATCTCAAGTTAAAATAATGATGACAGTCACACCACTGACCTTTACTTGATATTTTCATCTTACTGCAGTGACAAACTGTTTGTTTGTGGTCAGATCTCTTCCCTTGTCATATAGAGTCATGTAGCTCCTGTTGTAGAGGCAAATATATTCTCTGAATCACCTTAAATACTCTTAAAGCCATTTTTATGTTGTTGGTGGTTTGTTTAGTTTCTAACAATAACAATGGACTTTGAGTCTTATTCAATATCCAGCCAGGGTTTATCACCATACACAACTCTATTATAATTAATTTTCTTCTATTGTATTTTACATATTGTGTTGTATTTATTCATGTATTTTAACTGTTGTGCTGTTTTATATATCTTGGATTATCATTTGTTTACTGGTGTGATTTTATTTTCATACGTTTTGTACGAGCATTGTTGGAGGGAGCCTAAGAATAAAGCATTGTAATTATTAATTATTGTGCATATGACAAATTAAAAACTTAGACTTTCATCAAATCTGCTTCAATAAAATGGATTAGTCAGACTACATGAGATTAAGGGCTGTCAGCAGTGTATTACAATAGTGTGGAAACATTTAACCAGTAGAAGTCAGAGCAACAACAATTATCCAAGTCATGTGAATGAGTTCTGTGAGAAATAATAACAAGCTTTATTATACCATGTGCATTTAATTCCTCCATCAGAGACAATGCGTAAACACAGAATATTCTTCATGCATATGAAGAAAGAGAGGTAATTAATGATGATTTTTACATTTCAAAATGTTGGTGGTCTCAAACCATTAACCATTTTTATTATAATGGCTGTAAAACTTGACTTTCCTGATATAATACAAACCACATTGTTCTTTATGAGTATAGGGCATATCAGACAAACAACTGACCTTTTTCTAATTTCCTCATTAAATACAAGACTGCAAAGAAAATTTAAGGAAGTTCTATTTGTGCGTGAACAAATGGCACAAAGCCAACAGTGAGGGCAAAAGTATGATCGGTGAGAAAGAAGCAGAGGGAACTGTATACAAAAGGACACATTATCAAAGAGGAAAAAACAATAGATTAAACAATTACACCATTCATTTGGAGGTTTTACTTTTGAGATTACTTTTCTTTGAGTTTTATTCCCTCTCAAATTCTTATTTTAGTTCGATATTTCTGTAGTTTTGTTTGTTCATACTGACACAATGTGTCAATCATTTCAGACTCGCCCCAACTCTTGAGAGTAAAACATGTAATTTGTCTCCAGCTACGTGCTCAACTAAAATATAAATTAGTGATAATGATCTGATTACTGAAAGGCAAGAAAGGGAAGTGAGTTGCTGTGGTAAGCAGATTAATATCAGAAACAGAAAAGAAGAAGCAGTTTATACAAGCCATCAGTGCAGTTCTCACACTTACACACTTTAGTCAAACTTCAGTGGTAAAAATATTTTGAGTTTGTCTTTAAAGAGGAGTCTGAGATGACTTTGGACGATGAGAACCAACCTGATGCTTCATCCAGGGGTAAGTAACTTTAAGGTTGTGTATCTTTTTCTGTTTGGGTGCACAGCAAGAGTTTCATTTTTGTAATTATCAGATTCATAAAGTTCTATAATTAAACAACTACATGTGAAGTTCATCCAGAATAATAACAATTCTTCACGTGTGTGTTTGATTTCTGCACACAGAAAAAAAACTCTACCGACTGGTTGTTGTGAGTTTTGGACTCCTGTGTGTCCTACAAGCTGCTCTCAATATTTCCCTGCGTCTCGCTCTCTGTGAGTTGTTTTTAATTGTTTTTCCTTTGATTTCTATCTGATTATTGTTATTTTAAATGATAACCCCAACAGCTCAACACACTGCAAATAAAGTAAACACATCCAAATAGGCAAAACACAAGCAAATGGAGAAAAAAATAATTTCAGTTGTTAGTGTTTTTTCCATCAATAATTATTAAGCTCATAGTTTATTTACAAATCAGCACATAGTTATGAATAATACTCACAAATCATGATAGTATAACAGTAACATAATAATAATAGTAACACTATGCTGATGACTGTAGATAATTCTGAAAGTAAGACAACAGGTATTGAGGCAGGATGCAAAAACCTGACTGAAGAAAGGGATGAGTTGAAGAAGAATCTGACTGACTTTGGTTAGTATGAGGATGAAACTACACCAATAACACTTGTATCCAAAGTCGAATAAGTGCAATACTAGACAAACGCTACATATCAAATGAAAGCTGACACTTCATTCTGTATGAGGGATTTGCATATGCATAACAATATTAAACAAACTACATCACCTGTTATCAATTAATTAAAACATCCATTCATCCATTTTCTATACCCACTTATCCCACATGGGGCTGGAGCAGATCCCAGCTGACATTGGGCAAAAGGTGAAGTGCACTGTGGAAAGATCGCCAGTTCATCACCGGCACACAGTCACATAGAGACAAACATTCACTCTCACATTCACACCTGTACAGGTAATCAGTGCAGTGTAATTGAGGAATCACTAGTGGTGACACTACTATTATACTGTAAAAGAGAATATGACATTCCAGTAAATTAACTCCGTGTTACAATTTTAAACCTGTAAACTTTCTCATATTCCAGTATATAAAAAGCCACAGATCTCTGGTTTGTTGCTGGAGGGGGGTTTGTACTGAAAAATAATAAACTATATCTGTGTTAATGAATTACTGTAATAAAATTAATTCTGCAAATTATTTTAACATCTCTACTCAAAATTACAGCTTTACAGCTGAATTCCCTGACTGGAGAGAGAGACGAGCTGAAGAGGGAACTGAATGTTTGTGGTAAGTATGAGGATAAATCTATTAATACCAGTAATCAGGGAACCAAAAGGTATGACTGCAATATTTGTAAAAATCTGATCCTGTCAAAGTGCCCTTGGGCAAAACACTGAACCTCAAATTAGATACAGCGAGAGGCAAATTGTTTGTCGACATCCGCTGCATGTCGAAGTATCCTTGCGCAAGATACTTAAAACCCCAAATTGCTCCCAATGCTGCGTCATCGGTGTGTGAATGAACGAGTCTGTTTCTGTTCGATGGGCTTTTCCATCACTGTGTGAATGTGTGTGAAAGGGCGAATGTGGCGTGTAGTGTAAAAGTGCTTTGAGTGGTTGTCGTCTATTTACCATTCAATTATTTCTCTTTTCAACAGTTCACTATTACCAACAAGAATGGGTGGATTTCAATGATAGTGTCTATTACATTTCTTCAATCAAGAAAACCTGGAATGCCAGTAGAGATGACTGTCTGAAAAAAGGTGCTGACCTGATGATTATCAACAGCGAAGAAGAGCAGGTGTGTGTTGTAATGCATCTATTAATCTATGTGTAAGACAGAAACATTCTTGTATTCAGTCAACAAAAGATTAATGAATGAAAGTTGACTGAGGTAGAAGCTGAATTCACATTTGTTTAATTGTTTCTCTCTGTTAAAAGAATTTCACAAGACAATTGAAGGATAACATGTGGATTGGACTGACTGACAGTGAGACAGAGGGGACGTGGAAATGGGTTGATGGGACTCCACTGACCACAAGGTTCACACATTTTACAATCTCTTGTGCTAAAAGAAAGAAGCTTTACAATTATTGTAATTTTAATATCTAACTACCTTTTTGGAAAAACTAAATCCTGAATGTTTCAGCTTTACAAATAACATATTGTTTGGTTTGGGGTTTCAGCTACTGGATGGATGGTGAGCCTTACAACTATGACCTTAAAGAAGAAGACTGTGTAGAAGTAAAACAACATGAAAAGAAAAACAGCTGGAATGATAAACCATGTGATCTTCCAAACTTCTGGATCTGTGAAAAGAAAGTGTCTCTGTAACTCAGCATCCAAACTCACCAGATGTCTGTACATCTTTTTCTTTTTGCTTTGGCGCTGCATCCACACAAAGTCATTACAATGAAAAAATAATGAATACCTGCTCAGGTTGCAACTGCCTCGCTTCCCCCTCCACTTCCAAGTGTAAAAAAAGCGAACGCTGCTATCTAGAGCCAGTGTTTGGTTTGTCCGTTCTGGTCCATCGTAGAAACATGGTGGTTCAACATGGCGGACTCTATAGAAGGCGACCAGCGGCTATATTCAGGTGAAACTAATGAAAACATACCTATGAATATTACATGCCATTTTTGACATTAGATGTTTCTAAATGTTAAACAACCTTTAAAGGACAGATTTAATATACCATACTTATACAGCAATGTTCTCATGAAAATAATGAGAATATTTATTTTTTGGTGAATTTCAAACTGAGAAATGGTGCATCTCTCGACTTTATTGATTTTACTATATTACAGTACTATAATGGCAATTTAAATCAAACTATTTGTGCTTCCAAATCTGCCTGCAAATGTGTGTGCGTGTTACACCATGTTCTTACCGTCTAAAGCGTCAACTTCTGTGTGAACTCACTTCTTTGTCGAGTTGGTATCTATAGCTTAGTTTCAAACCCCGACCACATACAGTAACGAGCAGAGGCAGGGAAGGAAATATTCACAGACAATGCAAAAAATGATCATCAAAGTTTGAACTGCATTTAGATTGAAGATTTAAGAGACATTGTTGTGAATATGATAAACATACTTCTTTTATTAAATTAAATAGTTTCATAATTTTTTTGTCAATCACATTCAGAAATTCCAGTTTTACTCTTAAGATGTAATCAAACTTTACATGGTATAGGAAGCATAAGTGTATTTTGGTACCTCAACTGTGTCAATAGTGACCACATATTCTCACTTCTGAAGGAAATGCTTTTAATGTCAACTGTACTTACAGTTCTGTACTTGCAGCCAAGATTATTTTAAACAAATATGTATGTCTTAATAAAGTCACATTTTAAGGTGACAAGCCTACGTGTAGTACACAGAACCTAAACCAGATCTTAAAATCAAGTAGTACACTCTCTTTAATCCGGCTGAATGTAATAGATTACATTACAGTCCCAGCACATACGGTAATGATTGGCATTCACAGAACAGCACTGTCTCCAGTATAGAGTCCACTATAAAATGTTTTCATTTGAGCTGGTGTAATAAAAACACATCACATTCATCCAGCAGAGTTTTCTCCACATGAGAGAGGTCGTTGTTGCCACTGGGTAGTGCATACAGATATAACTTAAACTGTGAATAAGTTATTTTGAAATTAAACTCATACAGACTGGCTTGCATGTGAGTCTGATGTTTTGTGGCGTTTTTTGCAGTCACGCTCGTGGTGGGTTGTTTAAAGATTAGAGCTCAAGAGAATCTTATCTTTTTCTCTGAACCACAGCAGTGGGTCCACAGCTCTTGTGTGTCTGTATGTATCTGCATGTGTGCACAGATAAATTCTCCATCTCTACTAGCACAGTCTCCTGTATTTAAAGATGCAGAGCAGATTGAACCTCACTTTTTGAGCCTGGTTCGTCTTCCTCCTCTTTTACACATTAGCCTCCAGCAGTCAATAAAGTATGCATATGTTTTATCAGCATAACCCAGCACACTTCCTGTGAGATGATGTTTGAAAAAATTTGTAAAGTGTGTAAAGGCCTTTATGAAAAATTGTTTGAATCAAGGAAGGAAAATCGCTCACTTTAAAATAAGGAAGAACAAGAGAAGCTGGCTGTGTAAGCAACAAAAGAAGAAGCAGTTCATAGATTGTCACCAGTCTGAGAAGAAACCACCTTTAAAACTTTGATCACGCTCCGCAGATAAAATATGTTTGTCTATAAAGAGGAATCAGAGATCACTATTGAATTTGGAAACATCCCTGATGCTTCAGCCAGGAGAGTTGCTTTGAAGAGTTACTCTGGTGAAGGTGGTGAATTCTTACATTGTTGTTTTAACAATAAAAGTAAAACAAATAAAAACATTTATCTTCCATTAAACTGCAATATGGTCATTTAAAAGATTCAATGTGTTTGTTAGCTTTGTAATTGTTAAAGTGTAATTAGTTTGTTATGTTTGGAAATTATTTATTTTCAAATGTCCTCAGACAGAAGAGGAGTTGGATAACAATTTTTTAAACGACCTGATTCCACTTCTTCGATAATGTCCTTGGTGAGTTTGAATATATGGGCTGATTTTGAAACTGTGCTGACTTTGTCATGTTGTCTGTGGCCTCGGCTGTTTCATACTCTTTCTCTAACGCCGGTCTTTTAAGTAGCATAATGTGATCTGCTGCTGATGTGTTTTGACTCGTGAGCTGTTGTTTTATGTCAAGTTTGCCTTTTCCCACCCAGGTCATCGCCTACTGTTTCTATGGGCTTACACAGTGACGGCTGGTGGTGATTTTGGGTGGGTGGGCTAACAAATGCATTACACTCATCAATACGCCACACAGCAGCAACAGTAGCAACAGTAGCAACAGTAGCATCACATCAAGTTACAGCAACAACATTGTATACTTTGTTATAGCAAGGGCTCTACGGCAACACTGGGGAGACATCATACCCAAAAGAATGACCTGATGCCAAAAAAAATCTCTCTGTATCTGTTTTCTCTCTCTCTCTCTCTCTCTCTCTCTCTCTCTCTCTCTCTCTCTCTCTCTCTCTCTCTCTCTCTCTCTCTCAAATTCAAAATGGGCTTTATTGGCATGAAAGTTTTTTTAAAAAACAATATTGCCAAAGCAAAGTATTCGAATACAATACAATAAATCAAAGATATATACATTATTATTATATGAACATTATATTAGTTATATACAGTGTGTGTGTGTGTCTGTGTGTGTCTGTGCATGTGTGTGCCTCGATCACTCACTGTCCCTCAAGTTGTGGCATGTTAATATATACTGGGCAGCAAGGTGTGCCCGCTCTCCTTCTTCGAGGAGTATTTTTAATTTGGAGAGGTCGTTCAGCTCTTTGAAATCTGGTACCAAAGAGCTGAACTTGTTCAAATAAATGTTTCTAGTATTATTTAATTCTGTACATTGTAGGAGAAAGTGCATCTCTGTCTCAACCTCACCTGTCGAACAGTGACCACATTTTCTGTTTTCTTTTGGTTGCCATGATTTTTTGTGTCTTCCTGTTTGGATTGCCAGTTTGCGGTCACTGAGCCTGTACTTGGTTAGGATCTGTCTCTGCTTTCTATCTCTGACAGTAGAGAGATATTCTGCTCATTCATAATCTCTTTTAAGGGCAAGATAACATTCCAATCTACTTTGGCTTTTAGTTGTTTCTTCCTAATGGTCCAGATAGCTTTCTTTACATTGTGCTATAATTTGAATTACTCTGATTACTGTTTGTAGAGCAGTGTTGTTGTGAGGCTGGTCAGAGTGTGTCTGAGAGGGGGCAGTAAGCCTCAGTACCAACTGACATAGGGGACTCTTTTCTGGGCTCAGCTCTTGGGTCTCCGACAGTCAGAAAGTCACCGCGGTCGATAAACCGAGTCAGAGCAACAATGCCCGATACAGTGAAAGCGCCCAAGAAAGGCTCAAAGAAAGCCGTGTCTAAGGTCACCAAGACCGGCAAGAAGAAGAGAAAGACCAGGAAGGAGAGCTACGCCATCTACGTGTACAAGGTGCTGAAGCAGGTCCACCCTGATACCGGCATTTCCTCCAAGGCTATGGGCATCATGAACTCCTTTGTGAGCGACATCTTTGAGCGCATCGCCGGTGAGTCCTCCCGTCTGGCTCACTACAACAAGCGCTCCACCATCACCTCCAGGGAGATCCAGACCGCCGTCCGCCTGCTGCTGCCCGGTGAGCTGGCCAAGCACGCTGTGTCTGAGGGAACAAAGGCTGTGACCAAGTACACCAGCTCCAAGTAAACCTGCTGTTACAACCAACAACACAAAGGTCCTTTTCAGGGCCACACACTGCTTCTACTGAGAGCTAATGTCCTACATTATACATTAATGTGATTCATTTAATATACTTAATTGCACAATACTGACTGAGCTTAACCTTTGTTTACTCAGTGTTAACACATCTGACTTCTACATTGCAAACTGAAGTACACCTTATTACGGAGGCTGGTTCCTGTTCTCAGGTTTGTTTATTCTTTCATTAGTTGAGGCCTCCAGTCTGTTACCATTATAACTGTAAACGTCTGATAAACGCTGCATCAACTCATTTTAAGAGTGACTGAATTCAGATTCATCAGAAATGTTGGTGAACTGATGTCAGACTCTCACAGTGCGCCTCTAAGAAAATATGTGGATGGAAAATACCGAGGTTGGTCGAGTCTCTCGGATGTTTCCTCTCTGCTCTATTATGAGTGATATGAAAGAAAGTCCATATAATGTTGCCAATAGCTAGCAGACACTTGAACTGCCTTAAAATAATTACAGAAGGGTCTAAAGGGGCGACGGGAGGGATTACTGCATCCTGCGTGCTTCTCTCCTGCTGGGTCACTCAGTAGAGGAGGTTGTACCACCGTCTGGTAACTAACAGACAAATAACTGAATGTTAATTAATAATCTCTCAAACAATTAGATCTATTAACATGACCAGGGTCATCAGGAGAACCCACAGCACAGTCTCTTCACACTCCTGCTGTGAGGGAGGACCTACAGGAGTGTGAAAGCAAGTTTCTCCCCTCAGGCCATCAGATCTTTAACAATACAGCCCCCGCCGTCCTCCCCCACACTCATCACTCCCCCACTGTGACACAGAGCACCTTATTTAACTCAGGTTGCTTTTTTTCTTTTATTTAAAATTTAAAATAAACCTTGATTCTTTAAGGGTGTCTGTGCATATTGTGGTTACTAGCACGTTATTTGCATAAAGTGAATTAAACAGTCTGTTTCACATGTATTTACAGGACCTCAGTAGTAGATCTTTCTGTGTCCATCAGAAGGTTGTTTAGGTCAGAGTCTTTGTGGTCATTTACAGTTCTCTAATCAGACATGTTAACACAAAGTGTAAAGATACTCATTATCCTCCAGGAGATCTCAGACAATGCTCCTTTAATTTACATGTGTTGGTTTCCTTTGTGTTTATTTATACTGTTGATGTTGTGCTGTCTTTGTTCAGGTCTCCAGGGTTGATTGTGTGGATAATTTTAATTAGGAGCCTTTTAATATCATCGAGCCATATTCTTCACATTAAAACTCTAGACACCTTTAATTCAGTCCTCAAATCATTATTCTGGTGTATGATATTAAACATTATTGGTGAACCCAACCAGGACTGTGTCTCTTTGAGAGAGTGTGTGCGGCCCTTAAAAGGACCTTTGGTTCAGTGGATCAATAACAGGTTTAACCTCCGAAGCCGTACAGAGTGCGTCCCTGCCTCTTCAGAGCATAAACCACATCCATGGCGGTCACGGTCTTTCTCTTGGCGTGCTCGGTGTAGGTGACGGCATCACGGATCACATTCTCCAGGAAGACCTTCAACACACCGCGGGTCTCCTCGTAGATCAGACCGGAGATACGCTTCACTCCACCGCGGCGAGCCAGACGGCGGATAGCGGGCTTGGTGATTCCCTGGATGTTATCACGTAGGACTTTACGGTGCCGCTTAGCGCCTCCTTTACCGAGTCCTTTACCTCCCTTTCCTCTTCCGCTCATTTTAACGTATCAAGTGTTTGATATGAATATTTCTCTCTCTCCGCTGTCCCACTACTTAACTCCTGACTGAGGACGTGAGTGAATACAGCCACTGTCTTCTTCTCTGGCTTTTAATGAGGTTGATGATGAACTCTTTGGTGCTTTAGCGCCACCTACTGAACAACTACAGGAACCACAGACAACAGGTCTCCTGTTACTCTTTTTTATTAGTCGCTATACTTTATTGTTAATGATTTATTCAATCAAATCTGATTAGTTACCTCATTATTATTCTGTATTTTAAAGTTTAATGAAAGAGATTAAATTGTCTGTCACAGAGGAGCAGAAGCAGAAAAAAATCTGCATTTAAGAAGCTGAAATCAGAGAATATTTGGGCATATTTTCTTTCAAAGTTAGTCAAAATTATTAATCATTAATCCTTGCAGCTCTAATTTGGAGACATTAAATACTGACTGTTCCCTCTTCCTCTTCCTGTAAGTGGCGCTGTGCTGTAAACAGGCGAACTCCTTCTGCAGTGCAGCAGTGTCTCAGCTCTCCCATCAATCCAGCCGTTTTACTTTATAGATTACAGAACTGGGTTGGCATTTCCGGTACAGCTTTAAACTGGTTTCATTCCTATTTGACGAACAGATACTTTAATGTCTCCATTAATAATCATGTGTCCTCCTCTGCTCCCCTCCTGTGTGGTGTCCCTCAGGGGTCGATTCTTGATCCAGGTCTGTTCTCCCTGCACTTCCTCTGGGTCACTTGTTCAGCAGTTTCGCTTTTTAATCAACTTTATTATAGTTTACATATAATAGATTAGATAGACAAGGAAATTGCTTCAATTAAATCTTTGTAAAGTGCAAAACATTTCTAAAGTGCATTTAGCTCATAAAGTTCATGTAGAGAGTTTTTTCAAATTTGATTTATTTATTTTTTGGTGCTGATTTATATATTTAAAGTGTTCAGCAGCTTCCAAGATGTGTCATACCCATTGACAGTATATATAACCGGGTCCTCCTTCGGCGGCTGGCAAACTACAACATCAGCCTGGTCCATCCAAGTTGCCCCCCTCAGCGGAGCTACTGATATCCACACCTCTGCCTGATCTCTCCCCTTCCCCTTCAGGTCAGCGGGTCAGTAGCTCCCCTCTCCCTCTCCCTCTCCCTCTCCCTCCGCTCTCTGAAGCAGTCTCTGATCCATCTGAAGGTAGCTCAGGATCTTTCTCCCCAACACCAGAGTTCCCTGATCCTACCATACTCAAATTAACCTCCTTTTAATCTAGTCAGTAAGAAGAGAAGAGGTAAGTTCTCCTCTAGTAAACAAGGAAAACGCCTAGATGATAAACCATCTCCATAAAACCAACATCCTCCTGTTTATTATGAGCTTCCTAAAAATTGCCACCTGGAACGCTCGCGGTATTCAGTCGAGTGCTTTCAGACATCAGAAAATGAATTATTTATTGAATACTGACTCTGATGTTCCGTGCACTCAAGAGCTGAGACTGAAAACAAAGGAGGATGTCGGTGAAGTAATAAATCTGTGGCATAAAGGTAAAAGTGTTGCTGACGGTGTTGGTATTTTCTTTAAAACTCATGATGTTGAAATAATTCATTATTGTAGGTAGACTGCTGATGTCAGATTGTTTTTATCAGGGTGAAAAATATCGTATTATTAATGTTTACACTGCTCCAGAAAGAACTAAGAAATGTCAATTGTTCAGAAAACTTAACTAATACTTAACTAAATATAATAGTTTGAAGCAGATGAAACAAATATCTATTATAGATGAAGAAACTATTACAAACTTAAAAACACAAATAGACAGCATTAATAATGAATTATTATATAATATATATAAAAAATAAAATCAAAAGCAAGTTCATTAAATCCATAAAGAACAAAGATGGTGACATTGTATTCAGTGAAAATAGGAAAAGAGAAACAATAAGAGATTTGTGCTACATTTTATCAGAAAATAGCTTTTTAAAGAAGATTCCTTCATACAGCCCATCAACCTTTAATTCACTCATTGGTGAAATAAAAAGGGACGAAGTGCTGCAGGCCATCAAACAGCTTAACGTTGGGAAAAGTCCAGGTCCTGATGGTCTGCCCACTGAGTTTTATCAGCTGTACATTGAGGAAGTCTTAAACCTGCTTACTTCAATGTTTAATGAAAGTCTGCACAGAGGATGTATGGGGGGTTGTTTTTATCAGGGTGTTCTTAATTTATTGTATAAAAAAGGTGATGAAACAAATATTGATAACTACAGACATCTTACCTTAATGAATACACACTATAAAATATTTGCTAAAATAATAATGAATAGACTTAATGATATACTAGATGAAATTATAGATAAAGAACAAACATGTGCCATTAAAGGCCGTGTGATGTGGGACAACCTGAGTATTTTAAGAGAAGTTCTGCACAAACCCGAAGATACAAAAGGTTTTTAATATTATTGGTCTGGATCAGAAAAAAGCTTTTGATTACATCTCCAGAGATTATCTCTGGGCGGTGATGGAAGCATATGGCTTTCCAACTGTTTTTATTCACATGTGTAAATGTAAATTTAATGTGGAGAGACGAGTGAAACAGGGCTGTCCTTCGAGCGCAGCTCTTTATGTTTTAGCAATCAGTCCCCTAATCAAACACATCAATAATGACAGTCTTTTATCTGGAACATATATCGGTCAGGATCATAAAGTCACTGCTGTGGCTTATGCCGATGATATCACTGTAATTATAAAGAATCAGACTGAAATGGATGTTTTAACTAATCATTTAATCTCATACGAAAACGCATCTGGTGCTAAATTAAATCACGACAAAAGTGAAGGAGTTTGGATTGGAGAGGAGAGAGACAGACAAAACATTAATATTGACATCAAACAGGAAATCCAAATACAAGGTCTGAAAATCTGCAACAAAGACAGTAGTAACAGAAACTACGAAAATAAACTGTGTGAAATCAAAGAAGAAGTAAAGAAATGGGAAAATAAAAATAAAAATTATAAATCAAGAATAAACATTGTCAAAACCTTTATCCTATCCAAACTCCTTTTCCTAGCTAATATTTCCTCCTAACACGAAACAATAATCTATCTTAACAAACAATGAACCTTGTCTGGGGAACAACTCGAGAGGTCACAATAAGAGATTTGTTATTTAAAAGTAAAGAATATGGAGGGTTAGGGGCAATAGAGCTTGGGGATAAACTAAAAATCTCTTCTGTTAAGAATGTATTTTTAGCTTTTAGCAGGAATGCTGTTTGGTTAGGGGAATTTTTAATGTGGAGGAAAACAAAAAGGAAAAACAAAGATTGGTCCATATTATAAATCAATTTTAAATATGGAGGTTTATTACATATAAGAATTTAACAGTGGCCTATTGTGGCCAGCCTAAGGCACACCTGTGCATTACCCATGCTGTCTGATCAGCATCTTGATATGCCACACCTGTGAGGTGGATGGATTATCTCGGCAAAGGAGAAGTGCTCACTAACACAGATTTTGACAGATTTGTGAACAATATTTGAGAGAAATAGGCCTTTTGTGTACATAGAGAAAGTCTTAGATCTTTGAATTCAGCTCATGATGAATGGGGGCAAAAACAAACGTGTTGCGTTTATAATTTTGTTCAGTGTAGAAAGACCACCTACTCAACTGAGGTCCTGTAAATAATCATGAAACACGCTGTTAATTTAATTCACTTTATGCAAATAACGTGCTAGTAACCACAATATGCACAGACATCCTTAAAGAATCAAGATTCAAGAGGTTTATTGTTTTAAATTTTATATTTTAAATAAAAGAAAAAAATCAACTGAAGTTAAATAAGGTGCTCTGTGTCTCACAGTTACAGTTAAGTGACATTAACATCACACACATCACATCACTTTCAACTAATGGAAGAATAAACACCAATTGATTGTTAAAGAGAAATAAGGTTTAAAGGTGTTTATAACGTTCAACATTTGAGCAGCACTCTGAAAACTAAAAACAAACAACAAACTTTTTAAACCTTTCATCTGACACACATTCTGTAACATTTACACACATCAACTTAAATTACTCATTGAGCAGCTCACTGATCCAAGTATTGATACTACAAAGGTTTTATTGGAGCAAAACAACTGAGCTCCTGTTACGTAGTAACTCAGTCTCTTACCAAGGGTGTGATATCTGAATACTCAGGGAAACATTACAGCTGTGTGTGTAAATGTTGATACATAATCTCATCGTATTAATGAGTGAATTTGTGAGATGAGTGAAAATCTCACTAGGTCAGTGGTTCCCAATATGAGGGTCGGGACCCCAAGTAGAGGTCACTGAAGATTCACAGACATTAGGCCTTCTTGATTGCAAAGGGTCTCAGTAAACTTTAATATATATATATATATATATGCCTGCCTACTGTGTATATTATATTATATATTACTGGTTTTAAATAAACGTCCTTCTGTCCCTTAGTTCACTATTTGTGTTAATTGTACAGTTTTTAAAGTATGCTACTGTCGGTTCCTGGACTCAGCTGACTGACTGAGGATACAAAGGAGGAATATAAAGAAATATCTAAATAAAACCTTCAAAAAGTGTTTAGTGGAAATTATTTTAAAAGTGTTTTTGTATTTTATTGTTGAAAACCAATTCATGTTTTTCCAGTGCGAGAGAGAGCGAGGAACACATGAGCAGGTTTAAGACGTAATCAATATATAACTGATCAAACCATCTGGAGCTTCAATCAACACTGAGTTGTTGGGTGGCCTTTCCTCCTTTTAACTCATCAATAAGTTAAATGTTTATTTATTTGCATTATTTAGAGCTCAGTTGTTGAATAATGTCTCTTTTCATGGTTTCTTATGGATGTAACTTAATAAGGTTTTGTAGGTTTTTGTTTTTATCCTGATTTAAGGTCATAAATCAGTTTCCTGTTGATAGATGTATAAAAGTTATTTAAATTAGTTTCTTTTACAGTATTGATGATCAATATGAACTGAATATAATTTATTGAAGTGAAGATGAGACAAGTCTCCTGATGCATCGTTGTACAGCTCAGGACTGTTTAAAAAGGACTGTTTTAATCTCAACAGCTATTTAAAAGATGAACTAAAATCCAGATGCAGTTTGATTATAAATAAAGTTATTGACAGCTTCACTCTTGGTCCACCAGAAGGAAGTGAATCACCCTTGTTAACACCTGAGAGATCAGAGGAAGAGATGATGCTCTGATTGGTATGTAAACAGGAAGTATAATAAAAATGTATAGAGGCATCCATTTATCACCAAGAGGTTAAAACCAGTAACCACATGATGGCAGCAATTCACTTCAAGAACAGATATTCTGGAATTAAATAATTGAGTGTAAAGGAGGATACAAAAAATATATATATATATATATTTCAATGAAAGCTGAGAACAGGAACCAGCCTCCGTAATAAGAGGAAGGTGTACTTCATAGTGATGGGTCGGTCGCGAACGAGTCGGCTCTAAGAGCCGGCTCTTTGAAGTGAACGATCGACGGGAGCCAGCTCGCAATCTAGAGCGATTTTTAATTTTTTTTTTTAATTGCCTTTTAAAGCCGCACGTGATTGGTCAAGATGTGTGGTAGAGTCTGTGTGTCTACACTGAGCAAGAGGGGGGAGGGGAGGGGTTACAGACACACAAGCAGCACAGTGAGCACACGAACAGGAGGGAGGGAGACGAGAGAGAGCCAGAGGAGAGAGAGGATTTTGCGATTTTTTCCGAGACTACAAACGAAGATGAGTGACAGGAAACGGAGTAAAGTTTGGACACATTTTAACATGTTAGACTCATCAAAGGCAGAGTGTACACTTTGCAAAGTGAAAATTTCATATCGAGCAGGGTCCACAAACAACCTGCACAGGCATATGAGAACCGTTCATCCAACAGTGCAATTAGAGGAGAAGAGACAAGTAAGGGAACCTGCTATAAATGAATGTGTCTACTGCAACTGTTTCTGCTCCTACAACATCTACAGCATCAGCCAGTATTCCACCACAACCACCTAGACCTACATCCCAGAGCTCTATGAGCCAGTTTTTGCAAAAGGCTATAACCCCAGCAAAACAAAACTCAGTTGATGAGGAACTGGCTAAAATGATTGCACGAGATTTTCAGCCATTTTCAATCGTGGAAGACAAAGGATTTAGAAGCTACACTCGTGCTCTCAATCCAATGTATGCACTTCCAAGCAGGAAAACACTTTCTCAAAAAATCTTCCCAGGCCTATATGACAAAGAACGTGCTTTACTCCTAGAAAGGGTCAAAAAAGCCACAGGTGTTTGTTTAACAACTGACTGCTGGACATCCCGAACCACCACATCCTACATGTCAGTTACATGCCACTTTATTGAAAGGTACAAAATGGTGTCATGTCTACTGGATTGTTTTGAGTTTAGTGACAGACACACGTCTGAGAACCTAGCAGAGCAGCTGCTCAAAGTGGCAAAAGAGTGGGATGTGGAAAACAAAGTTGTGTGCTGTGTTAGTGACAATGCTGCTAACATAACAAAAGCAATTAAAACCCTAAAATGGACCCATCACCCATGTCTTGCACACACAATTAATTTGATTGTAAGAGATGCTCTGAAGGTGATGAAGCCCACTGTGGACAAAGTTAAGGCAATAGTGGAATTCTTGCACAGGAGTGCAACAGCCACAGAGAAGCTCAAATCAACCCAAGGACAGATGGGCATGCCTGAGCTGAAGCTGAAACAGGAGTGTGTTACAAGGTGGAACTCCACCTTCCATATGCTAAAACGGATTCTGGACTCCAAAGATGCAGTAATCTCCACCCTGGCTGTTATCAATGCACATGTTGATCCTCTGTGCCAAGAGGAATGGGAGGAACTGCAGGAGGCCTGCACTGTTCTGGAGCCATTTGAGCAGGTCACTGTAGAGATCGGTGCAGACAGGTACAGTGTACAAATGTTATGTTATTATTTATATTATTACTTTTCATTTATCATGTTTATTAGATGTTGCATTATTAGTATGAAAAGCAGATGAGACATGACGGGATATATAATACATACTGCTTAATAATACAAAGTATAATTCATTTATTTTTATTACTCTTTTTCAGCTATGTTACAGCCTCTAAAATGTTGATCCTGTGCAAGGGTCTGCAGAGTGTGACAGCTGATCACCAGACCAGAATAACCATGGGGAAAGTGAAGGTGTTAGTGGATGCGCTGTGCATCCATGGAAAGAAAATTCCACAGAATGGAATACAACACTGTTCTGTCAGAAACCGCCATTCTTGACCCAAGATTCAAGAAGCTGGCCTTCACTGAAAATAGTGCGGTGGATGAAGCTCTTCAGAGAATTAGTGCAGCAGCAGCAGCAAGATCCAGCCAGTCAAGTCCACTGCCAAGGGGCCAAGAGGGAGAAGAGGCAGCAGAACCAGAACAGGAACCACAAGCATCTGCTGTTTGGAGATTCTTTGAGGAACGAGCAACTGGGGAAAGTACAAGGAATCCAATAGCAGATGCAATGTTGGAAGTGAGATCATATCTCGAGGAGCCCCTTTTCCAGAGAACTGCAGACCCACTGAGCTGGTGGGAGACCAAGTGTTCAGTCTACCCACGTCTTACACGTGTGATGGTACGTAGACTGTATCGTAGCAACATCTGTCCCCTCAGAGAGAATCTTGTCCAAAACCGGGCAGATCATTACAGAAAGGAGAAACAGGATCAACCCCTCAAAGCTGAGGCCATTGGTTTTTTTGAATGCCAATCTTTGCTGAAGACTTAGACACCTGGATGCTGCTTTTTCCTTTTACACATTTTAGATTATATTTTGTTGAGTGATTGGTTGATGTTGTGTTTTTTCACTGTACATAGTTGCACATTTACAAATAATTGGACCTTTGTCTAATTAAAACAGGTCTTTATTTTTAAATTATGTTCCATGTTAAGTTTATTAATAAAGCCATATGGATAATATACATATGATATATTGAATGTTTTTCTTTTACATTAGTAATTCATTTTACACAATTTGGTAATACATTAATTCAAACAAAAAAAAAAAAAAAAAACAAATCTGGAGGAGCCACTTGGGAGCCGAAATTCCCATCACTTGTACTTCAGTTTGCAATGTAGATATCAGATGTGTTAACGCCGAGTAAACAAAGGTTAAACTGAGTCAGCATTGTACAATAAAGTATTAAATGTATAATGTAGGACATTAGCTCTCAGTAGAAGCAGTGTGTGGCCCTGAAAAGGACCTTTGTGTTGTTGGTTGTAACAGCAGGTTTACTTGGAGCTGGTGTACTTGGTCACAGCCTTTGTTCCCTCAGACACAGCGTGCTTGGCCAGCTCACCGGGCAGCAGCAGGCGGACGGCGGTCTGGATCTCCCTGGAGGTGATGGTGGAGCGCTTGTTGTAGTGAGCCAGACGGGAGGACTCACCGGCGATGCGCTCAAAGATGTCGCTCACAAAGGAGTTCATGATGCCCATAGCCTTGGAGGAAATGCCGGTATCAGGGTGGACCTGCTTCAGCACCTTGTACACGTAGATGGCGTAGCTCTCCTTCCTGGTCTTTCTCTTCTTCTTGCCGGTCTTGGTGACCTTAGACACGGCTTTCTTGGAGCCTTTCTTGGGCGCTTTCACTGTATCGGGCATTGTTGCTCTGACTCGGTTTATCGACCGCGGTGAACTTCTGACTGTCGGAGAGGTTTATATGCATGAGCCTGATGCTAATGTCACTGCGCTGTTGCTCGCACACGATTGGCTACAGTGTTGTTGTCGTCACGAAGCTCCGCCCCACACAGTCAGTAATTATGGTGATTGAAAATAAAAAGTTAACTGATAATAAAAACACAAATGTGATGAATGTATATAAAATAAACAAATCTTCCAGAGTATTAGAGACATAACTTGTTAAACTGTTAAAATATTAGATCATTTTACTTTATTTCATGTAAAATAAATGTAAATGTGTACAATAAGTTTACAGTCAGTGGCCTGATCATTTCTAATAAATGCTGCAGATTAATAATCTTTGGACAATGTTAGAATAAATATTTATAGGAAGGAGCACCAGACTAAACAACCAGAGAAACTTGTGCCACCAGTATTGTTTTACATCCACAGATCAGCTATACAGAGCGTCTGTCATCCAACAGCATCTATTAAAAGATGAATTCAGTTAAAAAAGGAATAAATCAGTAAAATCAGTGGAAAGGGACACACCAACATTAGATATTAATAATAATGAGCTGTAATCACTGATATTGATATTCTTTCAATCAACAGTTTCAGTGGGTAACAATTCACTTTCAGGTAAATGAGTTTATGGAGTAAATCAGAATCACTTTTATTGTCCAGGTTTCTGCTCATACAAGGAATTTGTTTTACATTGCTACCTACAGTTATACATATACATATATATAAACAAACAAAAACAATAATATTAGTAGACAATAGTGCAAAGGATGCTGAAATAAATATTTATGTGCAGGTTTCTTTATTGACACGAGGTAGAGGTGGATATGACAGTACATACAGTATGCACAGAAAAGGTAGATGTATTAGAGTCATAGTATTTATGTTTTATGTTTTTATAAAATAAATTGAATTTCAACAAATACATAATAAATAGTTTACAGGTGCAGTAATTACTAGAGTCCCAGTGTCATTGTACAGGGATTGTTCCTGACACTGTGTGTCTGTAGTTCACTGTTCATCAGAGTGATGGCTTGTGGGTAGAAACTGTTTCTGGGTCTGTTTGTGTTGGCGTACAGCGCTCTGTAGATTCCTGAGTGCAGGAAGTACAACCTGCAGTAAGAACAACAACCTCTGCTGGGCCTTCTTGATGATGGTGTCTGTGTTGGACTCCCACTTGAGGTCCTGGGAGATTGTGGATCCCAAAAACCTGAAGGTTTCCACAGCAGACACAGGGCTGTTGGGCGTGGTGATGGGGGGCAGAGTTGAGGGGCTCCTCTTAAAGTTCACTGTCATCTCCACAGGTTTGATCGTGTTAGGGTCCAGGTTGTTTTGACCACACCAGAGGGTCAGCTGTTCAACCTCCCGTCTGTATGCAGACTCATCACCGTCCTGGAGGAGGCCGATGACTGTTGAGTTTGACAGACTGGTCTCTGTAGCATCACCTTGGATTGTAGCTGTGGGCACGCTCTGTGTGGCTGAGACGGTTGGCGTTGGAATAGGAGGAGCGGAGGTAACCAAAGAAGATGGGACGGGAAGGTAGAAATGAGAGAAAAAGACAGGATGCTGTGATGGAGGGATGCATGTGCTCAGGTTGTTTGTGAATTCTGGTGTAAAGAAGACGATGGATAAGAAGCAGAAAGGGCAGGTACTGGGTTTGATACGACCTCTGAGAGGGAGGGTGGTACTTTGCTGGAAGTCTTTGAAAAGTTAGAAAAGTTTTGCTTTGTTGTTGGTTTGTTTTCTGTATTTCTTGTCTGACGCAGATCGTGTGGAAACTGAGTCAATGAGGGAGTGAACAGATAAGGCGAGTGCAATGTGTGGTCTTTGTTCCTGAACCTAGTTATAAAATATAATTTAGCTTAGCACAACTTCTCCTGCAAAGTGTTGAATGTTACTGAACTGAAGAGACTACAAGGATGAGAATGTGAACACAGAATAACAAGGAGGCATTACTTTGCTACAACTAATAAAAACAATATCATTCATCTTAAAATTAGTAAATCTGTAGTGGCAGCCAGTACTACTTTAACGTTTTAAAATCACCAGATGCCACTGATGCTGAAGTATATTCATTTACTTTCTTTCAAACAGTTATTTTGCAGACTAACAAGATTTTACTGGGAGTTTCCATGTGATATGATACATTTATATTTGTTGTGTTGGGCTTACACCTCATTTGGATCTGATTAATGATTTTTGTTTCATCATACTTACCAGAATTATTCAGCTGCTTCTTAAGCTAGTCTCTCTCTGCAGTCAGGTGTTTATAACTCGCCTCAATACCTAGTTGAGGATAGTTATCACAATGATTATGTTCACAACTAAAGAGACAGTTTACTTTGAAACAGGATTCCCTCATGTAATTGATCCGTTCTCTCACAGAGCTGAAACTAGAAATGTGAACTAATAATGTCATCTAGTAAACTGTGACTTAATGTAGACAGGACTTTTATGAAGGTTTTTAAGGCTGAAAAAATTTACTTGGCATCAATTTAATCAATAACTCAAATCTGAAGCACAAATTCATACCTGGAGATGTACTACCTAATGAACCAATATTTACTCTTTCAGTCATCTTGTGGCTGAATTGGAGCAAATCTCCTCAGCCAGGGTCCAAAGTTTTGTGGAAAGTGAGATATACAAAAGTAACCAGATGTAAGTCCACACAATGTATGTGTACTTTGTCCAGGTGTCCACACACCAAGTGTAACTCCATGTTCTGTTTCAGTGTATGCATTTACACATATTTGGCACCAATCACCCAAACTGGTCTCTCTGCCCCCCCATCTTTTACAGTAAAGATGAAAAACTATTACTAAAAACCTTCGAACATATTGTTTTGAATTTTGGTACAACCTAGAGCAGCAACAGCACCAAAAAGTGACAGAAAAAACCCAGGATATATCTTGGGTTTTTTCCTGTGAATGGGCTAAATGTATGTAGCCCAAGCACAGTAGCATAAGCTTCCATTCACTTTTGATTGACAGGTGTCGTGACACACCCCCTTCATATGCTGCCCATTTGGGCTAAATTCATTCAGCCCAAAGGCTGACCTTCGACCAATCACAGTGCAGTAGCTACAGTACAGTGAGGCTAGTTCGTAGTATGGCGGGTGTTAGCATGATCATGAACCATGAGGTGGATTATTTATTTTCTAATCAATTCTCTATAAAGTCTTTGGAGGAAAAATCAGAAGTACTGGGCGCCTGGTTAGCTCAGTTGGTAGAGCTGGCAACCCATGTACTGAGGCTGAGTCCTTGCTGCAGCAGCCCAGGGTTCGAATCCAACCTGCAGCCCTCTGCTGCGTGTCATCCCCTTTCCTGTCTATCTCCAGCTGTCACTATCATAAAGGCAATAAAAGCCCCCAAAAATACTTTTAAAAAAAGTACAGAGATCGGGAACACATCAACCAAACAATGTTCAAATAACACAAAAGGACAAACGACAAAATCGTAACGTTAGTTTTGTGTTACGTGGTTTCAGCGAGCGGACTGGCTAACAGCACGTGTAGCTAGGAATTCACTTTTCTGTTTCCCATTTTTGTTTTTTGGAGGAGATACGACGAGGAATTGTGGATTTAAAATATTTATCCAACAAAATTAGGAAACATGAATGCCGCTGCTACAACGAGCCACATTGGAAATAGCATTAAGCTGTCATTGCTGGGTAAAGTGAACATCGACTGTCAGCTTAATGAGGGCCACCGCACCGTGTACAGAGACACAACGAGCTGGTAAAGAAAAACAGGCATTCACACATTCACACACAGTATGGGGGACACAAGCGTGCCCTGCGGGGGTCCGATTAATCTCCCACTTCACTCCAGCGGGGACCAGTTCTCTTTTTTGGACAGTCACTTTGCCGATCACCTGTCAAACACACAGGTTGCAAAGTACACGTCTAAGACCACAGATTCTCTCAAAAGGAGACAGGCCCTGGAGAATTTTTCGTGCTTCATATCTGATCTGCTGACCACAGATGACAATCAGCCACATCCAGATGCGGACACAGCTGCAGCCGCTGTAACACCGCACAGGATGCGGTACTCTGATAATGTGTCAGAAGCCGCACAGTGTGCTTTGAGAAAGCCAGGCACTTGTTGTCTTTGCATGTGCACATTACCCAATGATCTGCATGGAGAAACTGAAAGGTGAGCTGATGGTGATGTACAGCAGGGTGGAGTTTGACATGGTGATTAACCTGTTTGTGTCACGGAAAGGAGGTCAATGTGAGCTGTGTTTTAAATAAGGTATGCCCAAGCTCTGAAACAACTCTCTCTTCTACAGATATTTATTTTTGCTTTGGTTTTATAGAATTATTTTTGGTACATGGTGTTGGGTGTTGCAAATTGTTGCTGGTACTTTTCTATCATGTAGTAGCGCAATTGGCATGTGCTGATGTGTACAGAGGAGAGAGAGAGAGAGAGAGAGAGAGAGAGAAGAGAAGATTTTTTTTTCTTCAGAAGAGAACGCTCAACTTTTTTTAAAAAAAAAATCATGGCAACCAAAAGAAAACAGAAAATGTGGTCACTGTTCGACAGGTGAGGTTGACACAGAGATGCGCTTTCTCCTACAATGTACAGAATTAAATAATACTAGAAACATTTATTTGAACAAGTTCAGCTCTTTGGTACCAGATTTCAAAGAGCTGAACGACCTCTCCAAATTAAAAATACTCCTCGAAGAAGGAGAGCGGGCACACCTTGCTGCCCAGTATATATTAACATGCCACAACTTGAGGGACAGTGAGTGATCGAGGCACACACATGCACAGACACACACAGACACACACACACACACACACACACACACACACACACACACACACTGTATATAACTAATATAATGTTCATATAATAATAATGTATATATCTTTGATTTATTGTATTGTATTCGAATACTTTGCTTTGGCAATATTGTTTTTTAAAAAAACTTTCATGCCAATAAAGCCCATTTTGAATTTGATAGAGAGAGAGAGAGAGAGAGAGAGAGAGAGAGAGAGAGAAAACAGATACAGAGAGATTTTTTTTGGCATCAGGTCATTCTTTTGGGTATGATGTCTCCCCAGTGTTGCCGTAGAGCCCTTGCTATAACAAAGTATACAATGTTGTTGCTGTAACTTGATGTGATGCTACTGTTGCTACTGTTGCTACTGTTGCTGCTGTGTGGCGTATTGATGAGTGTAATGCATTTGTTAGCCCACCCACCCAAAATCACCACCAGCCGTCACTGTGTAAGCCCATAGAAACAGTAGGCGGTGACCTGGGTGGGAAAGGGCAGACTTGACATAAAACAACAGCTCAAGAGTCAAAACAAAACAGCGGCAGATCACATTATGCTACTTAAAAGACCAGCGTGAGAGAAAGAGTATGAAACAGCCGAGGCCACAGACAACATGACAAAGTCAGCACAGTTTCAAAATCGGCCCATATATTCAAACTCACCAAGGACATTATCGAAGAAGTGGAATCAGGTCGTTTAAAAAAATAGTTATTAAAACAACAATGTAAGAATTCACCACCTTCACCTGAGTAACTCTTTAAAGCAACTCTCCTGGCTGAAGCATCAGGGATGTTTCCAAATTCAATAGTGATCTCTGATTCCTCTTTATAGACAAACATATTTTATCTGCGGGAGCGTGATCAAAGTTTTAAAGGTGGTTTCTCCTCAGACTGGTGACAATCTATGAACTGCTTCTTCTTTTGTTGCTTACACAGCAAGCTGCTCTTGTTCTTCCTCATTTTAAAGTGAATGATTCTCAGTCCTTGATTCAAACTATTTTTCATAAAGGCCTTTACACACTTTACAAATTTTTTCAAACATCATCTCACAGGAAGTGTGCTGCTAAAAAACACAGCATACTTTATTGACTGCTGGAGGCTAATGTGTAAAAGAGGAGGAAGGCGAACCAGGCTCAAAAAGTGAGGTTCAATCTGCTCTGCATCTTTAAATACAGGAGACTGTGCTAGTAGAGATGGAGAATTTATCTGTATATCTAGTGCACACATGCAGATACATACAGACACACAAGAGCTGTGGACCCAATGCTGTGGTTCAGAGAAAAAGATAAGATTCTCTTGAGCTCTAATCTTTAAACAACCCACCACGAGCGTGACTGCAAAAAACGCCACAAAACATCAGACTCACATGCAAGTCAGTCTGTATGAGTTTAATTTCAAAATAACTTATTCACAGTTTAAGTTATATCTGTATGCACTATCCAGTGGCAAACAACGACCTCTCTCATGTGGAGAAAACTCTGCTGGATGAATGTGATGTGTTTTTATTACACCAGCTCAAATGAAAACATTTTAAAGTGGACTCTATACTGGAGACAGTGCTGTTCTGTGAATGCCAATCATTACCGTATGTGCTGGGACTGTAATGTAATCTATTACATTCAGCCGGATTAAAGAGAGTGTGAATCCGACCTGCGGCCCTTTGCTGTGTGTCATCCCCTCTCTCTCTCTGCCCCCCCTGTCTGTCGTCAGCTGTCCTATCAAATAAAAGCCAAAAAAAAACCTTAAAAAAAAAAAAAAAAAAGAGTTGCAGCTGCGATGGGTTAACGTTAGTCACCGACACACATATTTTATTTGCACTTTTTTATTATGTCATTGTAGCTCGAGCAATCAAGCACCTTGTTTCTCTTTAAGTTAAACTTGAATGTAATGTAAATTTTTTCTGTCATTGTCATTTGAAGCTATTTTATTTATTTATTTTATTTAAATTTATGTGTGTGTACTTCTTACATGTTTGGTAGGTAAAATAAATATGTTGTAAATTCAAATCAGAGCGTCTTCCATGTCTGGAATTTAATGTATTCTTGAGTCTATAAGGTAACAATAATATAATAATAAGATAACCTTGTTTGACTTGTGAAATGGGTGACTTAAAGAACATTTTGGTTTTGTCTATACTATACTATGTACATGTACTATATTAACTGGGTTAAATAGAGTTGTAAAATGGACTAAAGTACAATTTTCATTGACTAAAACTAGATGAAAATAGTCATGGATAATTCTGACTAAAATAAAACTAAAATGCTCAGACTTTTAGTCAACTGAAACTTGAGTAGACTAAAAAGAGTATAAACGTGACTAAAACTAATAAAAACTAAAATGACAGTTTGACACAAAGACTAAAACTAAAATTAAAACAGGCCGCCAAAAACAACACTAGGATGAAGGCAAGTTAATGAAAGGTGGGAAAGCGAATATATGTTTGTGCTTCAAGGAGAAAAAACAGTGTGTCTTTTTTGTTATGAGGCAGTGTCGGTGGTGAAGGAGTACAATTTACCTAAACACGGAGATAAGTATGCTAAATTTAGCCTCCAAGAAAAACAACAAATCGCCCAAGAATTAAAAGGCAGACTGCAATCGCAGCAGGAAATGTTCACAAAAGCTACAGGCAAAAATGATGCAGCAGTGAAAGCTAGCTTTATTGTGGCTGAAGAAATCACCCGAGCTTCGCAGTGTTTTTCAGAGGGTGTATTTTTGAAGCGGTGCATGCTGAAGATGTGTGAACAGGTGTGCCCCGAACAGATACAGACTTTTAAAAATGTCAGTTTGTCAAGAATTGCAGACCGAGTTAAGGAACTTGTAGGAAATCTGACAAAACAGCTGGCCGAAGAGAAACGCACTTATCAGGCTTTTTCATTAGCTGTTGATAAATGAATGAATTGATGAATATTAGTCCTGTTTGGCTAGCAACTTAGACTTTAAATATTGGCCCCTTGTGATTGAGTTTGACACCCCTGCTGTAGATGGTGAAAGCATGCTGTAAAACACACACACATTTGCAGGCAGATTTTGATGCACAAATAGTTTGATTTAAATTGCCATTATAGTACTGTAATATAGTAAAATCAATAAAGTTGAGAGTTACACCATTTCTCTGTTTGAAATTCACCAAAAAATAAATATTCTCATTCTTTTCAATTAACAAAAAATGGAATATAATATTCATAGGTATGTTTTCATTAGTTTCACCTGAATATAGCCGCTGGTCGCCTTCTATAGTGTCCACCATGTTGAACCATCATGTTTCTACGATGGACCAGAACAGACAAACCAAACACTGGCTCTAGATAGCAGTGTTCGCTTTTTTGTTTTTGCACTTGGTAGTGGAGGGGGAAGCAAGGCAGTTGCAATCTGCAATACATTGCTACTAAAGCCACTAAATCCTACAAATTGGACCTTTAAAACAAAGCTATGTAATCTTAGTTTTGTAAAATTGTATGGTTTTTTTTTGTTGTTGTTTTTTTACAAAAAACTGCAAAACTTTTTTAAAGAAGAAACAGACAAACTATGTGAAGATTGCAACAAATGTTTATTGTAACATTTAGCATTGAGCAATACAAAGCACTCTTTTTATTATGTTGCAACCAAAGCAGTGGAGCTAGTTGTATCTTTTTTTTCTGTGTATTATAACAGATAAACAAATGTGTTTTAGACTAGATCTGCACTAAGGCAGCAAATCTGAAAACTCTGTTTACGCCTAGAAATAATGTGTGTCCACGTTAACATATTTAGGTTTATTTTGAGAAGGTCTACGCTGAAATGCCAAAACAGAAAAATGGCTGAATATCTTCTATCATTTTGTCTTTGCTGAGTCTCAGCTGTTTCTGTCCCTTCGTGCTCTCCACAATCACCAGTACTTTGTTTTAATACAAAAAAAAAGGGACAGGGAATGAATACCTGAGCAGGTATTCATTATTTTTTCATTGAAATGACTTTGTGTGGATGCAGCACCAAAGCAGACAGAAAAAACATTTACAGACATCTGGTGAGTTTGGATGCTGAGTTACAGAGACACTTTCTTTTCACAGATCCAGAAGTTTGGAAGATCACATTGGAAATCATTCCAGCTGTTTTTCTTTTCATGTTCGTTTTACTTCGACACAGTCTTCTTTAAGGTCAGAGTTGTTAGGCTCACCATCCATCCAGTAGCTGAAACCCCAAACCAAACAATATGTTATTTGTAAAGTTGAAACATTCAGGATTTAGTTTTTCCAAAAAGGTAGTCAGATATTATTATTACAATAATTGTAAAGCTTCTTTCTTTTAGCACAACAGATTGTAAAATGTGTGAACCTTGTGGTCAGTGGAGTCCCATCAACCCATTTCCACGTCCCCTCTGTCTCACTGTCAGTCAGTCCAATCCACATGTTATTCTTCAATTGTCTTGTGAAATCCTTTTAACAGAGAGAAACAATTAAACAAATGAGTGAATCCAGCTTCTACCTCAGTCAACTTTCATTCATTAATCTTTTGTTGACTGAATACAAGAATGTTTCTGTCTTACACATAGATTAATAGATGCATTACAACACACACCTGCTCTTCTTCGCTGTTGATAATCATCAGGTCAGTACCTTTTTGCCGACAGTCATCTCTACTGGCTTTCCAGGTTTTCTTGATTGAAGAAATATAATAGACATTACCATTGAAATACCTCCATCCTTGTTTGGAATAGTGAACTGTTGAAAAGAGAAATAATTGAATGGTAAATAGACCTGTATTTGTATAGCACCTTTCTAGTCTTCCAACCACTCAAAGCACTTTTACACTACATGCCACATTCGCCCTTTCACACACATTCACACAGTGATGGAAAAGCCCATCGAACAGAAACGGACTCGTTCATTCACACACCGATGACGCAGCATTGGGAGCAATTTGGGGTTTTTTAAGTATCTTGCGCAAGGATACTTCGACATGCAGCGGATGTTGACAAACAATTTGCCTCTCGCTGTATCTGATTTGAGGTTCTGCCCAAGGGCACTTTGACAGGATCAGATTTTTACAAATATTGCAGTTACACCCTTTTGGTTCCCTGATTACTGGTATTAATAGATTTATCCTCATACTTACCCCAAACATTCAGTTCCCTCTTCAGCTCGTCTCTCTCTCCAGTCAGGGAATTCAGCTGTAAAGCTGTAATTTTGAGTAGAGATGTTAAAATAATTTGCAGAATTAATTTTATTACAGTAATTCATTCACATAGATATAGTTTGTTTAATATTTGTCAGTACAAACCCCCCTCCAGCAACAAACCAGAGATCTGTGGCTTTTTATATACTGGAATATGAGAAAGTTTACAGGTTTAAAATTGTAACATGGAGTTAGTTTTACTTAAATAACATAAAATCAAAACTGGAATGTTATATTTACTTTTACAGTATAATATTAGTGTCACCACTAGTGATTCTGCAATCACAATCTTTTTGTTTGCTTCTGTATCTTGTTAGCGTAGCACAAATTCTCAGCAAAGTGTTTAAAGTTACTGAACTGAAGAGACTACAAGGATGTGAATGTGAACACAGAATAACAAGGAGGCATTACTTTGTTACAAATAATAAAAACAATATCATTCAATTTGAACATCCTTCATCTTAAAATCAGTAAATCTGTAGTGGCAGCCAGTACTACTTTAACGTTTTAAAATCACCAGATGCCACTGATGCTGAAGTATATTCATTTACTTTCTTTCAAACAGTTATTTTGCAGATTAACAAGATTTTACTGGGAGTTTCCATGTGATATGATACATTTATATTTGCTGTGTTGGGCTTACACCTCATTTGGATCTGATTAATGATTTTTGTTTCATCATACTTACCAGAATTATTCAGCTCCCTGTGCAGCTCGTCTCTCTCTGCAGTCAGGGAATTCAGCTGTAAAGCTGTAGTTTTGAGTAGAAACGTTAAGATAATTTGCAACAGAATCAGAGCATGCCAGACAGACAGAATTTCTATATTTTATTACAGTAATTCATTAACACAGATATAGTTTGTTTAATATTTCTCAGTACAAACCACCCTCCAGCAACAAACCAGAGATCTGTGGCTTATATACTGGAATATAAGATAAAAATATGATGCAAAATAAAAAATTGTAACATGGAGTTAATAATGTCATATTCTCTTTTCAGAATTGGATTTATTGCCAAGTAGGTTTTTACACATATGAAGAATTTGTCTTGGTGCACTGGTGCATAAAATATACAAATCACACAAAAATATACAAATCACACAAAAATCACACAAGAATAAAAAAATATAAATAAATAAAGATAAGAAAGATAAGAAAAGATAAAACACTGCACTGATTGCCCGTACAGGTGTGAATGTGAGCATGAATGTTTGTCTCTATGTGACTGTGTGCCGGTGATGAACTGGTGACCTTTCCACAGTACACTCCACCTTTTGCCCAATGTCAGCTGGGATCTGCTCCAGCCCCATGTGGGTTAAGTGGGTATAGAAAATGGATGGATGGATGGATGTTTTAATTTATTGATAACAGGTGAGGTAGTTTGTTTAATATTGTAACTATCATGATTTGTGATTGTTTCTGATTCTAAACATCCATAAACTATAATGCAATTTCTGCAACACCAAACAAGATCATTTGTATTTGAGTATTTGTAACTATAATACACTGATTTGGATAGAAATCAGAGGAAACACAGATTGAACGTACAAAAACAATTCAAAACAACTCACTGAGAGCATGACGCAGAAAAATATTGAGAGCAGCTTGTAGGACACACAGGAGTCCAAAACTCACAGCAACCAGTCGGTAGAGTTTTTTTTCTGTGTGCAGAAATCAAACACACACGTGAAGAATTGTTATTATTCTGGATGAACTTCACATGTAGTTGTTTAATTATAGAACTTTATGAATCTGATAATTTACAAAAATATAACTCTTGCTGTGCACCCAAACAGAACAAGATACACAACCTTAAAGTTACTTACCCCTGGATGAAGCATCAGGTTGGTTCTCATCGTCCAAAGTCATCTCAGACTCCTCTTTAAAGACAAACTCAAAATATTTTTACCACCTAAGATTTACTAAAGTGTGTAAGTGTGAGAACTGCACTGATGGCTTGTGTAAACTGCTTCTTCTTTTCTGTTATGATATTAATCTGCTTACCAGAGCAACTCACTTCCCTTTCTTGCCTTTCAGTAATCAGATCATTATCACTCATTTCTATTTTAGTTGAGCACGTAGGAAGAGATAAATGTCTGTAGAGAAAAGAAACTTTTACAAAATTAGCAACATTTAATTTCTTACAGTCAGAACATGAGGAATATTTGATGAAAATAAAACATGTTTTCAAAGCCACTGTTAAAGCCGTAGTGGTATTTTTAGGTACTGATGACGCAACTCTGTATCAGCAAGTACCCGTAAAGAAGTACTTGTACTTGTATTTGGTCTGAAAAAAAAAAAACAAAAACGGTATCAGTGCATCTTTAATTATCACCCACCCTTTTTCATTTTGACTTTGCTCTCAGTTTTCTTCCATGGATGCAAATTAAAGGACAATATGTAGGATTTCGGGCATCTTGCGGTAAGTTTGCAGATTGCCACCAACTGAATACTGCTTGCCTTGTGTGTGTAGCAGAAACCATGTGAAAGGCCCTATCTAGAGCAAGTGTTTGGTTTGTCCATTCTGGGCTCCTGTAGAAACATGGAGGTTCAACTTGGTGGACCCACGTCTTTTGTAGCTAAATGGCTCATCAAGGTAATGTAAACATTGTTCAAGTCATTACACACTAATGAAAACATACCTATGAATAATATATTTCATTTCTGCCAATAGATCCTCCTAAAGTTTACACATTGGACCTTTAAGTGAAAAAAGCAATATGATGTTTTCAACCATGTCAGGAAAGCCAAGCTGGACATATACTCTCAAGAGTTGGAGCGAGTCTGAAATGATTGACACATTGTGTCAGTATAAACAAACAAAACTACAGAAATATCAAACTAAAATAAGAATTTGAGAGGGAATAAAACTCAAAGAAAAGCAATCCCAAAAGTAAAACCTCCAAACAAATGAATGGTGTAATTGTTTAATCTATTGGTTTTATCCTCTTTGATTATTTCCTTTTGTATACAGTTCCCTCTGCTTCTTTCTCACTGATCAGACTTTTACCCTCACTGTTGGCTTTGTGCCATTTGTTCACGCACAAATAGGACTTTCTTAAGTATTTAATGAGGAGATTAGAAAAAGGTCAGTTGTTGGCTGATATACCGTATACTCAAAAATAACCGTGTGGTTTGTATTATATCAGGAAAGCCAAGTTTTACAACCATTATAACAAAAATAGTTGATGGTTTGAGACCACCAACATTTTGAAATGTAAAAATCATTAACTTTTTGACAGTGACCTTTCTTTCTTCATATGCATGAAGAATATTCTGTGTTTACGCATTGTCTCTGATGGAGGAATTAAATGCACATGGTATAATAAAGCTTGTTATTATTTCTCACAGAACTCATTCACATGACTTGGATAATTGTTGTTGCTCTGACCTCTACTGGTTAAATGTTTCCACACTATTGTAATACACTGCTGACAGCCCTTAATCTCATGTAGTCTGACTAATCCATTTTATCACATTGAAGCAGATTTGATGAAAGTCTAATATTTACTTTTAGTTCTTTATTTGTTATATGTACAATAATTAATAATTACAATTCTTTATTCTTAGACTCCCTCCAACAATGCTCGTACAAAACGTATGAAAATAAAATCACACCAGTAAAAAAATGATAATCCAAGATATATAAAACAGCACAAAAGTTAAAATACATGAATGAATACAACACAATATATAAAATACAATAGAAGAAAATTAATTATAATAGAGTTGTGTATGGTGATAAACCCTGGCTGGATATTGAATAAGACTCAAAGTCCATTGGTATTGTTAGAAACTAAACCAACCACCAACTACATAAAAATGGCTTTAAGAGTATTTAAGGTGATTCAGAGAATATATTTGCCTCTACAACAGGAGCTACATGACTCTATATGACAAGGGAAGAGATCTGACCACAAACAAACTGTTTGTCACTGCAGTAAGATGAAAATATCAAGTAAAGGTCAGTGGTGTGACTGTCATCATTATTTTAACTTGAGATGGTGTGAAGATGTTCTCTTTGGAAACAAAACAAAACAAACAATGACTCAGAGACTAAATATACACAACTTGAATATTTCATTACCAATAATAAGTTGTACGATATCTACAAACAGTAAAAGCAATAAACTGCATTATTGCAATATGATATAAAAATGTTGCTAAATGTTTCAACATGTTAGGTTATAACAGTAAATGGTGAAAAAATATATGATGTACTTAAAAGTTGAACTGGGGGTTTCTGACAACTCTTCATCACCTGTCTGAAATACAAGACCACAGCTGCCGTTGTTTTTGAACCATAAACCTCAGTGCAAGGTCCAACTTGTTTCTGAAGCTTTTAACCACCTCTTGCACATCTTGCCTTCGTCAGCAGATGAGGATTTAGTTGTTATCATCCTATTTAGGTATGAGATTGTGGTCACATGATAACAGTTAGTTTGGGTGGGAAATCAGATCTCCCCTGTTTCTGTTTAAAGATGGCGTGTGCTGTTGGAAGTGACTGTCCTCCTCCTCCTCCTCTTCCTCCTCCTCTTCTGTCTGCTGACTGGTTGGCTGTCTGAGAATAAAACATAACTGGATGAATTTCAGTTTCTCTTTATTTATTATATTTTATTGGTGTGAATGCAGGGTCTAATTCACTGTTCAACATAGAAAATCAGTTTTTAACTGTAAATGCTATTTCAACTCTTTTCATTGCTTCTTGCCCCTCGTTTGAATCTCTTGTAACTCCACTGTCCTCATGCAGTTCAGCTCCTAGCTATTATGAAGCAATATGTAGAGGTGGGACCAAGTCATTGGTTTGCAAGTCACAAGCAAGTCCAAAGTCCTAAACAAGTCATAATGTGCTCTAAACCAAATCTAAAGCCATCTTAACAACAGAGGGAATGAAACTAGATTATTTTTAACGTAAAGTTTGTTCTTCTTTCCTGCAACTTGATTGGTTCAAACAAAGTGGATTTGGGGAATAAGTGTGGACTTGCTGGGAATGGACATTGTTAACGTTAATTGTTTTAGGAAATGAATTGATTCATGGCACACGTTTCAAATAACAATATTGTAGTTTTCTGCACAGAACGGTGCGTCATACATCACCAAACTCACTTCTTTATTTCTAGTTGTGCAGATGCTGACTATGCAGACATGTGCCACTCAAACTTGTCATTTACCCTTTCAGTTACCCAAACAGTGCAATTTTATTTTCATTGCCTTCTATTTTTTTAATGAATTATAAACAGTGTTGGGCAGAAACTCATTACTAGTAATATTACTTTTCCCATAACTAGTAGTGTAACTAATTACTAATAAATGTCAGTGTTAATTGTTCAGTTTTTAATAGTAATAATAATAAAATATGCTGCTGTCAGTTCCAAGACTCATGTGACTGACTGAGGATACAAAGGCAGAATATAAATAAAACCTTCAAAAAAGGTGTTTAGTGGGAATTATTTTTATTACTATTATTTAAGTGTTATTGTCTTTTAATCATTTTCAATTAAATCATTTATTAAATAAATAATTAGTTGTGAACCAATTAATGTTTTTCCAGTGGGAGATGACGCAGAATGGAGGTGAGGAGGTTAAACTTAATCAATATATAACTGATCAAAACTTGTGGTGGTGGTTCCTCCTTTTAACTCATCAATAAGTTAAATGTTTATTTATTTGCATTATTTAGAGCTCAGTTGTTGAATAATGTCTCTTTTCATGGAGCACAGCATAACTATCTTGGTTTTTTAATGGATGTAACTTAATGAGGTTTTGATAGTTTTATCCTGATTTAAGGTCATGAATCATTTCTCTGTTGATAAATGTATAAAAGTTATTTAAACGTGAGTTTCTTTTACACTATACCATCTTACACGCGGGTGTATCAAATGGTATGTAAACGTGAAGTAATGTGTATAAATGCATCCAGCCTCAGTAATAGTCTGATCACATCAATTGTTTATAGTGGAGGTGTTTTCATATTACAGTATTTGAAGTATTAAATGAGTCACATTAATGTATAATGAAGGACATTAGCTCTCAGTAGAAGCAGTGTGTGGCCCTGAAAAGGACCTTTGTGTTGTTGGTTGTAACAGCAGGTTTACTTGGAGCTGGTGTACTTGGTCACAGCCTTTGTTCCCTCAGACACAGCGTGCTTGGCCAGCTCACCGGGCAGCAGCAGGCGGACGGCGGTCTGGATCTCCCTGGAGGTGATGGTGGAGCGCTTGTTGTAGTGAGCCAGACGGGAGGACTCACCGGCGATGCGCTCAAAGATGTCGCTCACAAAGGAGTTCATGATGCCCATAGCCTTGGAGGAAATGCCGGTATCAGGGTGGACCTGCTTCAGCACCTTGTACACGTAGATGGCGTAGCTCTCCTTCCTGGTCTTTCTCTTCTTCTTGCCGGTCTTGGTGACGCCTTTGGAAACGGCTTTCTTTGAGCCTTTCTTGGGCGCTTTCACTGTATCGGGCATTGTTGCTCTGACTCGGTTTATCGACCGCGGTGACTTTCTGACTGTCGGAGAGGTTTATATCCATGAGCCTGATGCTAATGTCACTGCGCTGTTGCTCGCACACGATTGGCTACAGTGTTGTTGTCGTCACGAAGCTCCGCCCCACACAGTCAGTAATTATGGTGATTGAAAATAAAAAGTGATGAATGTATATAAAATAAAAAAGTCTTCCAGAGTATGAGAGACATAACTTGTTAAACTGTTAAAATATTAGATCATTTTACTTTATTTCATGTAAAATAAATGTAAATGTGTACAAGAAGTTTACAGTCAGTGACCTGATCATTTCTAATAAATGCTGCAGATTAATAATCTTTGGACAATGTTAGAATAAATATTTATAGGAAGGAGCACCAGACTAAACAACCAGAGAAACTTGTGCCACCAGTATTGTTTTACATCCACAGATCAGCTATACAGAGCGTCTGTCATCCAACAGCATCTATTAAAAGATGAATTCAGTTAAAAAAGGAATAAATCAGTAAAATCAGTGGAAAGGGACACACCAACATTAGATATTAATAATAATGAGCTGTAATCACTGATATTGATATTCTTTCAATCAACAGTTTCAGTGGGTAACAATTCACTTTCAGGTAAATGAGTTTATGGAGTAAATCAGAATCACTTTTATTGTCCAGGTTTCTGCTCATACAAGGAATTTGTTTTACATTGCTACATACAGTTATACATATACATATATCTAAACAAACAAAAACAATAATATTAGTAGACAATAGTGCAAAGGATGCTGAAATAAATATTTATGTGCAGGTTTCTTTATTGACACGAGGTAGAAGTGGATATGACAGTACATACAGTATGCACAGAAAAGGTAGATGTATTAGAGTCATAGTATTTAAGTTTTATGTTTTTATAAAATAAACTGAATTTCAACAATTAAATAAATAATAAATAGTTTACAGGTGCAGTAATTACTAGAGTCCCAGTGTCACTGTACAGGGATTGTTCCTGACACTGTGTGTCTGTAGTTCACTGTTCATCAGAGTGATGGCTTGTGGGTAGAAACTGTTCCTGGGTCTGTTTGTGTTGGCGTACAGCGCTCTGTAGATTCCTGAGTGCAGGAAGTACAACCTGCAGTAAGAACAACAGCCTCTGCTGGGCCTTCTTGATGATGGTGTCTGTGTTGGACTCCCACTTGAGGTCCTGGGAGATTGTGGATCCCAAAAACCTGAAGGTTTCCACAGCAGACACAGGGCTGTTGGGCGTGGTGATGGGGGGCAGAGTTGAAGGGCTCCTCTTAAAGTTCACTGTCATCTCCACAGGTTTGATCGTGTTAGGCTCCAGGTTGTTCTGACCACACCAGAGGGTCAGCTGTTCAACCTCCCGTCTGTATGCAGACTCATCACCGTCCTGGAGGAGGCCGATGACTGTTGAGTTTGACAGACTGGTCTCTGTAGCATCACCTTGGATTGTAGCTGTGGGCACGCTCTGTGTGGCTGAGACGGTTGGCGTTGGAATAGGAGGAGCGGAGGTAACCAAAGAAGATGGGACGGGAAGGTACAAATGAGAGAAAAAGACAGGATGCTGTGGTGGAGGGATGCATGTGCTCAGGTTGTTTGTGAATTCTGGGGTAAAGAAGACGATGGATAAGAAGCAGAAAGGGCAGGTAATGGGTTTGATACGACCTCTGAGAGGGAGGGTGGTACTTTGCTGGAAGTCTTTGAAAAGTTAGAAAAGTTTTGCTTTGTTGTTGGTTTGTTTTCTGTATTTCTTGTCTGACGCAGATCGTGTGGAAACTGAGTCAATGAGGGAGTGAAAAGATAAGGTGTGCTTAAGTACGTTTTGAGCATAAATAAGACGAGTGCAATGCGTGGTCTTTGTTCCTGAACCTAGTTATAAAATATAATTTAGCTTAGCACAACTTCTCCTGCAAAGTGTTGAATGTTACTGAATTGAAGAGACTACAAGGATGAGAATGTGAACACAGAATAACAAGGAGGCATTACTTTGTTACAAATAATAAAAACAATATCATTCAATTTGAACATCCTTCATTTTTAAAATCAGTAAATCTGTAGTGGCAGCCAGTACTACTTTAACGTTTTAAAATCACCAGATGCCACTGATGCTGAAGTATATTCATTTACTTTCTTTCAAACTGTTATTTTGCAGACTAACAAGATTTTACTGGGAGTTTCCATGTGATATGATACATTTATATTTGCTGTGTTGGGCTTACACCTCATTTGGATCTGATTAATGATTTTTGTTTCATCATACTTACCAGAATTATTCAGCTCCCTGTTCAGCTCATCTCTCTCTGCAGTCAGGTGTTTATAACTCGTCTCAATACCTAGTTGAGGATAGTTATCACAATGATTATGTTCACAACTAAAGAGACAGTTTACTTTGAAACAGGATTCCCTCATGTAATTGATCTGTTCTCTCACAGAGCTGAAACTAGAAATGTGAACTAATAATGTCATCTAGTAAACTGTGACTTAATGTAGACAGGACTTTTATGAAGGTTTTTAAGGCTGAAAAAATTGACTTGGCATCAATTTAATCAATAACTCAAATGTTAAGCACAAATTCATACATGGAAATGTACTACCTAATGAACCAATATTTACTCTTTCAGTCAATCTTGTGGCTGAATTGGAGCAAATTTCCTCAGCCAGGTTCCAAAGTTTTATAGAAAGTGAGATATACAAAAGTAACCAGATGTAAGTCCACACAATGTATGTGTACTTTGTCCAGGTGTCCACACACCAAGACCATCAAATAATGAAACATCATATCAGTCCTTCTGGCACTAACAAGATCTATCAGTGATATTTAGCATCCCGTTAACAGCCGTGAGTTGGTGTACAAGACAGGGTGTGGTAAATGTGCTAAATGTACTGTATTAAGTGCTGTTGTTTTGTCGCAGTGTCCATATGTGTTATTCTCTGTTCTTCGTATCTATGTATGCATGTACAGACTACGGTGACAAATTTCCTGTGAAGGACAATAAAGTATATATTAGTATTTCATATAACACTGACTATATATTAGCACATTGTTAGACTTACATCCCATTTAATCCTGGTTATTGGAGAAGTTTTATCATGACACCCAAGTTGATCTTCTTCATATTGTCTCTCTCCTTTTTTACAGCTGGCATCAGTACCTGGTGGAGAGAATGACACAATTTGTAAAACAATCTTGCAGTGTCTTAAGTGACTATTTAAAGAAGACTAATATTAATAGTTTATTAATGTATTTATGGAACTAAATGAGACCAATGCTGGTTTTGTATGTTTATTTTAGAACCACACACATCCCTGACCTTTAGCTGACCAACAAATTATAGTAAAGGTTGATTTTGACTCAACTCTCCGTGCCCTCTGTCAGTCCCTGTCCTTCAAGGAGCTATTAAGCCAGCAACCCAGTGTTAACAACTCCATCACACTACAAAGTGTGATTAAAGATGTGCTCTGTGGTTGACCCTGTTTATCCTGGAATCAGAAGGAGGCCAGGGAGGTGCAAGTGCATCCCGACCTAATGGGCTGGTCGGTTCTGAAAAGGAGAACAAAGACCTCTGATCCTCCAAATCATCTGCACTACCTTTGAGTGCCAGGAGGGGGCTTCCAGTGAGACAGTGTGTCTGCAACCTCTTTAATCCTCTTAAACAGTGAGAAACAAACACAACCAATAAGGTGTTACATGTATCAGAGAGTGCACCATCAGGGATATGTAAATGTAGGCCCATAGGAACAGTAGGCGATGACGATGGAAAAGGCAAACTTGACATAAAACAACAGCTCACGAGTCAAAACACATCAGCAGCAGATCACATATGCTACTTAAAAGACCGGCGTGAGAGAAAGAGTATGAAACAGCCGAGGCCACAGATCACATGACAAAGTCAGCACAGTTTCAAAATCAGCCCATATATTCAAACTCACCAAGGACATTATCGAAGAAGTGGAATCAGGTTGTTTAAAAAAATTGTTATTGAACTCCTCTTCTGTCTGAGGACATCTGGAAACAAATAATTTCCAAACATAACAAACTAATTACACTTTAACAATTACAAAGCTAACAAACACATTGAATCTTTTAAATGACCATATTGCAGTTTAACGGAAGATAAATGTTTTAATTTGTGTTACTTTTATTGTTGCTCAAACAACAAGCTGCTCATTTTAAAGTGAACGACTTTCAGTCCTTGATTAAAACCATTTGTCATAAAGGCCTTTACACACTTTACACATTTCTTTTCAAACATCATCTCACAGGAAGTGTGCTGGGTTATGCTGCTAAAAAACATGCATACTTTATTGACTGCTGGAGGCTAATGTGTAAAAGAGGAGGAAGACGAACCAGGCTCAAAAAGTGAGGTTCAATCTGCTCTGCATCTTTAAATACAGGAGACTGTGCTAGTAGAGATGGAGTATTTATCTGTGCACACATGCAGACACACAAGAGCTGTGGACCCACTGCTGTGGTTCAGAGAAAAAAATAAGATTCTCTTGAGCTCTAATCTTTAAACAACCCACCACGAGCGTGACTGCAAAAAACGCCACAAAACATCAGACTCACATGCAAGTCAGTCTGTATGAGTTTAATTTCAAAATAACTTATTCACAGTTTAAGTTATATCTGTATGCACTATCCAGTGGCAAACAACGACCTCTCTCATGTGGAGAAAACTCTGCTGGATGAATGTGATATGTTTTTATTACACCAGCTCAAATGAAAACATTTTATAGTGGACTCTATACTGGAGACAGTGCTGTTCTGTGAATGCCAATCATTACCGTATGTGCTGGGACTGTAATGTAATCTATTACATTCAGCCGGATTAAAGAGAGTGTACTACTTGATTTTAAGATCTGGTTTAGGTTCTGTGTACTACACGTAGGCTTGTCACCTTAAAATGTGACTTTATTAAGACATACATATTTGTTTAAAATAATCTTGGCTGCAAGTACAGAACTGTAAGTACAGTTGACAATAAAAGCATTTCCTTCAGAAGTGAGAATATGTGGTCACTATTGACACAGTTGAGGTACCAAAATACACTTATGCTTCCTATACCATGTAAAGTTTGATTACATCTTAAGAGTAAAACTGGAATTTCTGAATGTGATTAACAAAAAATTATGAAACTATTTAATTTAATAAAAGAAGTATGTTTATCATATTCACAACAATGTCTCTTAAATCTTCAATCTAAATGCAGTTCAAACTTTGATGATCATTTTTTGCATTGTCTGTGAATATTTCCTTCCCTGCCTCTGCTCGTTACTGTATGTGGTCGGGGTTTGAAACTAAGCTATAGATACCAACTCGACAAAGAAGTGAGTTCACACAGAAGTTGACGCTTTAGACGGTAAGAACATGGTGTAACACGCACACACATTTGCAGGCAGATTTGGATGCACAAATAGTTTGATTTAAATTGCCATTATAGTACTGTAATATAGTAAAATCAATAAAGTCGAGAGATGCACCATTTCTCAGTTTGAAATTCACCAAAAAATAAATATTCTCATTATTTTCATGAGAACATTGCTGTATAAGTATGGTATATTAAATCTGTCCTTTAAAGGTTGTTTAACATTTAGAAACATCTATTGTCAAAAATGGCATGTAATATTCATAGGTATGTTTTCATTAGTTTCACCTGAATATAGCCGCTGGTCGCCTTCTATAGAGTCCGCCATGTTGAACCACCATGTTTCTACAATGGACCAGAACGGACAAACCAAACACTGGCTCTAGATAGCAGCGTTCACTTTTTTTACACTTGGAAGTGGAGGGGGAAGCGAGGCAGTTGCAATACAAAAAAAAAGACAGGGAATGAATACCTGAGCAGGTATTCATTATTTTTTCATTGTAATGACTTTGTGTGGATGCAGCGCCAAAGCAAAAAGAAAAAACATTTACAGACATCTGGTGAGTTTGGGTGCTGAGTTACAGAGACACTTTCTTTTCACAGATCCAGAAGTTTGGAAGATCACATTGGAAATCATTCCAGCTGTTTTTCTTTTCATGTTGTTTTACTTCTACACAGTCTTCTTTAAGGTCATAGTTGTTAGGCTCACCATCCATCCAGTAGCTGAAACCCCAAACCAAACAATATGTTATTTGTAAAGCTGAAACATTCAGGATTTAGTTTTTCCAAAAAGGTAGTCAGATATTATTATTACAATAATTGTAAAGCTTCTTTCTTTTAGCACAAGAGATTGTAAAATGTGTGAACCTTGTGGTCAGTGGAGTCCCATCAACCCATTTCCACGTCCCCTCTGTCTCACTGTCAGTCAGTCCAATCCACATGTTATTCTTCAATTGTCTTGTGAAATCCTTTTAACAGAGAGAAACAATTAAACAAATGAGTGAATCCAGCTTCTACCTCAGTCAACTTTCATTCATTAATCTTTTGTTGACTGAATACAAGAATGTTTCTGTCTTACACATAGATTAATAGATGCATTACAACACACACCTGCTCTTCTTCGCTGTTGATAATCATCAGGTCAGTACCTTTTTGCCGACAGTCATCTCTACTGGCATTCCAGGTTTTCTTGATTGAAGAAATATAACAGACACTACCACTGAAATACCTCCATCCTTGTTTGGAATAGTGAACTGTTGAAAAGAGAAATAATTGAATGGTAAATAGACCTGTATTTGTATAGCACCTTTCTAGTCTTCCAACCACTCAAAGCACTTTTACACTACATGCCACATTCGCCCTTTCACACACATTCACACAGTGATGGAAAAGCCCATCGAACAGAAACGGACTCGTTCATTCACACACCGATGACGCAGCATTGGGAGCAATTTGGGGTTTTTAGTATTTTGCGCAAGGATACTTCGACATGCAGCGGATGTTGACAAACACTTTGCCTCTCGCTGTATCTGATTTGAGGTTCAGTGTTTTGCGCAAGGGCACTTTGGCAGGATCAGATTTTTACAAATATTGCAGTCACACCTTTTGGTTCCCTGATTACTGGTTTTAATAGATTTACCCTCATACTTACCCCAAAAATTCAGTTCCCTCTTCAGCTCGTCTCTCTCTCCAATCAGAGAATTCAGCTGTAAAGCTGTAATTTTGAGTAGAGATGTTAAAATAATTTGCAGAATTAATTTTATTACAGTAATTCATCAACACAGATATAGTTTGTTTAATATTTGTCAGTACAAACCCCCCTCCAGCAACAAACCAGAGATCTGTGGCTTTTTATATACTGGAATATGAGAAAGTTTACAGGTTTAAAATTGTACCATGGAGTTAATTTTACTTAAATAACATAAAATCAAAACTGGAATGTTATATTTACTTTTACAGTATAATATTAGTGTCACCACTAGTGATTCAGCAATCACAATCTTTTTGTTTGCTTCTGTATCTTGTTAGCGTAGCACAAATTCTCCTGCAAAGTGTTTAAAGTTACTGAATTGAAGAGACTACAAGGATGTGAATGTGAACACAGAATAACAAGGAGGCATTACTTTATTACAAATAATAAAAACAATATCATTCAATTTGAACATCCTTCATCTTAAAATCAGTAAATCTGTAGTGGCAGCCAGTACTACTTTAACGTTTTAAAATCACCAGATGCCACTGATGCTGAAGTATATTCATTTACTTTCTTTCAAACAGTTATTTTGCAGACTAACAAGATTTTACTGGGAGTTTCCATGTGATATGATACATTTATATTTGCTGTGTTGGGCTTACACCTCATTTGGATCTGATCAATGATTTTTGTTTCATCATACTTACCAGAATTATTCAGCTCCCTGTTCAGCTCGTCTCTCTCTGCAGTCAGGGAATTCAGCTGTAAAGCTGTAATTTTGAGTAGAAACGTTAAGATAATTTGCAACAGAATCAGAGCATGCCAGACAGACAGAATTTCTATATTTTATTACAGTAATTCATTAACACAGATATAGTTTGTTTAATATTTCTCAGTACAAACCACCCTCCAGCAACAAACCAGAGATCTGTGGCTTATATACTGGAATATAAGATAAAAATATGATGCAAAATAAAAAATTGTAACATGGAGTTAATAATGTCATATTCTCTTTTCAGAATTGGATTTATTGCCAAGTAGGTTTTTACACATATGAAGAATTTGTCTTGGTGCACTGGTGCATAAAATATACAAATCACACAAAAATATACAAATCACACAAAAATCACACAAGAATAAAAAAATAAATAAATAAAGATAAGAAAGATAAGAAAAGATAAAACACTGCACTGATTGCCCGTACAGGTGTGAATGTGAGCATGAATATTTGTCTCTATGTGACTGTGTGCCGGTGATGAACTGGTGACCTTTCCACAGTACACTCCACCTTTTGCCCAATGTCAGCTGGGATCTGCTCCAGCCCCATGTGGGATAAGTGGGTATAGAAAATGGATGGATGGATGTTTTAATTTATTGATAACAGGTGAGGTAGTTTGTTTAATATTGTTATGCATATGCAAATCCCTCATACAGAGTGAAGTGTCAGCTTTCATTTGATATGTAGCGTTTGTCTAGTATTGCGCTTATTCGACTTTGGATACAAGTGTTATTGGTGTAGTTTCATCCTCATACTAACCAAAGTCAGTCAGATTCTTCTTCAACTCGTCCCTTTCTTCAGTCAGGTTTTTGCATCCGGCCTCAATACCTGTTGTCTTACTTTCAGAATTATCTGAAAAAGCAGTCATCAGCATAGTGTTACTATTATTATTATGTTACTGTTATACTATCATGATTTGCAAATATTATTCATAACTATGTGCTGATTTGTAAATAAACTATGAGCTTAATACTTATTGATGGAAAAAACACTAACAACTGAAATTATTTTTTCTCTATTTGCTTGTGTTTTGCCTATTTGGATGTGTTTACTTTATTTGCAGTGTGTTGAGCTGTTGGGGTTATCATTAAAAATAACAATAATCAGATAGAAATCAGAGGAAAAACAATTCAAAACAACTCACAGAGAGCGAGACGCAGGGAAATATTGAGAGCAGCTTGTAGGACACACAGGAGTCCAAAGCTCACAGCAACCAGTCGGTAGAGTTTTTTTTCTGTGTGCAGAAATCAAACACACACGTGAAGAATTGTTATTATTCTGGATGAACTTTACATGTAGTTGTTTAATTATAGAACTTTATGAATCTGATAATTTACAAAAATGAAACTCTTGCTGTGCACCCAAACAGAAAAAGATACACAACCTTAAAGTTACTTACCCCTGGATGAAGCATCAGGTTGGTTCTCATCGTCCAAAGTCATCTCAGACTCCTCTTTAAAGACAAACTCAAAATATTTTTACCACCTAAGTTCTACTAAAGTGTGTAAGTGTGAGAACTGCACTGATGGCTTGTGTAAACTCCTTCTTTTCTGTTATATTAATCTGCTTACCACAGCAACTCACTTCCCTTTCTTGCCTTTCAGTAATCAGATCATTATCATTCATTTTAGTTGAGCACGTAGGAAGAGATAAATTACATGTTTTACTCTCAAAAGTTGGGGCGAGTCTCAAATGATTGACACATTGTGTCAGTATGAACAAACAAAACTACAGAAACTCAAAGAAAAGTAATCTCAAAAGTAAAACCTCCAAACAAATGAATGTTGGAATTGTTTTTCCTCTTTGATAATATGTTCTTTTGTATACAGTTCCCTCTGTTTCTTTCTCACTGATCACTGTTGCTTTGTGCCATTTGTTCAACGCACAAATAGGACTTTCTTAAATTTTCTTTGTAGTCTTGTTTTTAATGAGGAGATTAGAAAAGGTCAGTTGTTGGCTGATATACCGTATACTCAAAAAGACAAACAAACCAACAACATAAAAATGGCTTTAAGAGTATTTAAGGTGATTCAGAGAATATATTTGCCTCTACAACAGGAGCTACATGACTCTATATGACAAGGGAAGAGATCTGACCACAAACAAACAGTTTGCCACTGCAGTAAGATGACAATATCAAGTAAAGGTCAGTGGTGTCATCATTATTTTAACTTGAGATGGTGTGAAGATGTTCTCTTTGGAAACAAGACAAAACAAACAATGACACAGAGACTAAATATACACAACTTGAATATTTCATTACCAATAATAAGTTGTATGATATCTACAAACAGTAAAAGCAATAAACTGCATTATTGCAATATGATATAAAAATGTTGCTAAATGTTTCAACATGTTAGGTTATAACAGTAAATGGTGAAAAAATATATGATGTACTTAAAAGTTGAACTGGGGGTTTCTGACAACTCTTCATCACCTGTCTGAAATACAAGACCACAGCTGCCGTTGTTTTTGAACCACAAACCTCAGTGCAAGGTCCGACTTGTTTCTGAAGCTTTTAACCACCTCTTGCACATCTTGCCTTCATCAGCAGATGAGGATTTAGTTGTCATCTTATTTAGGTATGAGATTGTGGTCACATGATAAGTTAGTTTGGGAAATCATTACACACTAATAGGCGTCTTGATTGGTATGTAAACAGGAAGTCAAGTGTATCGTTGCATTAATTTCTCACCAAGAGTGTTAAAATAAAACCATCAGCCTCAGGATGGCAGCAATAATGTACCTTAAGAAAATATGAACTAATCAGAAAGAAGTATAACAGATACACTTCACCATTTTAATAAATGAGAACAGGAAAAACCTCAATAGTTAAAGGTCATCAATGGTTTATAATAATGGGAGTGTTTTCATAACACCAGAATAAGTGTATTTATATTAACCCTTGTGTGGTGTTCGGGTTTGTGGGACCCGTTTTCATTTATTAAAAGAAAAATTATGCAATTAATTAATTTTTCAAACTGACTTCGGCTCATTTTCTGTGAAGAAAATATATCAGAATACATATTTAATGACCACACCCCCCCTACACATTTCTATTACATGTAAGATGTCCGGGTCCACTGGACCCGGGGCTAATAGAAGTGTGGAAATTGATGTTCTGTGTCACACACACGGGAGGAGAAGGACAGAGTGTAGGTACACAGAACATCGGAGGGTCAAATGTGCGAGAAAATGAGAGCAGACAGTGTTGACAAACATTGTTGCAATGTGACCTAATAAAGGTAAAGGGCAAATATTAACCATATATTGTTTATACTGCTGGTACTTGGGATAAGGTAAACATCTGTTCAGTATTTTAACAAAAGTGTTTGATTGTGAGGCATTAAAAGCCACAAAATGCAACGGGTCCATCAGACCCACAAACACTGGCTGAGTAACAACAATATGAACATTACACAAGGGTTAAATGAATCACGTTAATGTACAATGTAGGACATTAGCTCTCAGTAGAAGCAGTGTGTGGCCCTGAAAAGGACCTTTGTGTTGTTGGTTGTAACAGCAGGTTTACTTGGAGCTGGTGTACTTGGTCACAGCCTTTGTTCCCTCAGACACAGCGTGCTTGGCCAGCTCACCGGGCAGCAGCAGGCGGACGGCGGTCTGGATCTCCCTGGAGGTGATGGTGGAGCGCTTGTTGTAGTGAGCCAGACGGGAGGACTCACCGGCGATGCGCTCAAAGATGTCGCTCACAAAGGAGTTCATGATGCCCATAGCCTTGGAGGAAATGCCGGTATCAGGGTGGACCTGCTTCAGCACCTTGTACACGTAGATGGCGTAGCTCTCCTTCCTGGTCTTTCTCTTCTTCTTGCCGGTCTTGGTGACCTTAGACACGGCTTTCTTGGAGCCTTTCTTGGGCGCTTTCACTGTATCGGGCATTGTTGCTCTGACTCGGTTTATCGACCGCGGTGAACTTCTGACTGTCGGAGAGGTTTATATCCATGAGCCTGATGCTAATGTCACTGCGCTGTTGCTCGCACACGATTGGCTACAGTGTTGTTGTCGTCACGAAGCTCCGCCCCACACAGTCAGTAATTATGGTGATTGAAAATAAAAAGTTAACTGATAATAAAAACACAAATTCACATACAAAACTCAGGTTTTACGTTGCTCTCAATGTACAAACACAGAATAAACAATTAAACAGAACAACAAGCTCAACAAAAAAGACATAAACTACTATGTACAGTTATACATATAAATATATAAACAAACAAAAACAATAATATTAGTAGACAGTAAACAATAGTGCAGAGTCCAATGTTTATTTATTTATTTATTTATTTATTTTTTAAAGAAACTGAATTTCAACAATGGAAATATAAATAATAAATAGTTTTATAGATGTTAGAGTCGGAGGGTTATTGTACAAGGATTGGAACAGGTTGTGTCCAGGTGAGATGGATCTGCAGTGATGTTTCCTGACTCTGGACAGGTACAGGTCCTGAATGGAGGGCAGGTTGGCGCCAATGATCCACAGGTTTGATCGTATTAAGCTCCAGGTTGTTCTGACCACACCAGAGGATCAGCTGTTCAACCTCCCGTCTATATGCAGACTCATCACCGTCCTGGAGGAGGCCGATGACTGACAGACGGGTCTCTGGAGGTGCAGTCATTGGTATAAAGGGAGAAGAGCAGTGGGGCGAGCACACAGCCCTGGGGGACGCCAGTGCTAATTGTCTGCGTGCTGGATGTGTTGTTTCCCAACCTCACCAGCTGCCTCCTGTCAGTGACTGCAGGGGGTCCAGAAAGGGGCCCTGTAATGTCCTTCAGGTGGACTAACACCAGGTTTGTTATTTTTTTTTGTGGGGGGGGTTTTTTGGGGGGGGGGGGGGGGGGGGGGGGGGGGGGGTGGGTGGTTTTGGGGGGGGGGGGGGGGGGGCTTTTTTTTTTTATAAAAAATTTTGGGGGGGGGGTCCTGTAGCTTTGACCTCCTTTGTCAGGGTGTTTCTGGTCTGGTTGTACAGGACTCTGTCCCCCCTGTAAACCTCCTCCATGGTCTGACAAAGCTGCCTGAGTTCTGCTGTAAACTGGTTTGTGGTTGTTTGTGCAGAAAGTCCCAATAACTAATGTAAGATGTTACAGTGTCAGTGAGCCCGTCGGTCTGTGGCTGTAGCCTCAAAAACACGGAGCAGGTCTGTAGTTCAGCTTTGACTCGTTGGTCCATCTTCTCTCAGTCTCCACCCCAGGATTTAGGATTTAAGTTTCAGTCTGTAGGTCAGGATGAGAAGAACCAGACAATAATCACAGTCCATAAAAAGTGCTCCACAAATGAATGAAGACATTTTCATACTGTTAATAAAACACAAATATTATTATCTCTCTTTATTGTAACTAAAGACTGTCGGGCCATTGTTGTGTCCTCATCATTAACAGCCTCCTTACACACATTATAGTTCACAGTATGTTTATTCACTGACAAGACAACAGCAGAGACACATTACAGACATTTCTACTCTTTGATGAAACACAAATGGAAACAACATGTAAGAGAGAAACTGATCATTTATTGGTATCAATCATATCGAAGCTGGAATCGGTCTTCAAAAACTAAAATGTATCTAAGTGTCGATATTTTGGGATTGATCCAAGTAACCCGAAAAGTGTTTAACACTAACATACAACAGATTTTTAAGTGTGCAGAATAATTTATAAAACTGCAGTAAGATCATATAAGAACATTATGTATTCAAATATTCATATTAATGACAATGTCAAAGTCAATTCAAACATTTGTATCCACTCATTCAGTGAGGAGGGTTAAAATAAAGGTGATTTCAGTCATCACAGGATGGAAATAATGCTGACAGACTTTAAGAACAATATTATTCACAGATTTACAGCTGACCACAATGAACAGTTTATATCTTAAAACTATTCCCATTGAATCAATATAGAAAATATATTGAGATTATGTTTATGTATTTCCTGTAAAGAGTAGCTCCATTATATAAAAATATACTATGTAACAATCAATACTATAATAAATAATTGAAGGTGATCAGAGGCAGACACTCTGTAGTTTGTATTGAAGAACTAAACATCGGCTCTAAATGGGGCCTTACATGTTGTTGGTTTCATGGCCAACGTAGTTTCTCCTGAACAGAAATTAAATCAGTGATACATGTGCTTAAATAGATAAACAGGGTAATAGATTGAGTTTTAACAAAAAGTCACATTGTGACTTATCAAAGTAGGAAAAGTATTTAAGAAATCATCAGGTTGTCCTGGATAAAGGAGGTACTGCAGTAGTTAGACTATTGTATCATTTAGTCAAATAAGATATTAATAATTAGAAATATTACATTTTTTCACCCACTTCTGCCTACATTTTATCTTATAGACATAATTAAAATAAAACTGAGCACATTTAGTCATCCTGGTTTTTGAGGTCAAGTATCAAACTATAATAATAATCAATAATAATAATAATAATAATAATAATAAAAAAAGGGATGAGAGGAAGAGGGTCTTTAGTCTGCAGTGAGGTGGCTCTTAAAAGAGCCGTTGTGTTTTGTGGAGCAGCAGCAGACAGTTTAAGCTCTCTCTCCGCGGATACGACGGGCCAGCTGGATGTCTTTGGGCATGATGGTGACCCTCTTGGCGTGGATGGCGCACAGGTTGGTGTCCTCAAACAGGCCGACCAGGTAAGCCTCACTGGCCTCCTGCAGAGCCATGACAGCGGAGCTCTGGAAGCGCAGGTCGGTCTTGAAGTCCTGAGCGATTTCTCGGACCAGGCGCTGGAAGGGCAGCTTGCGGATCAGCAGCTCGGTGGATTTCTGGTACCGACGGATCTCTCTCAGAGCCACGGTACCGGGCCTGTAACGGTGAGGCTTCTTCACGCCGCCGGTGGCCGGGGCGCTCTTACGGGCAGCCTTGGTAGCCAGCTGCTTCCTGGGGGCTTTGCCTCCGGTGGATTTACGAGCGGTCTGCTTGGTTCTCGCCATCGTTTCTTCTTGTGGTTGTTGTTGTTCCTGTGAACGGGACCAAAGTGAAGTAAAGAGAGGAGACCCGCTGCTCTTAAACTGTGGGACCGGCTGTCAGACGGTGACGCTGCTCCACAGCTCCGGCTCCGGATTGGTTAGGGGCTCCTCTTGGAGCTCAGCGCCGCCCGGAGGAGCGGCCCCCGCCCCAACCTCGGCCGCTCATTGGCGGAGAAAGGCGTTCAAAATGTCCGCCAAAACCCGGAGCGGCCGCCCTCCGACGGCAGCCTGTTTTCTGGTTGGTCTCTCGGGAAGCCCCCGCACGCTCCGCGGACATATAAAGGAGGGTTTTATGTGTCGGAGTCACACTTTGTTTTGAGCGTCGACTGTAAAAGCATCGAAAATGAGCGGACGAGGCAAAACCGGCGGAAAAGCCCGAGCTAAGGCAAAGACCCGCTCCTCCCGGGCCGGGCTCCAGTTCCCGGTCGGCCGTGTTCACAGGCTGCTGCGCAAAGGCAACTATGCGGAGCGTGTGGGTGCCGGCGCCCCCGTCTACCTGGCGGCTGTGCTGGAGTACCTGACCGCTGAGATCCTGGAGTTGGCTGGAAACGCTGCCCGCGACAACAAGAAGACCCGGATCATCCCCCGTCACCTGCAGCTGGCTGTCCGCAACGACGAGGAGCTCAACAAGCTCCTGGGCGGAGTGACCATCGCTCAGGGCGGCGTGCTGCCCAACATCCAGGCTGTTCTGCTGCCCAAGAAGACCGAGAAGCCCGCCAAGTCCAAGTGAACCTGCTGCCCGCTGGAAAACACACATAAAGGCTCTTTTAAGAGCCACAAACTCTCCTCAAACAGCAACGTTTCTAATGGCTCTGATTACACTCATTAATTAACTAGTTTATTTATTTTATTAGACTCTTGTGAAGAGAGAAAGTGAAGATTTGTTTTCTCCTTTATATTCTGATATTGTTGTCCTACAACAATCAATATACAATAAATCCTCATAAAACAACAAAACTATTTAATTGAGTCATGTTAGATATTTATTTTTTCCCCTATATTTTATTTACTTGTTCTGACATTAGTCTTTACTATCCAGTGTTGACAGATGACCTGTATAATATAATATTAGGCCAGAAATATCCAGATCAGGTTACAGTGTAACAACAAAAAAAAACTTCTGTTTCAATGTAACAAAGTTAAACATCAGATGTGTTAAAATAATAACCTATATAAAACAAATACATTCTAATATTTTCTTGTTTATCAACTTTATTAAATTTGACTCATTACACATATTAGGCTACATAAACATTTTAACCCTAAAATGCATCAGTGAACATTTATAAAGTGCGTACATTCAGAGAGTCTGAGGGAGTTTTAATGTCTATAAAGTTCTGTATTATAAATCCAGATTGTTCCATGGGAGGCTCTGACTTTTGTCCAGGGGTTTCCTTCTCCAGAGTTGAGTAGATATTTGTTTAGTTACAGTCTTACTGTCTATAATAGTCTGGTATATGATCATAGCAGATCTTGTTTTCCACAGTTTAAAACAAGCGATGCTCATTATAAGCTGTAATAGTTCAATGTGGTCAGATGGTTTGTTTCTGTTAATGGTTACAAACATCACAGACTTCCAACAGGGATCATAGTTTAGTCCAAACTCTTTCAATCTGTGGCTGACTTCCTGAGCTCTGTAACAATCCTTTAAAAGATGCTGTTGTATCTCATCATCATTGGACATTTCTTTGTTGTTACATAACAACTCCAAGACACAACAGCTCTAATATTTTCATACAATCACTATACAAGAAAAATCCTCAAATATAAAAGTGAAAAATATAAATTAGCTGACTGGCTCTCCTCAGATATTTGTTTTCTATAATACATTACGATACATTTTACCTTTTATATGTCTTAATCAGTGTTGACAGACAGCCTCAGATCAGGTTACATTGTAACAATAATAGAAAACCTCCTAACATCTGGAGATAATAACAACAACAGTAACAATAATAACCAGGACCTTGCTCTTTAAGGTGAGTGTGGGTGGCTCTTAAAAGAGCCTTTAGTCGGACACAATCAGACTGCTGACAGCTCACTTCTTCTTGGGTGCTGCCTTCTTGGCTTTGGGCTTTGCAGCCTTCTTTGCGGGGGCTTTCTTGGCTGCAGGAGCTTTCTTCACCACCTTCTTGGGGCTCTTGGTGGGCTCTTGGTGGCCTTCTTGGGGCTCTTGGTGGCCTTCTTGGGGCTCTTGGCCACGGCTTTCTTGGCTGCCGCCGCCGCCGCCGCGGGTTTCTTGGCCTTCTTCGGGGACTTCTTAGCGGCTGCGGGCTTCTTGGCGGCCGCTGCTTTGGGCTTTTTGGCCGCTGCTGCTTTGCCTTTCTTGGCTCCTGCTCCTGCTGCTGCTGCTGCTGCTGCGGGCTTCTTGGCTTTAGGAGCGGAGGCTTTCTTGACTGCTGCTGCCGGCTTCTTCTTCTTGGCTGCGGGCTCGGCCGTCTTCTTGCTCATCTTGAAGGATCCGGAGGCCCCGGTCCCCTTGGTCTGGACCAGAGTCCCTTTGGCCACCAGGCCCTTGATGGCGGTCTTGACGCGGGCCTTGTTCTTCTCCACATCGTAGCCTCCGGCAGCCAGAGCCTTCTTGAGGGCGGCCGCAGACACGCCGCTGCGCTCCTTGGATGCGGCCACAGTTTTCAGGATGAGCTCGCTGACGCTGGGGCCGGCCTTCTTCGGTTTGGAAACCTTCTTCTTGGCTGCTTTAGCCGGGGCGGCGGCGGCGGCGGCGGCGGCGGGAGCTGGAGCTACTTCTGCCATTGTCAACTTAATGTTGTCTTCCTGCTCGGCGCGATACGACAGTGACACTGAGTGTTGGAGAGTCCGGAGCAGGAGGCTGCCCTTAAACACACCATGAGGACCGTGGAGACTCAACCCGGCCCCTGCCTCCTGATGCCGGCTCACTTGTGTTTTCTCCTCATCGATAAAACGCTCCAAACTCAATGTGGGACAAGTGCTGGAGGCTGACGGTGAAGGGAGCCGATAGCGGACTTGTGTCTCTTCATATTCAGCTCTTGTAGAGCTCTGATGCTCTCTGCATTTTCTTTGGGGAGCCTCCAAACCTCACATATTCACCGTCCTGAGCGGCGCTGCTCACTCATTTCTCTCCGGAAATCATTTCAAATGCATCGCAGCTCCGTCAAAACACGTTTTCCAGTCGCTCCACATGTTTGTTCACACACTCAAAGTAAAAACAATCCTCTGCTGATGATCACTTTGGGATAAAATCAACTTATTCTGCTCGCAGCAAACACACACTGATGATGGCTGAGACTCACGGTCACACACTTCACATCAGAGCTGATCATCGTTAACATTTCTGCTGCTGAGGACTTTGATTAGAAATAAACTGTTAGTATAGTAATGCTCCTTACTTCTAACTGTGTCAGATGTTTTCGTTACTGGGAGCAGCAGAGTAAAATAATAATCATTTACATTTAAAAACAGAACATGGTTGAGTGGATTTTAAGAGGCACTGAGAGGAAAATGTATACTTTCCATTATTTTGTAAAAAAACATCTTCCCTTTGTTACACTGACCTGCAACAGAAGATAAATAATAAAAGTGTGTATATATCAATAAATATGTTTATGGTAGCAGGAATGTGACCTCAGTGCACACAAACACTGGACAGCTCTTAATGACTACAAACTGCTGGAGGCATCACAGCTTCATGTCAGCGGAGACAGACAAGAAGGAAAAACAAATATTTTGTGGTGGTGGAAACAGAAACTGGATCAGACATCTTGTGCCTCACTTTAGTTAATATAAGATGATCAGATGTTCCTTTATTGATTCCCCTGTAGGGGAAAGACAGATTTGTTACAGCAGAACAGGAGAATGTTGTGCAAAGTAGAGAAAGAATTTGCAATATGGTTAGCAAAAGTATTTTAAACTGTGTATAACTGTACATGTGCAATGTTTCAAGGTATTTGTGCAAAAAACAGTCTCAATCATTGATAGTGTATATATAATAAGTGGAGGTCGGAGGTACTGGGTGCTAGATCAGTCTGATGGCTGAACGTGCTCCTGAGCGTCCTCAGCTCATCTTAGAAATGACGAGAGCGGTTGTCCATTGTCTTTCATCCTCCTTTCATCTTCCACAGGGTCCAGATCCATCTCCACCGCCCAGCTGATGCCTCCTCAGCTCACAGTAAAGAAGAACATCTGTAGTTCAGTGAGCACGGTGAAGGACCTGAGCCTCCTCAGGAAGAACAGCCTGCTCTTTCTCCTGTAGACAGCCTCAGTGTCCGTCCAGTCCAGTTTATTGTTTATTAGGAACTTGTCCACCGTCTCTCCCCTCAGAGTGACCGGGGGAGGGAGACCTCTGGTTGTGCTGGAAGTCGACCACCAGCTGCTTGTTTCTTGTTTTTGTTGAGCTGTAGCTGGTTTCTGTCGCACAGAGCTCGTTTTCTCACAGCAGCAGAATTAATGTTTCACACCTTCATCACATAATTAAAATATATTAAACGATCAGTGATTGACTGAGGTATCCTCTGAGACCAAGAACAGGTCACTCTGCTGTTTAAATTATAATCTGAGACACAAAGAGCAGAGGGAGGTTTCATAAAGGCTCATTAAAGCAGCGTTCACTGTTGTCAATCAGCCACAAAACAAACTGAACCAGGTTTATGAAGCTGGTTTGGATCCAATGTGAGAGGAATAAGTCTTTAAAAGACAGAGCTGAAATATAAAGTGCTGATCACATCAAAAGAAATAGACACATGAATTTGTTTAATTTGAACCAGACTATTAAAGATGTGCGAACTGCCTACTTTTCTGACCAGATTGTTAGCAATAAACATAACCCAATATTTTTGTTTAGTCCTATCTTCTCCTACTATTCATTCCTCCTCTCCTGCTGACTGAACAATTCCTGTCTTTTTTTATTGGCAAGATCAATGGTCTGTGACACAGTTCAGCCAATTCTTGAAAAAACACTCTCAATCCAGACCAGTTAGAAAGCTATAGACCTATCTCCAAACTTCCCTTTCTCTCTAAAATCCTTGAAAAGATTGTTGCAAACCAGCTCATGAAGCTGGTAGAGGGTCATTGAATCTTTGACAAATTCCAATCTGGTTTTGCCAAAAACATAGCACCGAGACAGCATTACTGAGAGTGTCTAATGACATCCTTATGCATGCTGACAAAGGTAAAAGCTCCATCCTTATTCTTCTCATTATCTGACTGCAGCCTTTGATACCATCGATCATACCATTTTACTTGATAGATTACAGAACTGGGTTGGCATTTCTGGTACAGCCTTAAACTGGTTTAATTCCTTTTTGACTAATAGAGTCTTTAAAGTCTGCATAAAGAATGATGTGTCCACCTTTGCTCCCCTGCTATGTGGTGTCCCTCAGGGGTTGATTCTTGGTCCAGTTCTGTTCTCCCTGTACATGCTTCCTCTGGGTCATTTGTTCAGCCGCTTCGTAGACATGTCATACCACGGTTGTGCCGATGATCTACTTCTCTGCGAAACCCAATAACCTGAATCCTTTCTCTACGAGTGCTTAGCTGCTACCAAAGACTGGATCTTGTATTGTGAAGAATTAGCTCTGTAACAGGACATATACGATTAAACAACTTTGACGCATCATTTTTTTCATACAAGTCAATAAAATCATTAAACCAAAGTTCTCAGTTGGATCGTGTTACTTTGTTTATTAGCATCCATTTGGTGAAATAAATGTTTAAATAACGTCAAATTTGCTATCTGCAACTTAATGTATTGTTAATAAATAGCTGGACCCGAAAGCACGTTAACTGAAGAATGTTACTGATATGTAGAATTAACATAATGTGACCTGCAACTGAGTCATACAAATTTTGTAGCATCCAGTTGAGATTATACATAAATGATACAGATTAATACTTTAGTTAGCTCTCGTGGATTAGACACCTTGTAGGTTCACTTCCCTCATTATAATTTATGTGCATTTAACACTTGATTATCTGTGTTTTAACTAAAATTAGTGGATTACTCACAAGAATGCAGCCTTTATAATAGACACCCATCAGATGCAACAACCACTTTGAAACATAGTAAACCAAAGTTTTCTCACTATAAATCAGGACTGTGTCTCTTTGAGAGAGTGTGTGCGGCCCTTAAAAGGACCTTTGGTTCAGTGGATCAATAACAGGTTTAACCTCCGAAGCCGTACAGAGTGCGTCCCTGCCTCTTCAGAGCATAAACCACATCCATGGCGGTCACGGTCTTTCTCTTGGCGTGCTCGGTGTAGGTGACGGCATCACGGATCACATTCTCCAGGAAGACCTTCAACACACCGCGGGTCTCCTCGTAGATCAGACCGGAGATACGCTTCACTCCACCGCGGCGAGCCAGACGGCGGATAGCGGGCTTGGTGATTCCCTGGATGTTATCACGGAGGACTTTACGGTGCCGCTTAGCGCCTCCTTTACCGAGTCCTTTACCTCCCTTTCCTCTTCCGCTCATTTTAACGTATCAAGTGTTTGATATGAATGTTTCTCTCTCTCCGCTGTCCCACTACTTAACTCCTGACTGAGGACGTGAGTGAACACAGCCACGTTCTTCTTCTCTGGCTTTTAATGAGGTTGATGATGAACTCTTTGGTGCTTTAGCGCCACCTACTGAACAACTACAGGAACCACAGACAACAGGTCTCCTGTTACTCTTCTTAGAAAAGTGGAAACTTTTATTCTCAGTAAAAGAAAATTGTACTTCAGTACATCATGATGTCACTATATGCAGATAGTTCAGTAGAGATTTATGTTGGTTGCTCTTGGTTGTACTTTCTGTCTTTATTTATATTATCAATTAATTAATTTAGATTTATTGATCTTGTAATTAATCATAAAGTAGGGAAATACTGATGTGATTTCATATTAAACAAAATATATGAAACCAAAACAAGTGATCAGCAGACTTTACTGAGTCACTATTTCATATTAGTCTCTAGACTTTATTGTTAATGATGTATTAAATCAGATGTTATTAGTTAACTCATTATTATTATTATGTTTTATAAAAGAGACTAAACTGTCTGTAGGTGGCGCTCTACTGTAAACAGTCCTCTTATTCTTCCTGTCAGAGGTGTTGAACTGACACCAACAGAGCAGGTAGCTGCTGTCTCTGTCCAGGGTGCTGAACCAGCTGCTGAGCTCTGTGGAGCAGTCGTCTAACTATGGTTGGATACCTTTAGTGTGCATCCAATGAGCCAAATTGTATTCATGTGTGATGATGTTCTTAGCAGCCATTTTATTAAGGTGAGAGCATTTTTTAAGATTTGACCTCACTGTATAAATTGTGACCTATTGTGACCTCTAGGATAATCACAGCCTCATGAGACCGAGGGCACTCAGAGAACGGATGAGTTTCCTCACTATACTGACACCACTGAATCATATAGTGTATATAGTAGTATATAGTTGTACACAGACGGTGGGCTGAAAGGAAGTTGACATGAAAAAGTTCACTAATGTATTATATCATCCAAAGCTGGGGGGCATTCAGCTTACCTCAAAACTAATTCTGGCACCACTGATTTTTCTAAATACTACATTACCCATAAGCCTCAGCCACTAAAACCCATGACCTAGCACATTATTCCACACACTTGTACATATGCTTATACATGCTTAAGTAACCTTTTTGAGTTAATTGTTGCAGTAGTTTTAATGAAGCAGACTTGGGAAAAGTCAGTAGTTTTTTATATGCATTTACTATTGCTTTTAATATATTTATCAAGATTGAAGGTTCTTGATCACAAAACAATCTCAGGTTCGATCCTGATACATCCAAATGTTACAGAACATCTGACTTCCCTGCGTTCACATTATTCTTCCAGAGTCTGCAGGAGGAGGCTGTGTCTTTAGACTTATTGTATTTGTTTTCAGGGGTTGAAATGGTTTAATTCTACTTAAAATAGGTTTCCAATCTTTAAATTTACATTAATTTCGTGAATGTAAGTTTTGCTGACTAATTTGTACAACTATAATTGAATCAAAGCAGCATAAATAATAAAGATGTATGGTTGCACAAACACTGTAATACTGGTCCTACTTTCACACATCGGACAACAGCGACACCCTGAGGCCACTACTGGACATGCACTGACATTACATCGTACACTTAACGCGGCTTGTTAAGAAGAAATTAAGACTTAAAAACAGCAGAATATGACCTCTATATCGCAGATATGTTTGTGCTCTAAGATGCAGATGTCTCACACTGACCAGTTTCCCCGTCAGACCCACCCACCCGGTGCACGCTGGGAGGTGTTGCGCTCAGTCCTGTGACTCTGAGCTGATGTGTGTCGACGCTGCGCTGCAGGTGAACTTTGCTATCCTGATGCTAACCTGATGCTAACAGTCGCAGCAGCACAGCAAGTGTCGATAACGTCGGTCAGTGGTTTTTTTTGTTTAGGACTCTTGTCACTGCAGCTCCAGCTTTCTCTCTGCTAAAAGAAAACAGAGATCACACCAGGACGTCCACGTCGTTGTGTGTTTGTGTGTAGAAGAGAGACACAACTTTAGTGAGCTCGATGTTTCCAGAAAGTTCCGTATTCAGACCGACACACGAGGGTTGACTGAGTCTCTGAAACTCACGCAGACTATCACAATAAATACAGAACATGGCGCTCCTGGAGCTGGTGAGTGTGACCATCACCTCTGTAAGTCCTCAACAGAGCCCACAGTCCGGTACGACGAGCTAACATGCTAGGTTAGCTAGCGACTGGAGCTAGTCCAGTAAAACAAACTGGCGGCCATAGCTCGTGTTTTAAACAGTTTGTCATTGTTTACTATTTGTTGTAACCTCGCATGTCTTGTTATATAGTGTCATCCTGTCCTCTCTCAGGCGGGTGTCAACGTTACGTTCACCGGAGGACTCTGGTAGCTAACGAAGCTAACGTAGCTAACGTAGCTAACCGGCGTCCATGTGACGGTTGGCTAACGGCTCTGTTGATCTTGAAATGTGACTCATGGCTGTCGTCTCATTTCCTCCACATTTAGTAACGATTGCTTCAACACGGCCGCACCAGGACAGAAACTGGACTCATCCGGATCCGGATCCAGGTCAAAGATGGAGTTATCAGCGGTGAGTGAGTCTGCTGTCACTGTTGATGTTCATCATCACACAGCCAGAGAGAGCTGGGTCTGTCTGTCTGTCTGTCTGTTGGTGTGTGTGTGGGGCAGTCAACCTACATGTTAGTAGCGTTTATTCACCAGTACAAATAAAACAAGTCCTAACTGGATTTAAACCCGCGCTTTATTATGAATTACATACCTTTTACCTTAAACTTGAGCATTGTTATTACTGTAAAGTTAATCTACTTATTGATTTGCAACATTTCGCACAATGGCCTAATACACCCAGATATATTTAAACAGACAATATGTCTGCAGCTAGGGGGGTCTCTCACATCAAAGCAGTAACAGAAGATGAAGTTTGATGATGTAGAGTAAGGTGGGATTCATGGTTGTCACTGCAGTCAGCTTCTCTACAATCACAACAATGGGGATATGACACCATATACAGGTGAAACACAGCGTTACCTGAACAAAAGTACAGATTTTTATGGGTTTAATCGTTGTTGGAAACATTTGAGATAATGTAAATACACAACTCACCAAAAGATATAAAATAGGTCTAGTGATTATAGACATTTTAATGTGGAAATGTTACATATTATAGCTTTAAGGGAAAGCTACCATGGTATAAACAGTGTGGCCAAATTGTTAAGTCATTTATATTGTCTCACTGTATTGCCCAGTGCCCTCCTCTAGTTAAACCCCAACAACAAAATCATCTGCCTTTCAGCTGGTTGCCAACAACATTTGAGATTTGCCTTGCTTAGTTACTGACTATGTATCTGAATATTAGAGACTGATCTCCTGTTCATGGTAATGTGAATGCTGTGCGCCTTATTTTGAAATTCAAAAATATTCTGTGGTTTTAGAAGTGTCTAAAACCAAATGATAAACTTGGTTTGTGATGGTTGATCTTTACGAAAGGTTCAACAGAGCTGATGTGGAGGCCATTATTTAAACATGGCATTGATTTTTCTTTAGGACACCATATTGTCATTGTGGGGACATTTGAGGAAGTTTTTTTTGCCACCTCACAGGGATACATGACTGCAAGCAGATCTGTAGATGGCTATTTAATAACTTAAACCCAACACACACACATAAACATACACACAAACGCACACACGCGCAGCCACTTCATGACTCATACCATTTGACAAAGATGCAGTTTAGCAGTGAGCTTTTGGGGGGGGGATACAGATGTGTGAGTGTGTCTCTGAAAGATAAAGATAGAACCCCATAGAAAAACGCAGGCTGGATTAAGCTTCTGCTTTGGCTGTGAAACGGGGGGAGGGAGGACGAGAGGCAGGAGAAAGCCATTGTGGGTCGGCGAGAGAGAGAGAGAGAGAGGGAGAGGGGGTTTATGTGAGGGATGGAGGTTTATTTTATAATATGTTATTTGAAATAGCAGCATCACAGAGAGAGGGAAGTGAAAGAGGGGAAAATGCAGGAAAAACAGGATTCTCAGAGCCGAGCCTCGGGCAGCCTGGGGAAGGTAGGAGTGTGTGTGTGTGTGTGTGTGTGTGTGTGTGTGTGTGTGTGTGTGTGTGTGTGTGTGTGTGTGTGTGTGTGTGTGTGTGTGTGTGTGTGTGTGTGTGTAGTGTGTGCATTAAGTGCCACATGTGTGTAGAAGATACATATAGTGTGTATTGAAGCGGACAGCTTATGTACGGAGTGTTTATTTTATGTTCTTTGTTGTTGATGTAATTATTTGTACATTTTCTTTTCGTATACATGTTTTTTTTTCAAATGCAGCTAAATTAATGTCTGTCTGTCTGTGTGTGTATAATGCTGCCTGTTTGTCCATGAGGCATGTAAGCACAGATAATGTTGAGTCTCAGTTTAATTCTACCCAAGTGTGTGTGTGTGTGTGTGTGTGTGTGTGTGGCGTGTGCGTGTGCGTGGACTGTCTCCTCATATCTCCATCATCTCCACTGTGAGGGAACCTGGCCTCTGCTCTGTGCTACAGGCTTGTGTGTTTAGTAATGTAAATGTCATACGAGCATATTTTAAAATTAAAGTCTCTTCATGTAGCTGTTTGGATGAGGTTTCTCTGCTGTTTCCAGAAGGTCTGTGGCATTCAACAAGAGGTGACCATTGCTGAGAAAGATGTTGAATGGCACCTTTACACTGTGGCTAATCCTTTATTTTTTATCTTTGCCTTTCTCTCTATCCTCCAACACCTCCCCTTTCTGTCCACAACTCTGATTTCTCGCTACATAAACCCCCCCTTCCCCTCTCTGCACTCTCTGTCCGCCATTTCTTTCTCCTGTCACTTCTCTCCCTTCTGTCCTCTCTTTCTTTCCACCTCTCTGTCTCTTTCCTCCTTTGGCCCTCTTTCTGTCTGTCTCTCTGTCTGTCTCTCTCTCCGTCATTGTCCTCAGGCTCACCCGGCTCTCAAAGCCTTTATGTGTGGCTCTCTCAGCGGTACCTGCTCTACGCTGCTCTTCCAGCCTTTGGATCTGGTCAAGACACGGCTGCAGACCCTGCAGAACAACGCCAAGCCGGGGTGTGTGTGCGCACATGTATAACACACACATACATCTCATGTGTATGAACATGACAAACACACAATGTTTCTCCTGTGTGCCACCACATGCATGTACATTAGCATGCCCCTGGTGCTATGTTTTTTTCTATCTCCAGGCACAAAATGACACACACACACACCATTGCAGGACGTTTGCAGGCAGTGCCAGCCTGAATCTGCTGTTATGAGTCGACCCATAAAGGGCAATTAGTCACAACCGCACCATCTAATCATAGCCAAGCTGCTAGGTTGCAATTACTTCCACTGACGATGGGAACAGCATATGTTAAAAGCTAAAAGTGGATTTTTATTTCAAATAATGTTCCATAGGTGGGGGCCAATGCCTGAGTGCTAATTTTCTAGTTTCTGTTCTGTATGTTTTGTCTGTAACCTCAATTTCATCCTGCAGTGCACCGAAGGTGGGGATGTTTTCCGTTTTCATTAACGTTATTAGGACAGAGAATTTCTTCAGCCTGTGGAAAGGAGTTTCACCAGTGAGTAACTGACCTTGTTTATTAGTGTCAACAACAGTTCTTGCAGTTAAAAATCCTGTTACTACATGTATGTATGTATGAATGTCGTCAGTAGTCTGTGAGGGTGTTTGTTCTCCAGCTCAAATCCACGTACACTGTTTTTTGTCTTTCAGCTTACATTAGCATCACCTCTTGCTCTACGAACCAGACAGACACTCAGCTAAACAAAGTCTGCTTTCACAACAAAAATCTGAATATTGCTGTCAAACTATAATATATTTGCACTCCTGTTTGGCTTTTCTTTTTTTTTTTTTTAGCTAAAGACACCTTTAACACATGTTCAACACACTGTTTCCTTTCCTGGCAGTCATTTGTGCGCTGCATCCCCGGCGTGGGCATCTACTTCAGCACTTTCTACTCCCTGAAGCAGCACTACTTTCTGGACCGCGCACCCAACGCTGGCGAGGCTGTTCTTCTTGGAGCGGGTGCCAGAGCTGTGGCTGGCGTCTGCATGCTGCCATTCACGGTCATCAAGACACGCTTTGAGGTGAGGGAACGGTCCTTTACACACTGAGACCTCAACTCACCTGAGATGTGATTTCTTATCTCCTCACAGTCAAGTTTTACTTCCTGTCGTTAACTTGTTAACTGAGCTGTTTACAATTTGTTAGTTAACAGTTGTTAATGAATGATTGCTTTTAGTCAGTGGTGCAGTTTTAGGCAATGGTTTATGATTTGTCATCTATTTATGAACCTGCTTCCTTATTCCTGTTTTGTTATGAGCCACTTTTGTCTGGTGAGACTTTATCCTGGAAAAATAGACCTTGGCACATGTTTAAAATGGGTAACAATAAATCTAAATGAATTGATCCAGCAAAAGCATTTTATGAGCACTCAAGCCACAATGAAAGAAGCTAGTTTTTGTAGGACTGTTGGCTCATCAATATGTTGGAGGAGTCTTATTTCACGCCTTTAGGCACTCCTCATAAACTCATGTTTTTGTCTTAATAAGTAGGTTTTTTCTGTATGAAGCCTTGTTTTAGTAAAAATAAAGCTGAGGAAGACCTCCCTGTTCTTAATCTCGCCCATAAAGCTCTGATTGATCGGTTGTTTCCAACTAGGGAAACACAGCACAACAACCAGACATGAAAAAATGTCTGGAAGCATGCAGAGCTACTTTGTGCTGTGTTGTATATACATGACACACACACACACACACACACACACACACACACACATTATTAACAAAGAGTGAGAATGTGCTTATATGTCCAACCTGTTCATTATTATAGACAGCTTATTCATTAATCAGGAGTTCTGATTAGTTATAGCATTAGTCATTGGCTGACATCACACTGCATAGCTGAGGATAATCAAGATGGTGACCAATAAATAAACCATGAAGTATCTGTGAGTAAGAGACATTGTACCCAATGAATGACCATAAATAATAATAATAAAAACTGATAATGACCACAATCTACAGCAGCAGTCTGTAACACTGTAAAAAAAACAACTGTATCCAGCTCATTGTTTTTTACTCCCACTGTCAAAACTGTAAAAGCAACAGTGTAAATAAACGTGTTTCATATTTATAATGTTCATTTGTTGTTTCAGAGTGGCTGTTACAACTATGTGAGTGTGGCAGGGGCTCTGAGGAGTGTGTATGAGACGGAGGGAGTCAGGGCTCTGTTCTCAGGGCTGACTGCCACACTGCTGCGAGACGCTCCCTTCTCCGGCATCTACGTCATGTTCTACAGCCAGGCCAAGAAGGGACTGCCTCAAGGTGAGACCTGCACTGCATCAGCAAATCAAAATGGAGGTCATTAAAATGTGAAGCACTAATGGCTATAGATCTGATGAGCAAAGGATGGCTCAAGTGTTGTCCTTGTACAACCGTGTAGTGAATGGTTAAGTGCTTTTGAATCTTTGGCCTCCAAAAGGGGGCTTGTAGTGCTTGTATGTCTTAAACCTTAAAGTGTGCTCAGTGGCCAGCAACACAAAGTGCGTTTCCATCCACATGTTTTTATGTTAATTTCCAATTAATAAATCAAAAATGCTGGAAATGCGCATTAATTCATATTTTCCTTTGCAGTTTTTTGTCTGGAAATTCTGTGAATATTTGCACTAGATTTGGATATAAACTTGATTCAATGTTTATATTCATTTCAGTGACTAGAACTCCACTCTGTCTGGATGTGAGATCAATATGAGATTGTTCTTTCTACAGAAGCTTTTTCCTGTCTATCTTTTTGCAGTAGAGCCCAATAAATATATTGGCCAGGCCGATATATAGCGTGTAGAGAAAGTGGCCCCTCTCCCAGCTGCATTTCAGCGGCAGGTAGTAGTAATCAGGTCCCCTTTTATTTGGAAATGTTTTATTTTGCTTAGTGTTTTAGTTTGAAATGTTCAATTTCAGCTCAGTGAAGCAGTTTAAACACTTTATTTTTCTTTTTATATATAATTTTGCTTCAAATAAAGACAAGCATTTCTCTACACCTTATTCTTGTTTAAAAATCATTCACATTATATGAAAGTTATGGAGAGCGATAAAAAGGTGACCTTATGGTGTTAAAGGCGACGCAATGAAAAATTTGGGTGCACCTAAATTTTGTACTGGTGCACCAAAAAAAAAAGTTAGGCGCACCAGTGCAACCAATGCAAAAAGTTAGTCTGGAGCCCTGCATTCCTTTTAACTCTTAAATATTGGTATCAGCCTCAAATATGCAGCACTGGTCAGGCTGTAATTAGCAGCAAATTGCGCCTCACAGTAGACCTGTAGTGTCCGACCTTTTTCCTTAAGGGACCCATTTTCTATCATTTAATAAACTGACGACTCCTGACTGAAGGGACATATTTTATGGATTTATATAATTATTACATTCAAAACTGTACAATGAACTCAAATAGTCAACACAACAACTGCAAGAAGTTTGTGTAAAACAAGTTATTTGGATGATGTTTTTCCTATTTAGGGAACTTTTTATACAATTCTCTGTCTGTAAGATGTTTTTAATCATACAGACTAATTTAATCAACAATCATACACACACATACAATTGACAAATTTAGTGTTTTCCTGGCACTCGGTCATTGTTAGATTAGACAATTTCCTTAACAAATTACTTTACATTTACATTTTTTCACATAAGTGAACCAAATGCTGAGATATAGGCTCTATAAGGTTTTTTACAGGTTGGGAACCACTGCAATAGACGATATACTCTTCTATTTTCTCTTGATACCTGACTTCTCTTCTCTCAGAGGTGGCTTCGTCAGCCTACGCCCCGCTGGCGAACTTCAGCTGTGGGGTGGTGGCAGGCATCATGGCGTCGCTGGCCACACAGCCTGCTGATGTGGTGAAGACCCACATTCAGATCAGCCCATCCCAGTGGAGGACGTCAGATGCTGTTCGCTTCATCTATATGGTGCGTGTTTGCTTTTCTCTTAATGCATGTGTAGGTCACTTTCAGGGAGAAGAGGTGCTAGCAACGCTCATTCTTGTGGGCGAAAAGCGTAACATTAACAGCGCCGTATCATACTGAACGTTCTTGCTCTGTACTCTCCCTCAGGAACATGGCATGAAGGGTTTTTTCCGCGGGGCGGTACCCAGGTCCCTGCGACGCACTCTGATGGCTGCTATGGCTTGGACTGTCTATGAGCAGCTGATGGCTCGAATGGGCCTCAAATCCTGAAGAGCGACCGTGTTGAGCCACAATAAAACAGGATGATACACGAAGGGTTAATGATACACAGTATGTTTCTCACTGAAAGAAGAAAAGGGATTCGAGGAGCGCGTAGAGACCGTGAACCAGCACTACCAAGATTTTGAAAAGAGGAAGAGGGAGGATAAATGTCTGGGGGAAAAAGCGAGAATGCTATGTGTGTTTCTTTGTGGATATTTAAATGTTTGTGAAAATGTGCCTGTTTGTGTCTGTAGGTGTGTGAGTTTGACATTGTGATGTTACAACTGACACATTCTTATGTCAATCTTGGACTGAAGTGACACTCCCTGCTGTGAAGTGAAGTGAACTTGTTCCTCCTCTCACTACTTACGTTTTGGCACCACTGAGGTGCGGCTGCCACAGAAAAATAAGAAACACTGCCCCCCGACAGAGGGCCCGTTACTGTTCAGCTTAGATGCCTTTGACAAGGTATTTTAAAATGCTGGCAAGACAAATGGGAAACTCAGCAAGCTGGTGTACTGTACATCTGCTGAGGTAACCAAAAACAAAGCACTGCAGCAAGAGGAGCTCTGGCTTCTGCCGTATTTATGAAACTTGCGTAAGCTTGGGCAATGTCTCTTACTTGCCAATTAACAACCAGACTTTGATATTTAATTTGTTTCAGGCTCAGACAATCACAAGCACTCACACAGCTGCATTATGGGAAGAAATTCACAATAAGCCTTTGTTGTCATACTGCTCAAAACTATGCTAATTTAAAGTTTATATACAACTGTGGTGCATTTACTCAGCATCGTGGAACCAGACAAACTTTTTTTAAAAGAGGTCATGTTAGTCACATCTGTGCTTAAAGAAACACAGCTGAAAATAACCTGTGATGGCTTCTGAGTCAGATCAGGATTTTGTGGGGTTTTATGAGTTTTATAATTTAAATGCTTTTTTTTTTAATTTTATTTTTTTGGTCTCCTGCGCCTTTTATTATTTGGGTTATTTTTCTACACATTTAGGTAAATATTTTAATGACAGGGTGAAATTGAAATCTTACAAATATGTCACATTTTGTTCCTGTGATTGAATGAGGAGCCTGTGAGCATATTTTTTGAACATTAAGCTTGCAAGGGAAGCATTGCTTAATCATTGTGCTACTAAAATGTTTATAAATGTTATACAGTATCCATGTCATTGTGCGACAGCTGTGGACACTTTCCAGCCTCTTCCTGGCTTTGTAAATATTCAACACTGGCCGATCCACACCCGCTCAGTGACGTGAACTTTCTAGACTACTTTCTAGGCCAGAAGGCGGATCTCAATACAGAACTGTTGGCTGTAACTAATTGAGGCCATATTTTTATGTTGCTTGTACAGTGTGCCCTTTGCTATAAATAGTATTTATTATTGTTGATATAAAAAAGAGGTGATATATTGAGAACAGTTGTTATATATAACTGTTTAAAGGAATAATGCCAAACGGAAGATCTCGTTGGTTGGGGAGATTGAAATACTTGGATCATTCTGCATTCAGAGTGTAAACGCACTGAACCTTTTGGTAACGTAACAGAATATATAACAGGAAGGTTGTGTAGCAAAAACAGAAAATTAATGACATGAGTTGATTTCTAAAGGCCTCAGTGTTTGCTGTGTAACACAAACTGTGTCTGACTAAATGTGCCGTAATCCACACCTGGAAGTTTTTACCTCGTCCATTATCTTCATCACCACACAACTCCTGTAGTCTCTGTTGATCCTGTGTTGACTATATTTTATATGGTCATTGTTATTGTAGATATTTGGTCTGTGCATGCGTTTGCTCAGACAGATGCTGTGCCTGCCTGGTTTTTAACTTCAATAAATTTCTCTGTTTTTTTTTTAAAAAAGGTCATTTTGACTTTTTTTATTTTGGAAATTAAGAAGAGTGATTTGTTGTAAATTTTCCTTTATTTCTTTATACCAGCTGTACATATACAATCAACCATGTTATCAACAAACTCATTAAACATATGGTGCTACTATTGTCAGAGAGCCACTAGATATGACCATTATAAGCACAATATATTAAACATAATTTATGGAATAAAGCAACAGTTTTCAACATTTAATGAGGTCTAAAAAGGTCTTCTACACCAGTGGTTGCCAACCCAGTCCTCAAGTTCAGGTAGACCTGTTTCTGCTGCTCAACCCGTCAGCAATAAAAAACGTCATTAGAGAAAGCGTGATAAAGTAGAGCTGCAAGTTCTGCTGTCCTGCATGTTAAGGACTGGGTTGGGAACCGCTGTTGTATACACTGTAGGAAGGTTGTAATTAGAGAAACAGATTTAATGTTAAATTTTAATAAGCTTTCTATCTATTTTTTCAACATTTGATTAAATATGTTATAAATGAACATAAAGTTAACTTAAAGCTAAAATCAAAACACTCTCTTTACTTTGTCATGATAGTACAAATGGCACTAATAATTAGAAATATTTGAACAAAACTGATATTTTAAAGCAGCCTGTGAAACGAAGTAATTAACATTTGGAATGAGCGAAACGTAACATTATACCTTTCCAGCAAGAAGAGTAGATGTTGATTAAAATAACAATGAGATTTAATAGCAGATGAAGTGGAGGCTGTCCTCACAGTCCCAGTTCTCCCACTGTCCCCCTTTGGTTAAAGCTCCACAGCGTTTCATTATTGGACATTGGTAGTCCTCTTCTCCTCCTTCTGCCCAGTTCTCATACACCAGAGGGTCTCTGTCCACCCACAGCCAGCGGTCCCCCAGGAAACGCAGCCCGATCCACACCCGCTGAGTGATGTCGTTGTGCTGGATCTTTCTCAGCGCCTGAAGGTTCTCGGTCTCAGAGACCAGGCTTGTGAGTGTAGTGTGTTCCTGACTGCAGTGTAACAGTGCATGCTCCCAGGTCTTCTTTTCTTCCACCAGGATCAGGTTGAAGCATAAAAAAGGCAGACTCACAGATGACTTTATGTTATACCACCCAGGCACCCAATTCTGCCCATTCCAATTGCAGTTTTGCCAACAAACGGCAGCAACAGATTGGTACCCTTCCCCATCTGGTTCATTCGAAGCCCACAGTACATATTTTGAATTTCCTCCTCCTGACCACTTCCACTGTGTTCCATCTAGGTAGAGACCAACCCAGACCCATTGACCGATGTTCCCTGCTGCGTCTTTCAGCCTCTCTTCATCCCACCATGAAGAAACAGAGGAAAGATCAGTGTAGTGTTCTCTGCAGTGCTGCTGAGCCAAATCCCATGTTAACCGTTGTTGCACTAATACATGCTTTCCTAACTGCGCTGAAACACTCAAAAGTATTACGAGTATTTTCAAAACCACAAACTCCATGGTGGTGAAGTTTACAGATGATTGTTAGGATGAATATAAAACAAACGGTCTGTTCAAGGTGAAGCCTGTGTTTCAGTGTGGTCCCTCCTCTATTGTCTCTTCACAGTCAACAAAACACTGACGAAGGGTTTGTAGCCATCGGGCAGGTCATCAGTTTTGCCTTGGAAATTTACTTGAAATGTATTTGACCATGTATGTGTGTGTGTGTGTGTGTGTGTGTGTGTGTGTGTGTGGAATGTGTGGTATTGCGCTTTTACATTGCCTTGTGCCAAAAGTAAACATATGTCAAGAGAAACAAGATAGGTGATGTTTGTTACACTTAATATCTTAATTCTTCTTCATTTCCTCAGTACAACAAAAGTTGCAGCCAAGTAAAATAATCCAGTTTTGAGGCAACTGAGGCAAGCATTTCAGTGTGTATGGCACTGCTGTAGTTGATTATAAAATCCATTGACTGCCTCTTATTGAATTAGATCATCAGACTTCAACGCACCTGGCATTTAGGCAAGGAGCATGAGTTCCAGTTACACCTCACCGTTTCCACACAAATCCTCAATTATTAAAATGGATTATTGACCATAAAAAGCTGGCAACTTTCCCCGGGGATCACAAGCCACTGTGGTCCCAAAGGCTCCAGATGCATTGTGTGTCAGAAGTTTTTCAAAGTAACACAGTGGCCCAGATTGATATGAAAATGTAGTTTTCTTACTCCCCCATGCCAATAACCAGAAGAGGCCAGTGGTTCATTCTAGCTTCATTTCAGAAGTATAATAAACCATAACATTGTTTTTACTACATTTGCAAGGGATTTATCTGAAGTCAGTGAAGCCTCCATAAATTTCCCTAAACAAAGTTTGCCTGTAGGAAGTTTATTTCCATTTGACCTTAAGAAACAATAGGCGAAAACAAGTCCTGTTTGAATCATATCCTGACTGCCTTTTCACTTTAAAACAACTTCCAGAACTTCAGTGAATTGCATTGTGTAGTCTTTTGGCAAAATAGAGAAGTATTGTGTCCAAATCTGTTACCTACTGGATTATGTGATGCAAGAGGACCAACAGAGGATAAAAAGCCTGATGGATTTATGAGTCAGGTGTAAGGCCCCTACAGATAGACCTATAGGCCTATTGGCCACCAGTTTCTCCATGGCATAATTTGTGGTAACAGCAGTTCAAATATGGTTGAGTGACAATTAAATTCCTAATCTCTTTACAGAATCCGATGGGTCCCCAGAAACCAGGGATTCAACATGACTCAGAGTCTATAGCCATGCTAGCAGCTGTACTGAGGCACAGCAGTGTTTTCAGCTAAATGCTAAAATGCTCAAAATGACAATGCTTAACAGGGTGATTTTTAGCAGGTCAATGGTTAATCATGTTCATCTTAGTTTAGTTTGTTAGCATGCTAACATTTCCTAATTAGCACTAAACACAAACAGCTGAGGCTGATGGGAACATATTGCAAGAAAAAGTACAGTTTTTTGACCTAATGGAGGAAAAACCTAAAAACAACACTGTAAACAAGGATCAAGAAATTATTGTAAACTAAAATAAAAATGAAAACTAGACTGTGTGAAAATAAAACTGAAATACAGCTTCATGTCTAGATTGAAAAAAAACAACCTATAAATACATGAAAAGTAATTTAAATGCAGTGTAGAAAAGGCCCAGAAGGTGTATAATGGGGTGGGCACAGATTGAAAAGTAAATACATATTAGGAAAATAAAACTGTAAAAGAATAACTTAGATATTGCTGAAAGAATTGTGATCTTGTGTTAAATGAGATTTTCTATGGTCTTTCCATTAATGTACATATATTTTTAATCCAGTGTAAATGAAGTGAAAAAACTGGACACAACAATATTATTTACTGTTGACATGAAACCCACACTGTAGCTCTGCTTTCCATACATTCATTATTACTGTACAACTTATCATTACTTACACTCTCACATTCAGATACAGATGAAGTTGAGTTAATCCTCACAGTCCCAGTTCTCCCACCTTCCCTCTTTGGTTAAAGCTCCACAGCGTTTCTATACTGGTGGTCCTGTTCTTCTCCTTCTGGCCAGGCTGGTGCACCAGAGGGTCACTGGTCACCCTCAGCCAGCTGTGCTCCAGGTAACGTAGGCCGATCCACAATGATGTCAACTTTCTGAATCACCTTCTGGGCCAGAAGGTTCTCGGTCCCAGAAAGCAGGCTGGTGAGGTTCATGTGGTTCTCTCTGCAATGCTCCAGAGCCTCCTCCCAGGACTTCTTTACCTCCATCACGATGAGGTTTAAGCAGAATAAGTGCCCTTTCACTGCTGCTACTACACCACTTATCACTGGACCAGAAGACATAATCCTCATAAGCACTGATTTAAAAGTTTTTAGGTTGGCGTATTCTCCTCCTGACCACCTCCAGAGCAGTCGTCGGCATCCCTGTAGAGACCGATACATCCTGAATCGCCATCACTCACAGACCTTCTGAACGCCTGAGGCTCTAACTCATTGGTGATGGGTGACAGAATCAATGTTTGCATACGTATAAAACAGGGATGACTTTAACTAATTCAAATAATGTATCTACAAAGCGAATTTTCTTAATAGGGGATGTAAAGGTTATTTTAAAAGACGTGTTGCTGTGTAAAGACCTCAGTGCAAACACAACACATGACCAGACAGACAACAAACAAAAAGTAAACAACGTGCATAGAAGTGCAATTTCAAATGTTTGAAATGCTGGTTTCAAAAACAATATTTAAAATGCCACCAGTGGGGTTAGGTGTACTTGTACTATGTCCATAAATAAATAATAAGTAGGGTGAAGATCCCAAAGCAGCTCAGGCATTAATGAGTCTGATATAACTGAATGACTGACTGTTTTGTGGACCTCAAGTTTCCTCAGAAAGAAGTGGCATTGCTGATATTTGGAGAAGATGATTTCAGTGTTTGAATTTTGAATGAGTTTGTGGTCAATTGTGGTGCCGAGGTATTTGTACACCTCTACTCTTTCTATAGCCTGGCCATTGACCTCCAGTTTAGGTTTGGTGAACTGTCCACGACAGAAATCAGTAACCAGCTCCTTGGTCTTAGAGGCATTGAGGTCAAGGTAATTCTCCCTACACCACTACCATCTCAGCCTGGAGCTTCCCTTTGGAGTTACTGGTATCCACAATGACTGTGTTGTCGGAGCATGTAATGTATTTTACTTCTGGGTCAGAGCTTCTGCAGTTATCGGCGTATAGAAAGAAGAACACAGGGTTACTGATCCCTGTGGGGCTCCAGTGGAGATGGTTCGAGTGGCCATTAATTCTGCCCACTTGTCAGAAGTCAAGTCAAAAATGAAAGAACCCAGAGAATCAGATGTGATTTAATGTCCATTTGTAGCATTTTCCCAGATGAAATGCTTTTTGGTGAGTGTGACTTTCAAGGCTTTTGTGATCCAGGGCTTGTTGTTAGAGAAAACCTTGACAGATTTTGTGGGGACTATAATTTCCTCACAAAAGGTGATGTAGTGCATGACGACATCAGAAGCCTCTTCTAAGCTTCTAAGCCAGCACATCCTGTGTCACATACTTTCACCAGTTTCTTATGTGTTTCTTGTATACATTCTGAACATTTCAAAAGCAGATGTTAATTGTTTTATTGCCCCTGGTGGTGCATGTCTTGTACTGCTGATAAATCAGGAGTTTTTTGTTCAATATTTACAGTATTGAAAGAAAGACTATATTCATATAGTCTCTGACTATGTGTGACGTTGCCAGATGGAGGGATGTAAACAAGCACTAGGGCAAGCTGACCAAACTCTTGGGGAAGATACTTTGGTCTAACAGTCACAGCTAACAGCTCTCTATCAGGTGTACAGCAGGACTTCTTCACATTAGCGGTCCTACTCACTGTGTCTTTTCTTGCTGCTCACAGTTTCCAGTAGCAGTAGATTCTCCCGAGTGTACCGCAGTGTTCGACCTCCAAGAGCCCTTGTTCCCACGGGTGCTGCCAGTAGCGTCTCGGTTGTCCAAAACAGGAACAACAGCAGTAGAGAAATCCATGTCCTCATGATTGACACATTGATACAAATCTAATGTAGTCCAGTTCAGAAGGATGTCGTGCAGGACTCTTGTACAAAATTACCAGTTGCCACTCGACAAACAAAAGCAAATGCAAAACAAGTCTAGTGCAAAACGATCATTCAAATTAATTTAATTTGGCTCCTTCTTGTTTGGGTAAATGGTATTGTCAGCTTCTGTGTTTGTGTGGCCTGTCCTCCATCCAGGTATCCATGGTTGAGAGGAGGTGGTGTGTGTCAGGTCCTCCATAATCCGTCCTCTTTGCTCATGATTTACAATTTTGTCATCATAACTGTAGGTTTGTATTTTTTTGTTAATCTGTACAGACGACATCCATTCTATGGCAACATCATTCGCCACCATGGTCTCAACTTGTTGTTATGCCGACAACATCCAGCCTTACATCTCCACCAAATCCATCACCTCCGCCACACACTCCACTCTCCCCAACTGCCTCACTGACATTAAATCCTGGATGCCCACCAACTTCCTCAAACTTAACTGCGACAAAACAGACATGATCATCATCTGCCCCAAATCCATCACTAAAACCATTCACAGTAACTGCCTCACCGTCGACACCTCCACCCTGTCTCCATCCCCTCACAGTCACAACCTCTGAGTCATCTTTGACAATAACCTCTCCTTTAAACACCACATAAACCAAATCACCAGAATTACCTTTTTTCACCTTAAAAACATAGCCCGACCCCGCCCATCACTCTCCTTCTCTGCTGCAGAAACCCTCATCCACGCCTTCATCACCTCCAGAATCGATTACTGCAGCAGCATCCTCTATGGCACACCATCCAAAACTTTAAATAAACTCCAGTACATCCAGAACTCTGCTGCTCGTCTGCTCACCCACACCCGAACCCGTGACCACATTACCCCTGTCCTCCAGAACCTTCACTGGCTCCCAGTCCCACAACGTATTCAGTTCAAAATCCTCCTCCTCACACACGAAGCCCTCCATAACCAGGCCCCTTCCTACCTCACTGACCTGCTCCACCGCCACAATCCATCCCATAGCCTCCGCTCATCTGATGCAAACCTCCTGACTCCACCACCCAGGACCAAGCACCCAACCTGGGGCGACAGAGCCTTCTCTGTAGCTGCCCCCTCCCTCTGGAACTCTCTCCCCAAACACATCCGTGACTGCACCGACCTTCCAGCGTTCAAATCTCTGACAAAAACTCACCTTTTTAAAATTGCTGTTAATGTTTAGCTTAGTCTGATGTGTTTTTATTGTTTCACTATTTGATGTTGTTTTGCTTCTTCTATGTTTTTATGTAAAGTGTCTTTGAGTATTTAGAAAAGCGCTTATAAATAAAATGTATTTTATATATATACACACACATATATGTTTGTCCTGGGAGAGAGAGCTTTGATTTCACAAAAACTGAAACAGATATTTTTTATTTTTTTATCCATAGAAACATCTGGCACTTTGGGCAGCTCTGCTTTAGAGCATGTTTTATACGTTTCATTACAACATACTATATTATATATCTGCTGTGTGTATTGATGGTCCGATGGTACCTGACAGGCTCAACACTGGGTCTGAATGAGCCCTGACATATCCGGAAGTAAAGCTCACTATAAATGTGACCTCACTTCCTCCAGTGTCCCCTTTACACCATGAGGTGCAGACTTTGAGACGCGCTGCAGACCCGCGGACTTCTACACGACGGTGCCTCGTGGTGAGAAATAAATGTGATATTTTAATAATGAATACTGTGAGTAACGCTATCAATATGCTGCGGGGTACATGATTGAGACGAGCCTCATTATTGGAATAGAGAACATGCTCCTTGGTGGTCTGTGCATACTTATAATTGTATTAAGGAGGTTAGTGTATTTAAGTTAAATAGTAATAAAACGCCATGCTTACACGAGGGAAAAAAAAGTGTATTTTTGTAAATTGCTGAGAAGTTTGTTGTCGTTAAAGATTTAAAATGTCCGGTTGAGGTAGGGGAGGGGGAGGAGGTAACATTTTAAGTGAAATGAATGACACAATAAACTAGCTTTTCTACACAGTTTATACAATCATACCGTTCTCCACGGCTTGTTTTACTTGAAGCCTGACTCTTTAAATTATTGAGAGGGGTCAGAAATGTGAGATATTTTAACATCAGGTAGCTTCCTTCAACTGTAGCACAGGACTGTGTTCAAACATTCAAACCTCTCAGGTCTTATTGAGCTATAAGTGAATGTTTTAAATTGTGACTACTGTACAGTATGTGTAAACTCTCTGTTCCCATTTTGGCCAGTCTGTATTGAAATAGAGAATGTATATCCAGTTCTGGTTAAAGAAAAGTGTCTGTTCAGTATTGAACTATTGCTCACATTAGGAGCCTCTGTGTGTTCACTGATATCTGACTGTAAATTCTCTTTCAGCTCTTCAACTCAACTTGTGATGCAGAGAAAGTGGTGTGGATGTGCTGCAGATGATGATGGAGGATGATGTGCTGAAGTTCCTTAAAGCAGGAACCAACTTGTGAAGGATCTGGACTTCCAGATGGAGCAGTACGTCTACAGAGAGGAAGCCTTGATGGCGAGTTGGATGTTTTTTTCTTACATTTCATCTGTTCCTTCATCTTTACAAGTGCCAGAATAAATAAGCAAGAATTTAATTGATTTCTTCATACGCTTTAAAAAATACAACAATTTTACACTATTTTAGTAGCTTTAAAGTTCCTGCTGCAGATGGACACTGTTCATTATATTAGAAAAAGCTTGGCCTTGGACAGCTCAATCACTCCATTACCAACTACATTAATACAGATGTCTGTTACAACTCTGTGCGGCAAGTAATTTGACTTCTATCTTTCCTTCTCCAGGTGTCTAAACTACGAACCTAACTGCTGGCAGCCAGCACCGCGTTTGTCATCTCCTCCAGGAGCGGAAACAGGTCTGTTAATGGAAGAAGTTGGTCCACATGTGAAGGGCTACACCCTCTCAGAATATCTCCTGTGTATTAATATTAAGCATATTGCACTAAACATGCAGCACACCATTAAAGCCTGGCACTGTTCTTGTCGGTGTTTAGGTGTCGGAAGTGTGCCAGAGTGATCCGGCCTGGTTTTCGCTAACACCATTAGGACTTCTGTCCCATGACTGGGGTTTGATAGCAACCTGAGCCACACTTTAACATTAAATACTGATGTGCCTTGTTTCTCTCATACTACACTAATTCAGTGCCTTCTGCATGCTCAGTTGCACTAAATGCTATGACCTTTTTCTTAGCCGTATGTGTTCCTTCAAAGCAAATGGCAGCAGGTTTGCGTGTGTAGAAACTCTCAAAGTACTGCCCCGGGTTGCTTCAATTTGTATTGAAGTCAGTGAATCGGCAGATTCTTCAGTGCCGGGATTAAACCCATGTGCAGGCGCGCTGCGAGCTTTGCTGGTGTTTTGTAGGGGGAAAAAAAGATAAGGGAGGTGGATATTACAGCTGAAGATTGAGTCCCCTGTGGCTGGTAATTAAATTTTAGATCAGCTGATTAAAAGCCTCTTCATGTGGCATAATTGCTGTGTTGAGCTCGGGATGGCCCAACTAAATAGCACCTGGTCAATATCATTTGAGCTTCAGCCTGTTTATAGCACAGTTCTTGTCCATGCTCTGTGAACTGTGACACATTTCCAGTGTCAGACACACAGGAACATTGGCTCACTTGTTTATAAACCAGGGAGACCAGGTGCCATCTCTCATAAGTATTACATGTCAGCTCCTACCTGCCTTTTTTTTTTTTACTGTCCCATGACTCAATTTGATGCTGTGTAGGAAAGTAAAAACACCTATTTGTCTCTTCTGATTAGGGTTATCTGTGGGTCACATGTGGTGGATGTTGGTCAGAGGTGTCGAGAATGAGGGGGAACGATGTCCAGGGAACAACCCTGTAAAGCCGAGCCTGATGTGTATTTCTAAAGACCCAGAGGAGGTGAGTTGTGCAAAATAACATGCAAGCACAAATGTTTCAGACTCATTAAAAAGTCTGAAATGGGTTTTTTTTTTTTTTGTTTGACTAGTATACTCCTATTAGATTTAATACAGGAAAATATGATCAGTTTAAGTATGCAAAATACTGTAAAACTTCCCTTTTAAAAGCAGTGTCCCATTAGATGCAGTTCCTCTTTACTAGCCTGGTGTGGCTTCATGTTTTGACAAATTCAGGTCTCAATTAGACAGCTGGTGTGAATTCTACAGAAGTTCTTTAGAGGTTCTAAGATCTTGGATTGCCTACAAATATAAATGTTTAAACTTTTGTCAGTATGGACGCTGCACATTTAGTTATATTCTCCAATTCATTTTACAGAAACCATGAGCACCAAAAATATCAAATTAATGATTCATAATTTGTTATTTTGATAGCAATCTTTGCCACTACAGCTAAAAAAGACACAGGAAAACAAACCTTCTTGGATCATCTGATTCACTTCCTCAGTACATAAACGGTTGCTGCTTTCGAGTTGTAGGTATAGAAAATAGTTGGGGTTTTTGAAGCAGCTGTGTGATTTAATGAAGAAAACAACAATTTCTGTTTCCTCTTGTTCCCACAGAACTGGAGTGCCCAGACTGCCGCTCAAGACTGGTCTCCAGCTCCCGCTGGCTGGTGCTCTCTGAAGTTGGCTACTGTGCAGAAATGCACAACACAATAAGCCAAGAAATCAATAAAGTTGGATGGTTTCCTTAAAACTGTTTCACATTTCTTTTTGATATAAATCATGTATGTACAAGTGTGTAATAGTTAAGATATCAAATGTGTCATAGGTTCAGTGGAACATACTGCAGCATTAATATCCTCAGCTAGTCTGCAACAACAGTCCACACCTCCTTTTAATAAGTTTAAAATGCATTCTAGAAAATATAATGGGTGTAAAAATATGAACTTAATGAAAATTACTACACCTGTGAGCCTTTTAAATTTAATTTTCAGTGACCTGTGTTGTGATCCATGTTGAGGGCTGTGTAAGGACAGAACTGACCCACTTGATTGCTAATTTTATGTGCAGCATAGTGACGAAGTCATGCACACACCTTTATAAGGAAACAGTGCTATTGTTAATGTCCACAAAGTACATAAGTTAGAGTATACCATTTATAGTTGGTCAAACTTATTGTACTAAAATCACATGTCTTATCTGTGCAAAATGGCCTCTACAATATGTTTTATCACTCTTATGTGTAAACATTTCTGTTTACTAATGCCCAAAAGTTGACAAACAACTTAGGTATTTATTTGTACCTGTAAAATTGCACCAAAGCAGCAACACCCATTTTAACCAGACAGGTCAGAGAAATTAAAATGTGTGTACAAAGTGCTGATGTGTAGCAAATTATAAATTCATAGCATGTTGTACTGTTGGGGAATTACTGTAATTGAGACTTATGCAGCAATTTCTGTAACAGGGCTTCGATTATTATTGGCATTGATCATTGTGCTTTAAAATGTTCCACCCCAGATGGGACTCGAACCCACAATCCCTGGCTTAGGAGGCCAGTGCCTTATCCATTAGGCCACTGGGGCAATTATGAGTGCAAAAATGAAGATTATAGTATTTATATAAAAACTGTATGACGACGAAGTTGTTACATATGTATTGATGAATACAATTGATGTACGGACGTATGTCCTGGTTGCGTTTTATATTAGAAATATATTCAGTCCTTTATTGCGTGCTGCAGCCATGTCTCTCTGTTCCGTTGCTAGGCAACAAAGAGCACATCATTGAGTCAAGTTCAGCACAGAACAGTCGAGGTGTTTCCGGTCCAGCCCCAAACTCTTTTTGACTAAAAAATAAATGTCACTCGAGATCATTATTCCAAAACGGTTGCAATGTCGGAGCATCTCCGTCAATTGCAATCTCCAACCTGTGGTTCGGCTCACTCACAGGTTTTCAGAAGGGGTTACATGAACACTTCACCCCGAAAAATGACGTTAACTGACTCGCTAGGTTTCTTTAGCACATTTGCGTGTGCTTTTAATTTGAAAATATGAGAGCGGAAGAACGAGTCTATGCTGCTGGTGAACTGTTAGCTAGCTAACGTTACCAAGACCGCACATAGCAACATTCGCCTTCAGATATTGTAAGAAAAAACTTGTTAAACTGTGATTTTACCACGACCACGGTAGTCGTGTGAGTTGACTTTAGTAAGTAGTTAAACTAACCGTTAGTTCTTCCACTGATAGGAACACCCAGCGTTACCTAGTGATAAACAACAGTTAGCTAACGTCAACTAACTTACCTCTTCAACAAACATGGTGAGTCTTACGCATACCCGACGCCAGGACCATTATACTGCTATAGCAGTCTCATACTGGTGTGAAAACCTGATGAAAACATCACATTTATTGTACATTTGGTAGATCCTGTCTCGCGTGAAGCCCGCCGTGGGAGCAGAGACACCGACGAGCATCAGTGAGAAGAAGAAGAAGAACAAGACCAAGGTTCCCCGTCTGGAGGAATACCTGCAACAGAGAGACTACCTTGGGGCCCTGACACTGTTAGAGGTACTTACACACATATGTGAAACTTAGTCCAAATCAGGGTTTAATAAAGTTCACTAGAAGGTTTAGAGATCTCATGCTAACATGCATTAATGGATCTGAAGTCACTGAATCCTTCCTCACCAGCTCTGTGTGCACTACTCTACTGCTGCTGACCGACTCCTGAGCTATTTGCAGACTTATACAAAATGCACAAGAGGCTAAAAAACACAACACAACACACACACACACACACACACACACACACACACACACACACACACAAACACAACGATGTGATTATAGTTTAAAATAACTCCACTAGCTTCAATACCAGTGTAGTAAACACTACATACTGTTTGCAGAAGTAAGAGAAAATGGTTCAATGGAATTAATCCAATTAATTAATTAATCCAATATTGCTGAAGAGAAATACCAAAGTTGGTCTGAGGTCATTTAAAAACAATGTTTCCATTATATAGTTTGTCCACCAGAGAGCACTGAGAAGTTTATTTTTTAATTGTAAAATGACCAGCCTAGTATGTATCTATCAAAACATCAGGATTGTTTATGTTTTAAGAAAATTACTATCTGCCATCGTAATTAGATTTTATAAACCCCCAAATATGTATTTATTTATTTATTATTGATATTGGTATCAGCCTCAAATGTCCAATATTTATTGGGATATATTCTGTATTTCTAATTTCTAATGATTCCACGGTTACAATGACTAATACTCATCTGTACTGTAGGCTCTTGGGAGATGAATCCCCCTCTTAAGACCAATTAATTAAGTGGTCTGTTAGTTACCGTCTTCTGCCTCCCTGTGATTGATTAGACTGTAATTTCAGGAATGAAGCAGTAATTTCCTATAATAAAAAATATCCAGATATGATAGTTCAGTTTGAATAGTTCAGTTAACTTAGATGGAGCTGCTGGGTTAACTTGCCCCTGTGGATGAATAAATAATTTCTTTCATAGAGGGGTAATTATTTTTTTTAGACTGCAGTGCCTCCTGCAGATTATCCTGTGTCATGCCCTGGAATTAAAGTTTCAGAAATAGAATCGCTCCCAAATCTATGCTACAGGAAGCACTATATTACTGGATGCTGCTGCTCTGCTGCTGATGTGTTGCTGTGTCACCTCTAGTTTCAGAGAAGCATTGGAGAGAAAGAGGAGCATGCAGACCTCTGGATTGGCTACTGTGCCTTTCACTTGGGGGATTACAAGAGAGCTATGGAGGTATTTATTTTATGGTGTGTTTGTGTGTGTGTGTGTGTGTGTGTGTGTGTGTGTGTGTGTGTGTGAGTATGTGTAGCTGGATACACATCATTTCTCATAAAGTTAATTGCTAATTGCAGTATTTAAATATGTAATTCTAAATACTAAGTGGGTGGAAGGACTGTTTTTATAGGCTCCTATCACATTTGTTGTACTTCTTCATTATGTTCTGACAGGAGTACAAGTCTCTGACCATGAAGCCTGAATGTCCTGCTGACGTGTGGGTCTATCTGGCCTGTGTCCTGTTTTTTCTGGGGCTTTATAAAGAGGCTGAGGAGGCTGCATCTAAGGGTAGGCTTTCAAACTGAGGACATTACTCCTCTGTCCTGTATGCTGACCACTGGACATTTTGTTCTGTGTTGTTTGGGAAACAATCCTCTTGGTCACCAGTACACTGTGGCACTATTAGGCATTTTATTGTCTGTAGCTTATCAATACATTTTCAAAATGTGGAGGAATATGGTATTCACATCTACTATGCCAACCAGTAGACTTATAAATAAATGTCTTCCCCTTTTTTAAAGATATAATGAAACATATTTTGCAATTGAACTTGGTGTTTAGTGGTTTCTAAATATCAATAATTATGGGTTTATTTTTCAGTTATGTTTTTTTCAGTTAAAAATCACATGCATCTAACTGACAACTTGTTGATTTAACTTGTGCCATGTATATTATATATCCAGAAGCCCACTACTTTTTGTGCCGGGTGTTGTCCACACACTCTGTTCATATAGTGTATTTTTGGACAACCTTCAATTAAAACAGTAATTGTACACCAGGTTTTATTCAAGAAGTCTAATAATTACTTACAGGCTTTTATTGTGATCAGTTGTTGTTGTTAAGACTTTTTGCTGCTTAAAGTACACAAAGGAAATCAGTGAATTTAGCCGATTTTGCTAAATGGATTGCTGTACTGCTCCTCAGTTACTGTATACATTTTTTGCCAGCTCACATACAATGCTGTTCAGTTATGATGTTAATGATAATTAGTGTGCCTGTTATTATCATGTTTGTACTACATTTGGTATCTCTTGCTCTCTGTAGCGCCAATGTCCCCCCTGCAAAACCGCCTACTCTTCCACTTGGCTCACAAGGTTGGAAAACTATATTATTATTATTATTATTATTATTATGACTAGTAGTAGTAGTAGTAGGAATACTGTTATTATCAAGGCAATTTTGTGGTATCTCTAGTGTTTGTGTCATAGATTTTCTGTTCTTTTAATCTCAACACAGACCTGATAAAAACCCTTAAACTATCCTTTTCTTCCTTTGTGTCTTGAGATTTATGAGTATTTGTTTCTTTGTCTCCTTGCCTCCCCCCACCCCATTCTTTTTAACCTTTATTGTTATCATGATCACATTTCTTAATGTTGTATTGCTTCATTGTCTGTTGTCTTCATATTGTGTCTCAGTTCAACGATGAGAAGAAGCTGATGGGTTTCCACCAGAACCTGGAGGATGTGACAGAGGACCAGCTAAGCCTGGCATCCATCCACTACATGCGCTCCCACTACCAGGAGGCAATAGACATCTATAAACGCCTTCTACTGCAGAACAGGTCTGTGCTTTCTCCTGCCTTTTACTCTCTTAAATTAGTTTCACAGTCCTGCTGCACTTGGGTGCATGTGCCACCCTAGCACCACCTTGACAGGTGTGAGTTGATAATGGAGGAGTGTTAGATTTCATGTGCTTCACGCCTTGTGGAACCATAAAGATAATTCAAGTGGCAGTGCAGCAGACCTGCTGAGCTAGCTTCCACTAACACTGATATACGGTATCTGTAGTAGCAAGGATAAGAAAATGAAAGACTTTGATTTCACTAGATAGATATCCTGTGTCACTTCTCTCAGAGATCTATTCACGGCTTTGTTGCATTTGTGGGCCGAGGTGCATCTGAGGTTTTTTTCACAGCGTTGAAAGCAGCTTTACTTTCAGGCATCTACAGCAGCTCTGAGTGCATTTTTGTGGGCATGCAAATTACTACTACTTCCTCTGAATGCTAACAGAAAAATGCAAAAAATATCCAAATATGGCTGTGCAAATGCATATTTTAACAGGGCTTGATGTTCCTTGACTGGAAATGTTGTTTCGTGTTAGCCAGCCTGCAGATATTCCCTTTTAATACTCCTTTCTGGCTTTCACATGTTGGCTTGTTTGTGTCTGTTTATTCCTGTAATAAGAGTCTCTGGCTTTTTTGCACTATGTTGGATTTCAGTCTTCATTATTTCAAGAATCAATCATCAGTTTGTCCATATCTGAAGATATATGTTCTCATTATATACAATAATAATATTATATATAATTAATGGAATTATTTTCTTGATTTTCTTGTCTGATTTAAGTAATATGAAGAAGTTTCTTTTTACTTAAACTACTTATGTTTCACACCCTCATTGTCTTCAGAGATTTCCTGGCCCTGAAAGTTTATGTGGCTCTGTGTTACTACAAGCTGGACTACTATGATGTGTCCCAGGAGGTGTTGGCTGTGTACCTGCAGAGCATGCCTGAATCCACTATTGCCCTCAACCTCAAGGCCTGCAACCACTTTAGACTCTACAATGGCAAAGAAGCTGAGGTACTCAGTGTTTGCTGCATATCCTGGCTTATATTTTGGTAGTTTTTCACACGGATGTGTTTTCATATTTTTTTTGTTTTGTGCGAGGCCAGTTGACATCTATGTAAGAATTTATCACCCAAAGGTCAAAGGTCAGAGGCTATGTTACTTTAATAATGAAATAAAGAAGTAAAAAGAAAAAACAAAATCTTGACTGCATTTTTATTTTTAAATCTCCATCCATGTTTGTGTCTCAATGGCAATGTTTGAAATGAACAGCTCACAGTACTGTAACTTTTAAGGGTGTTTTCTGTAGTTAGGGTGCATAGTATTTGTGCTTTTAAAGGATATGTGTTATTTTAATATTATTTATTAATAAACCATGCATGCACATTACAGTTGAGTCAGTAACTACTTGTTTTTTTCATATCTTTGGTGAGAGTTACTCGTGGTTTGACTCATGTGTGCGCTCTCCCACTCTTAGGCTGAGTTGAAGAACTTAATCGACATCTCCTCCTGCTCCTTTGAGTTTGCTAAGGAGCTTATCCGACACAACCTGGTAAGCTCTTCACAAGCTCCAAGGTGTGTGTAGGTGTGTGTGTGTGTGCGTGTGTGTGCGTGTGTGTATACTAGTGACTTAAATGCTACTTTTCCACACTCTGAATATTTCTCCTGTGTACTGCAGGTGGTGTTTCGTGGTGGGGAGGGGGCGTTGCAGGTGCTGCCTCCTCTGATCGATGTGATCCCTGAGGCCAGACTCAACCTGGTCATATACTATCTCAGACAGGGTGCGCAGCCATGACATTGCAGTTTTCTGAAACAAGCAAAACAAAGAACATACTTTTATTACGGTGCCAGCACGCAGGATTTAACTGTAAAATGAGGAGTAAAGCATTAAAGATTCAGATCTTTTATCATTTACTTACAAATGCAATTAACTATACTCATCTGAGATAAGTTGTACAAAAACAAAATATTTATCATGAACATACTGTATAATTAGTTTAAAGTAAACTAAAACTGATGAAATAGTACATGACACAATGAAATCACACCCTGATGTATAGTTGCTAGCTCAGTGATTCACATGTTCCATTTTACACACAGATGATGTCCAGGAAGCATACAGCCTAATCCAAGATTTGGTGCCTACGACACCTCAGGTAATGACTCAAAGAGACATTGAGTGTTAACATGATATTACGCTTGTTCTTTGAAGCACCATGGAACTATCTGGTCACATGAAGAACAATACAGAAGCTATGTTTAGTTACAATTATGCAATTAATTGCTGTCATGCTCTTTTTACAAGAAAGAACATGTTTAACAAAAACCAGCATCACGCCAGATAACATCAGGCCTGTTAATAAACGCTTCTCCTCGCTCTACTTAAGAGTTCCTGGAGAATTCTTTTTCCTTTTTGTGAACAGTTTTTATCTTCTCCTGATGCGGTTTGAAGCAGCAATGAAAAATGTTTCAAATTATTGATAAAGTCCTGACTCACTTTTACTCTTAAATTATGTTTTGCTTTTAAAGGTCCAGTGTGTAACATGTAGGATGATCTAATGGAATATAATATTCATGGTTATGTTGTCATTAGTGTTTAATCACCTGAAAATAAGAATTGTTTTGCTCTCGTTACCTTAGAATGAGACGTTTTTATCTACAGAGGGAGCGGGTCCTCTTTTACAGACGCTGCCATGTTGAACCACCATGTTTCTACAGTAGCCCAGATCAGACAAACCAAACACTGGCTCTAGATGGGGCCTGGGATGTTTTTTGCTTGTTTTGCAGCCACCACAGTTTCTCCTACAAGCTTAAAAGGCTGAGCTGTATTCAAACGGTTGCAATCTGCAACTTTACCACTGGTTGTAAATAAATCCTACACACTGGTCTTTAAATGGGTTTGTCTGTCAAAATAATGAGGGTTGCCTTTCTCTCATTTTAAATTCTACAGAAGAGTGCTTATGATGTTTTTTTACTTTGATCATTTATTTTCTCAGGAATATATTTTGAAGGGAGTGGTAAATGCAGCATTGGGACAAGAAATTGGATCAGTGAGTATTTCTGTAAAATAAATCGTTACACAGAAACAAATGTAATACCAGTGAGTCCAAGACAAATATTTGTTATTGTGCTTTCATCTTTCAGAGGGATCATTTGAAAATTGCTCAACAGTTCTTTCAGTTGGTCGGAGGCTCGGCTAGCGAATGCGGTACACTGGATAGATATTTGATCAATATAATCCTTTAAAGCAGCACTGTGTGAGAGTGTGTGTGTGTAACATATTTGTTTCTTTCAGACACTATTCCTGGCAGACAATGCATGGCCTCCTGCTTCTTCCTCTTGAGACAGTTTGAAGATGTTCTCATATATCTAAACTCAGTCAAGGTTAGTGTTGTTCAGTAAAAGGCACATTATATGGTATCTTCCAGTGAAGAATCACTGCGATATTACTTCACTGTGCTATCAGTATGTAAGTGGGAGTTGAAAAAAAGACTCCCACACACTGGGTGATAGGTGCTTTACAGACGCAGTAGTTATTCAGGTGTGTTTTTCTTTCTTTCCTGTGATTTTCACGACCAACAAAAGACTGAAACTTTGTATGCACTTTTGTTTGGACACGTGGACACTCAACCAGTTTAGTCACATTTGTGCTTTTCTTTTTGTAGGGTTACTTCTATAATGACGATACATTCAACTTCAACTATGCTCAGGCTAAAGCAGCTCTTGGCAACTACAAAGAAGCAGAAGAGGTGACTTACTTCAGCATACATATAGCAACTGCTTTTTACACACTTTAATTAAGTCTGACACATTGTTGACCATTTTTCTGACTTGTTTTAATATTTCTTTCAGGTTTTTCTGCTGATTCAGAATGAAAAGATCAAGAATGACTATGTATACCTCAGCTGGCTGGCACGATGCTGTATGTATAGAAGTCCCACTGATGATAGAATTTAAATACAAAATGTTGATGCAAGGCTTATTCATTCATGTAGCACAATTCATTCACACATTTTCTAGGAGGAGTCAGATTTTGGCCTCAGGCTTATTGGGAATTTAGGGTCACTCTTTCCCTCAACTAGTGTTACGCTCAACAGCTCTAAGAAATGGATATCTCCATTAAAAGATTCCTCCTTTCTTGGCTTAATCCACATCAATAATACCTGCCCACAGGCGTTTAATATTTTCCAAATCTGAATGGATAAAGGTTGCTGAAACTGCCTGCGAACAATGGATTATTGAACACTCATCTTGTTCTTGTCAGACATAATGAACCAGAAGGGCCGGCTTGCCTGGGAGCTCTATCTGAAGATGGGTACTTCCTCTGATTCCTTCAGTCTGCTGCAGCTCATTGCCAACGACTGCTACAAGGTGACATCCTTTTTGTTTTGTTTCCTCTGCCACAAATATCATCTGTGGTGACCACTTAAATGGGAATGCATGCGTAAATGCATGAATTGCAGCTGAAACAACCAGTGAATTAATCTCTTATCGACAGAAAATTAAAGACAATTTTGATTCATTTGTATATACAGTCATCACCAGTTCAGTCAGAGTGAATTTCCCCGTTGTGGGATGAGTAAAGTATAATCTAATCTAATCTAATCTAATCTAATCTATATCTTCTCTCTAATGCAAGTTTCATATTGAAAATCTTTCAGTTTTGGACACCTGGTCAGACAGAAGAAGTCATTTGAAAACATCACCTGTGGTTCTGGAAAACTATGATTGTTTTTAAAGATTAGACTAAATGATTAATTTAATGAAAATACAATTTGTCTTTGTGCTGTGAATTTAAGGCTGCAACTAATGATTATGTGAAATTTTGGTGAATTTACAGATTATTTTCTCAATCAGTCGATTATTGTTTGATCTATAAAACTCTCCGCCACAATTTCCCAGACCCCGAGGTGACATCCACAGATGTCTTGTTTTTTTTGGGGGGCTTTTATTGCCTTTATTTGATAGGACAGCTGAAGACAGACAGGAAAGGGGGGCAGAGAGAGGAGATGCCAGCAGCAAAGGGCCGCAGGTCGGATTCAAACTCTGGGCCACTGCAGCGAGGACTCAGCCTCGGTACATGGGTCGCCAGCTCTACCAACTGAGCTAACCGGGCGCCCGACAGATGTCTTGTTTTGTCTGACCAACAGTCCAAAAAAGTTATTCAGTTGTTAATGATATAAAACATTTAGGGCATTTTTGCTTGAGAAGTGACTGAAACAGTTAGTTGATTATTGAAATAGTTACAGATCAGTTTTCAGTCAATCGAGTAATTGTTTCAGTATAACTGCACCAATGTCTCTATCTGGCTGTTTCTTTGTTAACATGCAGTAATTTATTGCTAAGAGCAGGTCCTTCAATCTCATGCTGTAAATTTCCAAATACACTTGTTTCCTTATATCTGTCAAATGTATAAGCTTGATTCCCGAATGTCACCTTAAGAGAAAATGCACATTTGATTGATTCTCTACTTGCCTGCTTTGTAATATTTTTCATCAATTTTCGCTTTATTATTAGAAATTCAATATGTTGCATACCGGTGCTCATGATCACAGTCTGTTGTTTCAGATGGGCCAGTTCTACTATGCAGCCAAAGCGTTTGATGCACTGGAGAAACTGGACCCAGGCTCCAACTACTGGGAAGGAAAGAGAGGGGCATGTGTCGGCATCTTCCAGCTCATACTGGCAAACAAGGAGTCCAAGTATGTTTGTCTCCTTTTCCTGTACAATAATGTGGGTGTTGATTGTATCATTTAACATTTCATATGCAAAATCTGGAGGCAAGAGACCAAGTTTTGGGCATTTTGGTTTCTGTGTGTGGCCCCAAGTACTGTTGACCAATCATGTTTGAGCAAGCTTGCAGGTAAACAGTCTGTGTGGAGAGCAAAAGAGACAGAATGCATCGGTCAAAAGACAATCTTGGAACCCATCAGCTATCGTCTGATGATTCAGTCTTTTTTTTAAAAATGTATATGCATTAATTTTTTTGGCCTTTTATTATAGTGACAGCCGAAGATGGACAGGAGAGGGGGGCAGAGAGAGGGGTTGACACGCAGCAAAGGGCCGCAGGTCGGATGCGAACACGGGCCACTGCAGCAACTCCTTACATGGGTCGCCAGCTCTACCGACTGAGCTAACCAGGCACCCAAAATGTATATGCATTCATATGCAGATATCTGATTGTAAAGATCAGCCGAACTGTGTCTTTCTCGTCATTCTCGTTTATCAAGTTGTTGACTGGATTGCAGAGGAAGTCTTGGCCCGGATATCCGTTGTCCAGATATCTGCTGGCCACACCGGAAGCCCCAAAATATTGGCCAAAGCCCCCAGAGGCTAAATGGTCATCAGACGATAGCCGATGGGTTCTGAGATTGTTAGCCAGTAAAAACTGAATAAGATCAGGACTCGCACATCAAACTTCTGTGGTCTGTTTGTATGGGTGTGATGTCTGAATAAAAGAAACATGAGGAGATGATACATTCTTGATCTAATCTTGTTTCCTCACATATCCTGTTTGTGTTCTAGGGAGACACTTAAAGAGGTGGTGCCCCTGCTGCAAAATTCAGGAAACCCCCAGGTTGAATACATAATCCGAGCTCTGAGGAAGTGGGCCAAAGACAACAGAGTCCTCCTCTCTTGACAACCTTCAGAACTGAACTGAAGAGCTCACTACAGGTCTACATTAAGAGTAGCCACATTATGCAGACATCAGCAGTCGTTTCCATTGAATGAATTGTATGAATGATATCTATGCCACATGAAGCAAAGAAATATGGGGCTATTATCTCTGCTACTCCGTAGTGTTTTCTATTAAGATTGAATTTCTCTGTGTATTTATATTTGTATTAAAATGTGACTGTATTTTAAAAAAATACGTTGAGAGATTAATTTGTATGAATATCAATGTGAAAACTGACTTTATGCAGTTTTTTTTTCATCTTTTTTAAGCAATGCAAAAATAAAGAAGAACCGAACAATTAAAGAAATCAGGCCAAAGTGGATCAAAGGCAAGACAAAAATAAATATATATGTATTTACAATTATATTTCTAAGAGGTAACTAAGATTAAAGATATTTAGATATAAGAATCTGTCCACTTGTATATCTGAATGTGAATGTTAAACAGTAAAATTTCCAACGAGTGACAATCCAGAAAAAGTCTAAGTGAACAGATATGTAATGTATTAAGGTCTTTCAGAAATGTATCAGTAAGTACTGAAGGTGCTCAATAGTTTATATTGCAGAATAACAAACAATATAAGGACACATTCATAACATAGTTTAATATAATTGGGAGCACAGCTGCTACACTTGAGCTGTTCTGTATACTTCATTGAGTATGTTGTGTGATGACTGTTGAAAAGTATATTAATAATCTGGAAAACCAGCTTTTTTCTTTGTAAAATGCATTTGGCAATTTCATGTTTGACAAACATACAGCTGGTGGATGAATTATACTATTTTCCGGTCATACAACAAGGTTAAAGAACTATGTAATTGATTTAATGTTGCACTTCCATATAGACGAGGGTTTGTTAAAAGACAATTTAAACAAAAGAAAGGTCTCAGTCAAAGCAGCAGAGGCAGATAAATCCTGAACTTTAGTCATGAGAGTAAGTCAAGTTAAAAAAAACCCTGCTGGATCCTATAATGAAATTCAATAGCACCTTTAATTACACCTTCCTGTCTGTTTGAATGTTGTCACCTTTAACTTTTTAGGCCTTTTGTGATGCAGATTTTATGTTAAAAAAAATTAAAAAAGCCAGACATGACAGAGCTCCTCCAGATCCACAGAAGACGTTCTAAAAGTGTTTTCACAGGCAGAGAGGGTGTCTGCATTAAGCCAGTTAAATGTATAAACTACCCTTTTCACAGAGAGCAGGAGGACACTGAACAGACGTCTAACAGGCTGTCACACTCTGCAGAGGCTGTGTGCAGCCAGTCACAGGCGAGGGATGTCTGGCTACAGAGTGAAGAAGAAGGCAACATTTTATCTCCTGACATACATGTTAAACCTGGTTGTAACCAATCATAAAGCAAAGCTGTATTTATTTATTCTCAGTGTCCAGACCATGAAATAATGATTTGGTCAACCAGGCTGTCCGTCCCACTGTTGACCAGATGTCAGCTGTGATGCAGTTTTGTTGTTTGCCAACTGAAAAGAGGACGAAGAGATTTAACCTGCAGCTTTGTTGACAGGTCCCCAACAAAAAGTGGACCTGGAATGTGGACGCGAATAGTTTTCACATGAAACTAAATACTTATTGTAGACCTAAGTTGTACTCCTCATAATGATTAAACTGATCCTCGTGTAAAATCTATGAAGAGTTCTTTCACTTGCAAATTTAGCAGCTTGGCAGGACTAACCACATTGCAGGGAGGAGGGGGTAAGTGGAGGGTTAATAGGGGCCTATCAGCAAGATTATACCCCAGGGGCTTGGTTAACAGGTTAATCCAGCCTTGGTTTCTACCACAGAAGTACAGCAAATACAAGCATGTGTGTCAAATGTGTATTTATTCACTCAGTTTATTCTAATTAGGAGCATGTGTTAACTATACATCAACAAGTGTCCATTAGTGGCTGTAACTAAACCCACTGTGTGGTTCACTGAGACAGCCAATCCTCTGGCTTGCTTTCTTCCGTTCGGGATTTGATGTTTTGAGTGTGTGCTGCTGCCATTGTAAGGAAAAACGCACAATTCAGCATTTTTTCCCTGAATAGACAGAGAGAAAGAAAAGGCACCATAAAGACAGGCTCTACAAACCGAGAGGAAGCTGTTGGTTTTCTGGATACACACAGTATGAGTCCCCCCCCCTCACACACACACACACACACACACACACACACACACACACACACACAGCCTGTCCTTCACTCACACTCTTTATAAAAGGTCATAATAGTACTGATAGTGTTGTTATTATCGCCTGTTGTTGTGACAGAGGCGGGTTTAGGATCAGGGCAGGCGCTGATTGGACGTGATGACCTCCCCCCTCCCTCCTCCTTTCTCCCCCCGTCCTCCTCCTCCGTGTCACGGTGCTTCCGTTTCGTGCGTACGCGCAGGCGCAGCGACCCCTCTCTTCTGATATTTTATTTACTCCCGAAACCCAAGATGGCTCCTGTGAATGTCTCGGTCCCATAGCAAATTGAGGATGCAAGTAGCTGCCGAAAAAACAACTTTTCCCCGACCGTCGCATCCCCTGGAGTTCAATTCGTATGGTGCGGAGGAGGCCCGGACACCCGTCTAGGCACTGAGCAGCCGTCGGAGCTCCGCGAAACCTTCTTCAATCCACCAATTTGGAGTAGTTTTCGCGAAGTAGCTCTTCTCCTCGCTGTCGCTGTCTGTCCGGAGCGGAGGGTTCAGACAGGCAAGGCGAGCTCATCCAAATGGCCGAACCGAGAAAAGTGCAATTTGTCACCCTCTCGGCCTTCGCAGCTGGAGCCGCCGCGGAGTCCAGGAAACGCCGGCTGGAGGATGAGGCCGAGTTCAACTTCGGCAGAGCCGGGGAGGTCGAGGCAGCGACCGGGGCAGGAGGAGCTGCCAGCAACGATCGTCTCGGTAAAACCGGCGACGGGGACAAGGCTGGAGCCGAGAAGAGGGCGACGGTGCGGCTCAACCTGTCTCTCTCCGAGCCCGACGACCGCTCCTCCGTCGAGTTTAATTACGGCGAACTCATCCACAACCTCCAGGTAGGATCCCTCACTTTATCCCACAGCACCAGGCCGACTGAGACTGGAGCTGGAGTTCATTTTATGGCTCTTGGAAGTGTTGTGTGTGTGTGGACTTGTCATTGCTAAGTAATGGAGAGGGGCTGGATGTTGGGGGGAAGTGCACCTTGTCCTTCTAGCGTGGTTGAAACTGACCATTAGTAACACAAAAGACATCAGCCTTCAGTCCCACTCTGCTGCTTTACAACTTCAGCTGCTCTCTCACAGATTGGAGCTGTTTTAAAAATTAAAAAAAAGTCCTCTTTTATTTATTTTATTATTTATTTATTTTTGTGCACATGTAGAGATGAAGCCTATCTTGTGCTGCTGCTGCTGCTACCTGTGTCCTGTTCACTCAGACTTGCCCAGCAACAGCCCAGTCACACAGCCATTACAGCACTTGGAAATGCCACATGCAGTTTGGCCCTCTGGCTGCGGGTGATAGATAGATGAGAGAGCATTGCTGATGGAAGTACCAGGATGTAGCATTGGGAGCAAGGCAAATGTCAGAGGCATCACAGAGGAGAGACACTGTTTTTTTTAGGGGGGGTAATTTATAGTTTTTAGCTGTAATGTTGTTTTTACTTGAGTGGGGAAATTTAAAAGAAAAAAAAAGTTTTAAAACCACAGGATAATTAAATATTTATTATTTTAATCCAAATGTGTTCACGCCCGCACTGTGTTTGCCATATGTTTGTGGGGTTATTTTAAGTTTGATGGCAATATTGTGATAATTTATTGATATTTTACTGGTTTTACTGTCCTTGTTTATAATCTTCAATATTAACTTTTAAATTTTTTTTTCCCCAGGCAAAGAATAAACCACCAAGTCAGACTTCAGCCCACAATCCCAACGACCCCTTCAACGATGACGAGAGAGAGCGGGTCCAGGTTGAGGCCATGGCTAAAAAGTTTGAAAATAAATATGTGAGTTATTATTTATTTATTTTTAATCTTAGAATTTTAAGTTAATCTGCTCATTTTAAACTTACTGACTGATACTGGATATGTGAGGCCAATACCAATATTGATATTTGACTGTCTCAGAAGTCTAATAATGACACATTATTAAACACATTAACAAACATGAGCGGGGCATTTATAATAGAAAAATCAACTTGTAAGTCCTCTATAGAAACAAACAGAGTTATGGTAAAACTGTTTCTAAATGACCTATATACACTGTGTATGTCTTTTATAGTGTAAATGTCTTTATAGTGTTCTACAATTTCTTGTTACACACTGACCAACATATACATCAGCACAACTATCTGCAATAATACCAGCTGATGTATAAAATTACTGTTTGTGTTAGTTAACTTGTTATAATCAAGTTAATTTGATATATATTGGCCAAAATCACAAATTTGGACACCCAAAGAGTTTTACAGCCTTTTATCCTAAGACCCTCAATTTGGATAAAAGCAACAACTCTGCAACCAAACCAGGGAAGAACAGCTAAACCTCAGAAGCAACAGTGATGGTTATTCTTTAGTGATATCTTGAGTCACTTATTGATTCTTTCTGTAGCACGATTGAGATGGGACTTTTGTGGCCAATATTGATATTTGAGAGAACCCTTCAGTTCTGCTCCTTCCCTCTCCCGACCGGAGTGATTATCAGACTGACCACAGCAGTGTAGCAGACACAGTGAGGGAGTCAGAGCTAACCAGCTGTGTGCTGCTGGACATTTTAGAGTCGCTTGAAGCACTTTCATGGCTGTGTGTGAAAGTTTCTGTGTGGTACCTGTGTTTTTGAGCTAGCGGCTGTGTTGTAGCCGAGTTAACAGCTCAGAGAGGCTGACTGTCTGTGTGTGTCTGTGCGGGGACTGTCGGTGTGTGGGATCAAGGTAAAGACTGCAGTCTGATGGTGTCTCTACAGGTGTCTAAAGTCAGAACCACTGCGCCAACGTAGAAAAATACTAAGTAAAGGGTTCGCAAAATCTTCCATAAACTCCTGTTAATGTCTCAATCAGTATGGAATTGAAAACGAGTGCAGCAGTTTCACAGACTCCCACTCACAGTGGAAGCTGGGGCAGGTGGGCTGCCCTCCTCTGATTGGACTTAATCTCAGCATCGATCCTGCAAGGTTCAGGGTGATTTTTAAAACCGGTTCGTGTTGAGACATTTTCAACCCACAAAATGCTGATTTTCATAACTAAAAATGACCATTTTAACACCAGCATTGATGTGTTTCAGCACAGTTTTGTCAAATAATTCAGTTTACAGCTCAAAAAAACACATTTTAGGGTGCAGTACCTCTTTAATATATCCGATAATAGTATAATGTCTGCAATTACATTTTTTTACATTAATGCAAACGTTAAAATTTTTCAATAAATAGTGTTTTGTTTTTTTAAAGAATTGTGATCCAGATATGCACTGACTGGGACATTTTTTTTGTCAGTGCTCTCTGGTGGACAGATTATGAAAGAACTAAATAAAGAAGAAGTTTAAAAAAAAAACCAAAAAAAAAACATATCTGTAGGAAGCCAGTTTATCAGCCAACATATCTGCTTGGTTGATTTATCCATCAGGTTCTAGTTGTCTAGGTTTGTGTTCTTAAGAGGACCACATGCCCCTAAAACAACAGCCACATAGAGACATCCATTTTAAGATTAAGTTTGGAAAACAAATAAGGAAATGTTAATTAAAATCAGTATTATTTGGGATATATTTACATTTGGGATTTATTTTATTTTTCAGGGTAACACAGGGAAGAAGAAGAAGAAGGACAGAATGCAAGATTTGATCGATATAGGTTTCGGCTACGATGAGACAGACCCCTTTATTGACAACTCAGAAGCTGTGAGTACCTTTCACTTCATTAATAACAAGGAGATTTTTCACTTCCAGGATTTCACTTTCATTTAGTCAGATTAGTCTCCCTTTAGTCTTTTATAATAACATTACACATAGTTTCTTTCTTATTATCTGCTGATTAATTTGCTGTCCTCGTCACATTCCTGAACTGTTGTTCCCTTGGTTGTTGTGTTGAGGTAGATATTATTCCTCTGTGGTTTATTTCCTGGCTTGAAGTTTCAATACAGTGCATTCAGTGGCAAAAAAAAAAGTGCTAAAGATAGACGACTGTCCCTTCTTACAACCAACCCGAGACTACGGTCTAAAATCATCCTTGTGACTCATGAATATGTATGCTGCGTCCACACAGGGATATGTTGTTGTTTTTGTTATGTCAGTCAGTGTTTGTTGCTCAGTATTCGTGGGATATCACACTCTGTCGTACTCTTTGTGTGGATTCTCTGCCATTATATTGTTATATTGTTATAATTGTTTTGTTGTTTTGATAGCTGTCCTCTCTGAACTCACAAATTGGCAGCGCCTGTTTGACCCCTTTTTTCTGTTTTGATATTCTCTATGATGGAAAAATGTCTCATCTGTGGCCCCGAGGGACGGTGATTCTTTTTAGTGATTTATTAATTTTGGCGCCCAACATCCATTTTCACTGACCAACAGAGGAGCACAGGCTGCTTTGTGAAATGTTAACAAATAACATTTTCAGTTACTCAATATGTTTGAAAATCCGCAGATGACATCCGCTTTTGTTATGTAAGAGGATTTATTGTTTTCCAGATTCCCGTCATCTTATACCACAAACTGTCTTCTTTTGTTATTTTTCTCAGTATGATGAGCTGGTCCCTGCATCTTTGACCACAAAGCTGGGGGGATTTTACATCAACACTGGCACGCTGCAGTTCAGAGCGGCCTCCGACTCCGAGGGAGAGGGGGACAAGGTGAGGCCACTTTAACACGAACATAATTCAACTTAAAGAAATCATTGTTATACAGTGTTTCTGTTTTTAAAAAAATTTTTTTGTCAAAGTTTGTTTGACAACTTGAAAAAAAAATTATGAAATTACATAAATGGCACAAAGTCTGAAATTATACTTCTTGATATAAAACTAGAGAATATGCAGGAATCATGTGACTATGCAACGTCATATGACCAACTAGCGAACACAATAAATACTTATATCATCACCATTAAAATTACGTACGCTAATAAATTAGGGTAACTTATTTAAATTATTTTGCACCACAGAATAAATAACACATTTTTCAATATTTTCTTACACCCCTACTTGTCAGAAGGTCCACCACTTTGGTCCAGACTGAAATATCTGAAAAGCTATTGGAAGGATTGTAGAGATATTTATGTTCCTCAGAGTATAAACCTGAAATAACTGATGATCCCCTGACTTTTCCTGCCTTAACACAAATATTAACATATTAAACTAAGATGATGAAAATAATGAACATTTTATCTGCTTAACATCAGAATGTTAGCTTTGTCATTGAAAGCACGTTAGGATGCTTTAGCACAGCCTCACACAGCATGCCTCTAACAGCCGTCCACACAACAACGATAAATATAACAATAACTATAACAGACATACTGGCAAACGCTCTTTGGCACTGATTGGTTTCATTTAGAGTAATATGTAATAATTAATTACATGGTTACTAAAATGTTGTTTGCCCCACATTTATTGCAACATTTGACACAACAGAATCTGAACAGTCCTGACACGGCGTGGAGCATGATTTAAATTTCATTTTCATTGATTTTGGTCAGATGTGATATAGACGTTATCTTTAACCACATCAAGAGATATCTCTGAAGGACATACTGGTTCATGCTCACGCTCTTTCACACACACTCAGAGCACTGCGTGTGTTCCTCAGACAGAATTGATCACTTGCCACTGTGCACTGTCGTCATCTGCTTACTTGAGTTAAAGAGTGTATGTTCTCTTGTTTCAGAAGCCGAATAACGACAAGGAGCAGGTGATTAAGAAGAGGAAAAAGAAGGAAGCGAACAATCTGGAGGAGAAGAACCCGAAGAAGAACAGAGTACCTAAACAAGGGTGAGAACCAGTGTAGTTTAACTGCCTGTACTTATTTTTGTTTTATGTCAGTCGTGAAGTTATACTTCTTCATGTAAGAGATTGCTGAGTTCATATTAATGAAGAAGCTGATTGAATGGTTCATGAGTAGCTGAGCAAGCTGAAACTGCCTTGTCTCTGGTCAGGAGGTCTTTCCACTCATGTTTGAAATAGATGTTAAAAATAATCTCCCACTTTATCAAATGATTCATTACCATTAAGCAAACCTATTGAAATGTCACTTTAAAATGTCAAAAACACACTGTTGTGTAAATGGACATGTTTTTCTGCTGTGGTTGAAAAGTTGACCTTTTGGACACCCATGGATATGTGATGACGCATTTGTCCACTCTTCTCTACTGTGCTAATAATCCACCACCTCCCCGTGTGACATGATATACTCCTGTGCTTTTGTGCGGATCCTCTCATACATCTATCATGAGGCAGGGATGCTGACTGTGACTTGCTCTTAGTCGCTGCGACAAGTCAGCCACCTCCTAGAAAACCCTCCATTATCTACGCTCAGATAGGCCGAATTCTCATGCCGCCATTCTGAAGACTACTTCCAAAAATAGCAGCAGCTATTGCCATTGTGCCATTATGAAACAGATGATGTTATATATGGGCATGTGTGTGTCAGATCCTTAAGAGCCGACTGCAGGTTAATCCCACTGAATCCCCACGGTTCCACGCTCTTCCCACGTTTGAGTCGCCTTTGTCGATGCCTCAGTTTGCCAGTGAAAATGTCTCATTGGTTGCATGGGTTTGATTTATTTTTCATGCTGCTTTGCTTTCTACCTCCACCTACTCTGTTTTTTGTCCCTCTTAAGTGTTACTGAAACTGTCTTTGTTCCTTTTATTATAGCTCGTTTATAGTTATTTCTGCCAGTATGAGAAACAATCAACCAATCAGAGCTTAGTTGGCAGGATTAAGAATGGGGATATCTTTCTCCTACATAGCTATCTCTGGTCTGCCCTTTTCCCTAACAGGAATAACTCTTCAATTGAGATTATTTATTTAATTTCATCTTTATTTTTATGCTGGTTTCAGACACCTGGATATGCTACCTAGAGATACACCTTTATCCTTTGTCAGAATCATATAAAAAGGAAGATTCTCATGTTTTATGTATCCTGAATAAGATCAAATGTGTGTATGTGTATGTAAGTGTACTCAGTGTCAGGCTGAGTGAGTGAAGTGAAACAAAATGCCAATGCATTAAGTGTTTTGCTAAGAACCAGGCATTGTGTGTTTCCCTCAAACAGAGTGACGGCAATCAGCCTCCACCGGCCGGAGAAGAAGAAGAGGAAGAAGCTGATGAAAGACTCGCTGTACCTGGCGGCCATGCTCCGCCGCTTCACCCGGGAGAAGGAGGAGATGAGGAAAAGAAACCCAAACATGGCTCACTCTGGCCTGGCAGGAGGTGTGGCTAATAAGCCCCACTCCACCAACTCAACGAACCACCTGTTAGCCTCTAACTCCACCCATCCGCAGGGCAACACAGCCAGCAACGACCTCTCACTGGCAGACCTCACCTCGGACCCCGCTGTGATGTCACTGCTGGGCTCGGCCAATGAGAAGGAGCTGCAGGATCTCTTAAGCGACCTGGACTTCAGCTTGTTAGACTCTGACCAGCAGCATGCAATGGTGGCGGCCAGGGAGAATGGCATTCTGGGAGTCGGTGTTCCGACTATTAAAGCAGCAGCCGCCGGAGGAGGTGGTGGCCAAGGGCGAGGCCTTGGGTCTTCCAGTGGACTGTTTTCTCCTCCCCCGCTGCCTGACGGACTGCCTGCTCCTCTTACTAAACGCATCGAGGACCTGTGGGCGGTGAGTCATCTCTAGCCTGTCTGTGGGTGGCCGCAGATACCTGCGAAACCTCTTCACCGAAGTTAAACACGCATGCCAATCAGCTCAGGAAGTGGCGCAGGATGTTTAATTTTTAATCCAACAAGAGTAGTCTCTTCTAAAGTATTGGAGAAATATGGCTCCAAGCTCAACCCTGAGGGACTTTATGTAACTAAAACAGCAGAGTTGGCATCACTGCCTTTGAAAAAGTTCTTATTTTCTTGTTGCTCTTGTATCTCAGAGCCACAGAGTCAGTCCGTAGCACAGAAATATTTTTCTAGATGTTGGTAAAAATGTAAAGCGAGGCAGAGATGCAATTGAAAAGAATGATGCAAGTGAAAGATACAGAGGTGAAGAAGAGAAGAGTGAGGAGGAGTGAGGCAGAGAAATAAATAAAAGAACTGTTGGATTTTCTTTGTTGCTTCCAAACATAACACCGAAGTAATATAAGTAAATAACTGTTTTCTTTTGTTGTGTCACTCAGACTGTTTGACTTGTAGTTTGTTCCAAGGGAAAAACTGCTTGCTGTTACCTTTTTAGTTCCAGTTTGTTTTTTATACAAATACAGAACAACATGCAACTCACTTATCAGATCTTTGTGGACCCTTGTGGCGAAATCAAATTCCAGTAACACTTTTCTGCCTCATATGTGTTTATTTTTCTTAGCTGGTCGACTCGTCACACTCGCACAGTGTAAATAGTTGATAATGTCTATTATTTGTCGAGAGTGTAACTGGAGCTTGTACGTCACTGATAATAATGGACACGAAGATGGAAACAAGACATTTTGTACCCTAAAATAACGGGAGGATAGTTACTGTGTGGTTACTACTGGAACGGGCAAATATGGAGCGGGACACAAGCACCGATGTTTTTTTTTAAAAAAAATTTCTGATTGATCATTAAAGAACTGTGCAATCACTTTCTGATGCACATTTGTGTTACTGCCATGGTCACTGCATGGCGTTGCTGAATACCACTTATACAGCTCAGTTGATCCTTGGATTTAACTTTTGAATTTGTGCTAAAATCAAAACATCCTGTGGGAAACAACCAGAAAAACAGACCAGATCAGTTGGTGAACGTCAATGTCAGGCCAGTAAAGGAGAAGTAAGGACGCGTGTTCCTGTCGGTACCAAGTCCTCGGCTGCACAGCTTCACAGATATGCTGTATGTATGTGTATTTGTACTGTATGGAGCAGTTCTGGTATGCTGACTCAACCTGTTTCTCCTGCAGGCCTCGCGGCAGTTTGATCAAGAGGGCAGGAAGAAATTTTTCACCTTGGACATGAATAACATTCTGTTGGAGTGAGTAGGACAGCTTTTACATCGCAGTCAGCCAAATACCAGCTCACTCTCTTCCTCCTTTTCAGTCTTTCTCGCTCATTTTTAGCAGATTTCTCTCACTACCTCTCCCGTTCTCTTTAGGTGTTTTCTCTCATTGTCTGTGTTAATTACATGCTTCTCATTTCCATTCCTCAACTTTATGCTCACCCTCCTCTCATTCTGTGCAACTACTGCTACTAAAGTACCCTTTATTCTATCCATTACTTCAATCTCACATCTCTTTTATTCTTTCTGTTTGTATCCCACCATCTTTTTCTCCCTTTCTGCTTCCACCACCATGACTGTCGCTCCTTGTTATTTTTTTTTTATTCTTTCTGTATCTCACACTCGTGACTTTTTCTCCTTCCTCTTCATCCTCTCAGTATTGAGCTGCAGGTTCAGGAGCAGCCCCCTGGGGTGCGTTCGGAAATCTACTCGCACATGGAGGCATTCGTGCCATGCAACAAAGAAGCCCTCCTCAAACGCCTGAAGAAGCTCAGTCTCAACATCCAGGTGAGTGGGGCTTATCAGTGGAGAAATCACCTCAAATTAAACGACCTCCTACCCCGCAGCCTTTTTGATTGCTCTGTGCTCATAATTCAAGAAGGACGAAAACCTCTGCACATCTAATCTAATCAGATAATTCACATACAATATGATGTAAATCCTGTCTGTTCTTAGATTAAAAACCCCCATTGACCATCTGAAATTGCAGTCACAACAGTAACTGAGCTTGAGGCTTTAGGACACTTCAAAGAATCTCTTGATATATTAAACAATTGTGTAGATAAATTAGTATTTTTGCATTTTTACTAGTATAGCTACACTTCTATCTTCTATCAACAGTACTTACAACATTTTCACACTGAACTGACTTTAATATTGTTTTTTCTTCTACTCGTCTAAGTACTTCCCGTTCTTATTTTTATTTAATATTTAATCTTAGCTATTTGGCAGTTTTTCATAACAATCGAACCAGGAAAGCAAGAAAAGTGAGTTTGTGAGCGAGTATTCAAACTGATTTGCATATTTCTGAGCATTGAAACTGTTTGTTTAGCTCCTGTTGTTTAACCCCAAAACTGATACTCTAGTTTCTCCACATTATTTCTGCCCTTTTGAACAGCTTTTAATCCCCAGCCATCTTCACTGCTTCAGTTGTTAATGTGTAGGCTGAAAACAGGCTTCTGAATGTCTTTTGTCATGGACCATTAAAGTACTCGACCACTCTCTCCCCCCATTCTTCTCTTGTTCCCCTCTCCCTCCTTTACCATCTCTTTCTCTCCTTTCTTTGTCTGTTTCTTCCTTCTTTCCCCTTTTCTTTTTTCTTCTCTCCCCCATTGCTCTGCATCCATCTTTTCTCACTCTCCTCATGCTGACTTCAATTTCCTGCCTCCCTCCAACTTTTGTATTTTCCCTGCCTTTCATTCCTGCTGTTCTCCTCCATCTGTCTTCCCCTGTCCTTAATACACCCACCTACTCTCTCTCTTTCTCTTGCTCTCTCAGGACGATCGACTACGGACGCCGCTGTTGAAGCTGAAGCTGGCAGTGTGCAGTGTGATGCCAGAGCAGATTGCCAGATACAACATGGACTGCATGGCCAAGGTTGCAAAGTAAGTAAATGCACTTTTTTCATTAAGAAACTAAGCAGGCGAAGTAAAACCGTTTGACATAATTCTCCGTCTTCTGCCCCCGCCTTTCATCAGGTCTGACTTTAATGGCTGAATGAAGTTAAAATATTTTTTACCAAACAACCAAAACTGACCCCCATCTAAAAAATTGCAGTTTGTTTGTTAATGTGTGTATGTGCATTTATATATTACTGACTGTGTTTGTGTCCTGCAGGCAGCAGTCAGAAGAGGGTGATAAGAATGGCTCAGAGGAGGAAGATGAGGAGAAGCCTGGGAAAAGGGTCATGGGTCCGCGGAAGAAGTTTGTCTGGGATGACAAGCTCAGGTAATGATCCAGGACTGTCCTGCAATAGGTGGCTGGATGGTCTTCTGCATGTTTGTGATGATACAGATTTGACTTCATATCCTGACATTCCTTTTATTCGTACCCTGTCCCCTTTAGGGTTCATCTTTCCTGTTGCTCTCTGTCTAATCTAGTAAACAGAGCTGACACAGAAAAATGGAGAAAAATAATGCCTCAAAAGTTTTTAAGATAAGTGGAATAAGAGGAAAATGGCAGCCAGGTCATGAATATTCCTCAGCTGTTGGTAACACTCAGGATTGACAGCTGTCACTTCATCATACATAAATATCAAACCAGACCTATTAAAGAGCGCTGCACTGATTCAACATTGTTCTCCTATAATATTGTCAGGCTCACAATGCACAGGTCAAAATAATAAGATCAAACTCAATGCAGCAGAACCAGATATTGTCCTTTTTTTTTTTTATTCCACGCAATCTTCTTCCTTGTCAAAACCTGGTGCTTACATTACCCACAATGCAACTCAACTGCAGTTTGATTAAAGATTCAGGTGTTGTATGCTAATAGCAGCTAGTGTAGCCTCATGCAGAGATGAGGAGTGACAACAGAGGTCTGGTAAACTCACTTCTTTATAACTTCACACCTCCAGTTGTCAACCCCAACTGACGCTGACTCACGTGACATCACTTGAGGTAGTTTATCAGATTTGCCACAGCTCCCTCTGGAGCCACAGTAGACTATACAACTTCTTCTCACGTGCGGTGATACTCCACAGCTCGACTGTGATGAAGGGTTCTGTTAAAAGGCCTGATGTTTATACCTGAATGAATGAGGAAACTTCAAAGAACTGGAGTCCTAATGAAATGAGAAAAACCTTGAGACTGACTCGCAGCTTCCTTTCAATCGTAATTTATTTTAATAGCATCTTCAACATTTTTAGGAAAGGTTTTCTTTATTGCCTCTGATTCACTCTGTCTCCTCAGTCTTTATGTGTCCAAAACCTGCAGCCTAATTTAGATTTTAATGTTGAATGATTTGTGCTGAATTGAATATTTGTGTTTGTGCAGGAACCTGCTGTGCATCTTGGTGCGAGTGAAGCTGAGCTGCTATGAGATGGAGAACCAGTGCTCTCTGTCTGTGGAGGACTACCTCAAGGCCTTCTTAGAGAATGAGGTCAAACCACTATGGCCCAAGGGCTGGATGCAGGCCAGGTCTGTGTGTCTTTTTGTGCTTACATAACAGTTGAACAAATTCCTTAATGATAAGAGAATTACTGAGGGTGAGAGCAATGGAGTGAACTGTACATTTACAGTATAGTTATAGAGTATTGTGTGTATGTATATATTGAAAGGTGTTTCAAACAGAGAAGAAAACAAAAAAAGGCTTCAACACAATGCTAAGATAATGTTTTATATGACTAACGTCAGTATGTTTACAGAGGTGACAGTGACGGGGTGTTTAAGAAGAAAACCTTGCTGTAATAAACCACTGACAAACATATTTGAAACACATTCTAGTTAATCTAAACACTCCCGACTTCTCTGTAGCGTGGACGTTTGGCTCACAGTTATCATGTTTGGTCATTTGTTTTGTAGAAACTGTGGTTCCCTGCTCTCATCTTGCAAAAATAAATTATTCCAGAGTTTGAAGTCTGGAGCTCAGGCACATTTTTTAAAACCAACCCCCAATATAATATCAGATTGGACATTAGTTCATTAAAAACATGTCCAACTTTAATTTCCATGCTGTTTTATTTTGTGTGAGTCAGTTAGGATCTCTGCATGTGTTTCCGTGTTAAGTATTCCCTATTTGATATTTAAAATTTGTAATGACGCGTTAGTCATAATTGAAAAATGTTTGCTTCTATGACATCAGTGACGGGTATAGCAGCAGCTACCGACATTAATCCATTAATATTTATTAACACGGTTTCTTATCGCCGTGTGTTTCCTCTGCTCAGGATTCTACTGAAGGAGAGTCTTTCCGTTCACAGTCACCTCACTGGAAACCTGTGAGTATTCACTTTATCTCACACCGCTCGTGTTTGCTCAGTAACACTAACTGCTCAGGGATTTCTCTGAGAATGGGCTTGAATACAAAATGTAAATAGAAATGGCTGAATAATTGCTGGCATTTTTCCACACAGAGTCAAGAGGAGAATGATGCCTGGACCCAAGGCCAAAGCCAAGGTGAGTGACTTCTCTGATCCCGTACTTTTATATCTAAAAATACCCAACTGAGATTTTTTTACACTTGATACGATGATAATTTCAAATGAACCCATTTACCAAATGACATTGAAACAACAATATAATAGACTGTACTCACTGCCTCATGATGTGTCTTGGCTGCTAGTACTGTATTTGCTCAGTTCTGAAAACAGAATTAGTATTTAGTATTGGTATTATTTATCTGTTGTAGGGTTGATGAAACTGAAATGAATCTACAGTATTAGATGTTTCAATATTTTATTATTTCCACGCTGGAGGTTTGTTTTAATCTTCGTGACTGGTGTAAAAGTTTCTTGGACAACATCAACAAATAAAAGCCAAGTTTAAAAAAAAAAAAAAACTCATTGTGGTGGGTGAAATTACCTTAAAAGCTCACATGGTGAATTTAGTATTATGTACATTTCTACAGCACCCGTTTTTAGCTGTTTCTTTTTTTTGCCATATTCACGATCAATGTTAAAATAACGTCAACAAAACCCAATAATTCCTCATGTTTTTTCCCCACCTTTAAACCTATAAATGAGTAAATATGGAGGAAATGAGAAGTTCTGAGGGTAAATCTGAGAATCTACGGTTTGTTTCGAGTTACTGACAGTGACCGTGTGTCTTCTGTCCTTTTAGGAGGGTCTATGGATCCACAAACCACCTCTCACCATGACCTCCACTCAATCTCTGCCCACTTCCACATCCGCTCTGACCTCCAACCGCCAGCTCGTCTCCTCCTCCTCTCCCTCGGAGCCCATCTGTCTGTCGGACTCTCTGGACGAGGACCTGACTGCTCCATCTCTGGACTCAATCTCCCACGCTCTGGCCCTCCTCAGCAATGCATCCAAGGGCCTGGGCCCCTCAGACAGCCCCTTGTCGCCCCCACCTCTACAAATCCCCACCTCCTCTCCTCCCCCCGTTGCCCCTCACTACCCCTCGGCCTCTCAGCTCTCTGCCTCAGTTGCATCCACGACGCAGCAACATTCCCTGTCAAAGCTGGAAACTGCTCAGTTAGTGGCTGCGTCTGCTGGGAACTTGTCGACAACAACAACGCTGCCAACCTCCTCTTCTACCTCCTCTTCCTCGTCTCCTGTTGTCGCCTCCATGGCTCGTGTGCAGGCAGCGGGCCTGTCGCTGGCGTCCAGGACTGCAAATGGTCCCTACGGCCTGATCAAAGGATCTGGCACCATGGGCCAAACCCAGACTCAGAGACTAGTTACCATGGCATCACCCAATCACAGGCCAAGCTCGGTGATAGGCGTGAGTGGCAAGATGCATCCACACCCTTCCCCATCGCCTCCGAAGCAGCGGCCTCCTCCCACGGCTTCCCCTCTGCTGCCCCCCCATCAGAAGGGCTTTGTTAGCTTGGTGGGGATGCTGGGAACTATGGGAGCCCCTGAAGGACTGATCAAGAGCAGTGCCAAAGTTGGTGGCATCAGCACCAACGGCAGCTCGGTGAGCAGCAGCATTACACCTTCTTCCTCCCCTTCCTCACAGTCCCGCTCCAACTCCACCGCCCACCCTGGCCTGCAGTCCTTCTGCCCTCCCTCCCCGGTGGCCTCTTCGCCGTCCCCCACCTCCCATACCTCACACTCCTCTCAAGTTAAATCCCACACACACCACCACCAGCCCAACTTCATCACCCCAATGCAGGCCACCCTCACCAAGTCCTCCCACAGCAGCAACTCCTCTCCCATCATCAAGCTCACTCCACGGCCTCCTGCGCCCACCCCGCCTCCCTCCTCCTCTCCCATCATCAAGCTCACTCCGCGGCCTCCTGCGCCTACCCCGCCTCCCTCCTCCTCCCCCTCCCCGTCGTCCTCACCCTCGCACCCGCTCTCCCATCAGATGATCTCCAGCCAACAGCAACAACATCAATATACCCCCAAAACCCCCAAAACCTTTCGGCCCCCCTTCAGCGTATCGGGCGGCGGGCAGGTAAAGCAGACCCAGGGAAGCTACAGCTTCGCGGGAGGCCAGAAAGCTCAGTCCACCCTGAGCAACAGTAGCATCAACAACTCCATCAACAACAAGGGAGTGGCATCAGTTGTCTGCAGTCACCCAGACAAAACTCCTTCGTCTTCTGCGCCTTCAATCTCAGCCAATCACGGGCAGAGGCAGAGGATGGTGGGCGGGGCTAACCAGAGCTCAAAGGCAGGAAACGGTTGGGCGGCCTCAGGAACTTTGGCCACGTCCTCCACAACGCCACACCTCTCACAGGTTAGCTTCTTAGGAACAAGAACACTGACAAAAAAATGATATTTTATATTGAGCTTGGACAATGGGGGGAAAAACAAACTTTGATCTCCATTTTCATTCCATCCTGTTTCTGCAGGTATCCACAGCAGGCACTTCCCTCCTGGGAAACCCCTCCGCTCTGCCCCTGGGCTTTGGGATGTTGGGAGGCCTGGTACCCGTCTCGCTGCCCTTCCAGTTCCCCCCGTTGCTCAATTTCAGCCCTCCCGGAGCCCCAGGGGCCGCTGGCATGGGCTCTGCCCCCAGCTCCAACTCAGGATATCCCCTAGCACAGAGCGACCTAATGGGTGAGTGGGCACACCACACAAACTTTCACAGCTCACAACAATTCAGGGGGTAGCGCTCGTGTGCGGCTCTTTCACAAAACACACAAAACAACATAAAGAGAAACAGAAAAGGAACAGTGGATTTACTGGCTGCTACTAACGCAATAGTCCATCACTTACTGAGTTACTGAGCGAACGATGAGGTAACACCATTGGTCCGGTCGATTGTTAATTGCCATTTCTCTTTCAAAAAGAATCGGTATATATATGACATAATACCAGCCTGGCTGTTTGTATTAGAAACAAACTCCTCTGCACTTTCTAATCACACATACAGCTTGTATTTATAATAACACCATGAATTATGTATTCATTGATAAGCGGGGCATCACTTCTTTTGTGTTTACATATATACTTTGTTTGGGCTTGTGAATATTTAAATAGTTTATTTGATGTTCTCTCTCCATTTTGTAATGTAATTTGTAAGACAGTCCGATGCGAAGCAGGATGGATCTAAAAATGAAGGAGAATGAACTGGAATTAACAGATAAATGATAAATTGGATCAATTTACATATTCATAGTCTTTATATTTTAATTCCTCTTGTGTGTGTTTGTGTGTGCGCTGATACTGAAGTATACCAGCAGCACTGTGTCTGCTGTGCTCCACATCTCTCGCTGTGACCCTCTCATCCTGTCTCCATTTTTTTTTTTTTTATAAACCACAGTCTCCCTCCTTTGTACTCTGTCTGTTTCTCTGTCTATCTTTTGTGTCCGTCTCTGTCATCTCAACCTTTTGTACTTATGTGCCTTGCTGCCACTTCACTTTGATCCCATCCTCTCTTTTGTTGCTGATATCCCATTTTAACCCCCCCCCCCCTCTGCGTCATCTTTTTCATATTCCTCCTGTTTATTGTTGTTGTTGTTGTTGCCTTCTTCCATCTCATCTTCCCTCCATCTCTCCTCAGATCTGTATAAGAGTCTCCAGTCAGGGTCGCAGGCTGCCCTACCTCCTCACTTGCAGCTTGCTTTCTCAGGTAATCTGCATTCCTCCTCCACTTCGACCCCCCCCCCTCCATCTGTCTGTGTCAAGTCGACCTGTCGTCCTCTGTTCAGCTGCTTTGTTGTTTGCTCTGTAACTTTCTGCTTGCTTCAGTAAATTTGGTGTTTGGCATGCTTCTGGTTTGTCCTCTGTAGTTGTAGCACAGTAGTTGCATGTTGTGAAGCTACTGAAGTTAGTCCGATATATATATATATATATATATATATATATATATATATATATATATATATATATTCTTTTCAGTAGTTTGCAGAATACAGAGTTAGGATTCACTCGTACAGATGGTTCTTTGATATGAGAGCAGAAGTCTAATTAACATGTGAAACTGCAGTGTGTGAGATTTGGCTCTCTGAATTCTGAAAAATGAAAAACATTTTCTTGCTGATGCCATAGAATTTGTGTAGATTTATCTGATCTTGTTTTTATAGCTGTAATCGGAGAGCTAAAGCTCACAGTCCAGTTTCACCTAGATTGTTCGTGCCTCAAAGAACCATCTGAACATCTGAACCAGGAGTTACTCAAACAGAGCTCATATCCTGTTTGACAGTGTTGCCTGCAGCCTGTTGCACCAGCTCACTGTATGAAACTCTACACTGAATACTTAAAGCTCACTTATGCTATATTATATATACTGTAATATAAGTTAGTTTGAGACGTTAGCCATGTCTTTGTTCAGTTACACCTCTATACGGATGAAATAATCTCAAATAACAGAACCTGTCTGCAACAGACCTAAATATTTTCATCTTCTATGTATGTAAAAAGATCCAAGTCGGGTCTTAAACCTGTGAACAAATATTGATCCAGCCGTTATTTGCCGGAGCAGCTATTAGATTGTCTCACAGACACGTCAGCTAGCTTGAGTTGTAGTAATATTTGCTGCCAGTTCAGTGACTTTTTGTTTCTGCTGTAAATTGTGCTGCTTTTAGTTTATAAAGTAGGTCATTTAATTGTATCAAATAGTGTATAGTTGACATGCTAACAGCTATTTAACAAGACTGTGCACTTGAAAATCTGCCCAAGAGCACCCGATGCATCTTCTGATCTACGATCATTATTTAGTATTTAGAGCAACCGGCCGTCTTCCTCTTCCTGGTGCAGCAGGCTGTTGGATGACTTTACTCTCACCCAGATGTGAAAAGTTGTTAAAATGTCTCTCCTCTCCACTCAGATGCGAACCAAAGCCAGGGTGGAGACATGAAGAGGAAATCCCACTGACCAATACCTGCAAGGTGACGTCACAACCTCCTGGACACATCCACCAATAGGAATCTTCACTTTGATTGACTGACACAGTGATGTGGTATGAGGGGGCGGGGCTCCACTGCCTCTTTTCAAAATGGACCTATAGGAGAATCAGTTTATCCTCGCTACAAGTGGCAATGATGAATTAATTTAACTGTATTTTCTAACGAACCGGGTATGAGAACAAGACGGAGTGAATGACGAGAAAACTTATTTTTTGTTCCGCTTATTTTTATTTTTGTCAACATGTTTACATATGACCGACCTTGATCACTGTGGAATGAGTGTGAGCGAGGTGGTGGTACAGACGAGAGTAGTTGTACGCTACGTAATATAATTTGTATTTAAGCTTATGTGGAATAACAGGACTCTTGTTCTTGCAGTACAAAAAGAAAAAAAAAGAAAAACAGACTGAGTAATTTTTATTTTTCTGTCTTTTGTCTCAAATGTGGGAATCGTCGTGTCCGTAGAAATTTAATTGTTGGTCACCTCTGCTCCCACAAATGACTGTTAAGTAGTAGCTTAAATTAATATTGATAAATTATTTGTAATTTACACAGGGACAAAAACATGTTAGTGAGTGTGAGTGTGAGTGAGAGAGTGAGAGACAGAGAGAGAGAGAGAGAGAGTGAGATGTATGTACATAAAAAAACACAATATACTGTTAATTTCTTTCCAGATTATTCTGTGTGAATGGATAAGGACGTGTATCCCCTTTTCACAATAATGACCGAGTGTAAGTTTGATGCCCCTCTCTTGCTCAGTGTGTTTTTGGTGCTGTTTAATCACACTGGACCTTTTCTGGAAAAAAGACTTGAATTGAAAAAGTTTTGGGCTCCTCTTCTGGAGAGATGAGCCGCCTGTGAGAGAGGGGAGAAACGTCAAGATTGTAGCCTACTTGAATTCTGTTTTCTCTCTTTTTTTTGTGAGTTAAGATTTTTTATTTACTTTCTCTGCTTATTGACTCAAACCAACTTAATATAACACAACGCCTTAGTTTATATCGAAAAGTATGAAAAAGATCTATGCAGGACTGTAAAACGCTCAATGCAAAAGTGCAAGTCGTCGCTTGGCTTTCAACCTCTACTCAACTTGTCAGTACATTTCTGGAGTTGTGAATGTTTGTAGATGTTATTATGTCACCTGAGACTCCTTCTTTTCCCGCTGTGTGTTCAGACAGAACGTAAAACAAATTTTTAGAAGCAGGGCATTTGTATACAAAGAATGAAAAGACGAGATCACCGGACCGAGTTCGAATGGCGGCGAGTTGAAAATGTTGAACTTGAAGGAAAGAGTTGTGCTTACTCTGCATTCAGGCCAAATGAAACCGTTACAGCAGCAGAGTGAAGAAAAACATTTACGTCAGATATATCAGGAATTTCATACCTCAAATCAGATCCAATATTAACACTAACACAGTCCATTCAGCTCATTTAAAAGGAGTTACACACTGTAATTAGTTTCACTTGGTAATGAACCGCTACAAACACACAACACAACAAAAACAAGCTCACTGAGGTTGTTTATCTGTTGTGACTCCAGGTAGCTCTGGTCAGGTAATCCGTTTGTTTCAGGAAGTTACTCAGTTCGTTCCTTTGAACGAACGGTTGGCGAACGACACAACGCTAGCTCCAAGGTTAGTGGGGAACACCATCTTGGAATAATGCGTAAACACTCCCAAGTTCAAGTCGGAATAACGGGTGTTTTTTTTCTGTTCTTCCCATTTTATGAATCTACGTCATAAACGTACAGAGGGGAGAAGAATAAGGAGACTAGAAGTAAAGAAGAGTTTCTGGTGAGTTCAGAAGCTGAGCTGAACACACACACACACACAGACGGGTCGGCGTGTTTGTGTTCAACAACCGTGTCTTGGTGCGTCCATTGCTAGCTAGCTTACAGCTAACGTCTGTGTAGTCGGTACATTGACTGTTCGGGGCAAAAAAATTCCCTTCGCTGTCTGTCTGAACACACTTTTAGAGAAACCTTCCCTCTGCTGAATACCTCCGTTAACAAAACCGTTCTTCCTGAGTCTCTGGCTGTCCTCCCCCCAACTTGTTCCCCGACCTCCTCCATGTGTGTCTGACCGACCAGCTGCACCGAGATTGGCGCCAAAGATTGTTCTGTAGCTCATTTATATTAGATGGGGTGTTGCTGGTCTGTGTCTGTCTGTGGGAGTGTGTGTGTGTGTGATTATGCTGACATTTTCCCTTAAAATGTAAACCCAGAGTGTCAACGTGTGGTTGTTCAGGATGTCATTGTGAAGTCATGTGACTGGAGCAGTGGGTGACATCTTATAAATTGTGCTTTCTTTGGGGGTGGGGGAGGATAAAAATGACATTTCGTGGTTAGCTGGTTACTTAATTTGGTCTTTTGTAGATTATTTTTGTGTGTCAATTATGAAAATTAAACAAAACAGGTGGTTTTCACGATGACTCCTATAGACCTCTTTCTTCCTCCTGGACATTGTTGTTGTGATTGAGCAACATGTGCATCCTCCACTGACACCAGCATGCATTGGATTCCTGATTTTCATTCATTGGCTGGACCGATTCAACACCTGTGGGTCAGAGGATGTGAGAGGAAAGTGTTGAAGGAGGCTGTGTCCCCCCCCCACGGTCAGTTTGGTCCCAGCTACTCTAAACAAAAGACTCATAAACGTTGAACACTGAAGTGGAGATGTAGTTTCTCGCTGGGTATCGTCACTGACCAGGTAAGGCCGCACTCTCACCCACTAAAGGCTGGGCATTGTAGTTTTGAACTAACATTACTCAGTCTGGAGTTAATTCAATTCAATTCAATTTTATTTGTATAGCGCCAATTCATAACAGAAGTTATCTCAGGACACTTTTCAAATAGAGCAGGTCTAGACCTAGGGCATTTGTTAGAGACTATTTTCAGCAGTGGATGAATACGTGTTTGGTGCTCTAGTGAGTATTTACTGCAGCTAAGATCGACTATGTTTATTATAATGGAGGATTGGTTCATCCAGTGCAAGAGTTGCTCATCCGTGTGTTTTTCATAATTTTTGGACAAACAATTTTGCTTTAAATTTGAGCAGTTTTGAGATTCAGTCAAGACCCAAATAAAGAGTCATGACTCATGAGTCCTTTTGATTTAGAAATGTTTTAGTCTGACAAGGACAGGAAATTATGAATGAAACTAAAGATTATTTTCATTATCTGTTAAGCTGCCAGTTTGATTAATCAATCGTTTCATCTATAAAATGTCCTTCACAAAGTTGTTAAAATCGTACAGTAAACAGCTTAAAATTGCCTAAATGTTGCATTATGTGATACATTTATAAACAATTTCTAATATCAGATCATAAGTGACTAAATAAATAAAAATTTAAAAAAAGAAGCAGAACAGCATCGCAGCTACAATGAATATGCTTTATTTTCCTTTTACAAAAACAAACAAAACAAAAATTACTGTCTAGAAATACAGGTATACAAGAAATAATACGATGGAAGTATTTGCAGTTGAATGCCTGGTTGTCAACAGCCAGCTGGATAATAATAATAATAAAATAAAAATGAGTTACTTGTGGATGATAAAGCTTCCAACCAAAGGAAATCCCGTGCTGCACACAATTTCCCAAAATAACTTCAGTACTAAAACCTTCACCTGTGAGCGGTCACAGGAGGGAAAAAAAATCCCGGTACGAACGTCATTTTGGGAAACGCAGCTGCCGATTCTCGTGTGGTTAATCATACAGGAATACTGATCCAAACAGGTTATTATGAACACAGAGGTACACAGCGGATATGATATGAAGCACAGCAAAAATACAAAAGAAAAAACGAGTAAGTGTTGAGTATCTCCTTGGTGTACCTGTTTCATCTCACTGGGGTTTCATTTTCACATCTGTAATGAAATCTTTGCCCACTTATGTTCTTATATAGTGTCTAAGGCACTTTTAAAGAAACATACAGTTAACGTTTGAGGAGAAGGGCAAAAGAATCTGCCGTAGACAACCATCGGGAATAAAGGAAGAGACTGAATACACGTGGACTGGATGGATGGATGGATATATGCAGTTTCACACTGTAGTGGTTTAACTGTTGAGGTGGCTGCTGTACTTCAAGCTGATACTTACTTCACCTTGCTAAAAATGCTATTAAAGAAGCTTGGTCTAAAAATGCAAAGAAAGAAAGAAAGACTAAGAAAAAAAAAAAGCCTGTTATTCAGACAACCTGTCACCTGTGAATACAAAGTGCTTGATCAGGTCTGTCGGTAGTCTGAAGAGTCAGGTTTCAACGCACATAATCATGGCACAAACCAGCCCGAGTTTGTTATCATGTGTTACCATTACATTCTAGTCACAAACTGAATACCGAGCTATCTCTGAAACCTGTTCACTGCTGTCCTGAAGGTATTTCTAAAACCAAACAGATATTTCCAAACATCTGGATGACAAAATATTCTGTTGCGCAAAAAAAGATTTTTAACTTTTAGTGTGAACGATAAGTCCTTTTTAAAAGACTTTAAAAAAACAAAAGAATCAAATCAATGCAGAAGATCCCCTATTTTTTTTTATTCCACACATTATTCTTCCTCGTTGAAACCTGCCGCCTGCACTTACACACAGTGCAGCTCGACCACTTGGATCAGAGATTTGGGTGTGATTTGAGAGCGGCTGCAGAGGTTTAACTCTTTTTTTTTTTATTTTTTTTATACAGTGCTTATGGACGCTGAGATAAAAACATGTTAATATAACAAAACAGTACAATACGTAACCTTTTTCATGTCACCTACCATTAAGAGTTGCAGTGATTTATTTTTTTTTAATCATGCAACACACTGAAGAGCTCATCCAGATAGTTAAGAGTCTTTGAGGAGTTTAGAAATGCTTTCAGAACAGCAATTAGTCTCATTTTTCATTTAAAAAAACACGATGCTTTATCTCTGAATCAAATGTGACGATAATACAAACTGGGGCTTGGCACAAACACTGAAATGTAGTGAGAAGAGGACTATTTTCAATCTGTCACCATTTCTAATCAATCTACATGTTTTATCTAAAACTGTAACCATTTAGTGTCACATTGAAACCGTGGACCGAGCGCCACTTCCAGTAGTGCTTCCAGTTAAAAATTCAAACATCTTCGTGCAGTTCTGCGCATTATCTAGAATCATTCGCAGCTCACCCTAATCCACGGTCGAGGACCAGTACGCCTATCGTGTCCCAATGGTCAACAATACAATACGGTTTGTAAGCTGTGAGATTCCCAGTTAAAACCCAGTTAAAACATTCCTTCACTAAATGTTGAGATGAAGCAACAGAGAAAATAAAATACCTTTTTTTTTTTTTCACAGTAATACACTTTCAATTCAGAGTTTTTTCTATTGCATGTCCCGAGATGTTAGTCGTTCCTGTAGTGCTGTAGTGTAGAACAAAACAGTCTGTACATCAGAGGGAGACTCATGCAACAAAAGCAGCCGGCGCGGCCGTCCAAAGGCCACAGTGACCTTGGCTTTTGGGTTTTTCCATCTTGAAAAAGACAGTAAGCACTGGGAGTAGGGAGTGTGTCGAGTATGAGATGGCTTTTACACAACTAGTGAGCAGATCACTAATAACAACAGCAGAGTGAAATACGTTTCCTTGTAGTCCTGCATTTCCAGTATAGAGTGCATCACATACGTTACATAACTGATGTGTGTGTGTGTGTGTGTGTGTGTGTACACCTCACAGCCTCCACCTACGTCACACACGCAGAGTTTCATATGTATAAAAAGCACTTTGCACCTATGCATACTTTCTCAATGAGCCGAGCAGCCTATGGGAAGGGGCACGGTGTTACGTTATGACGCTGAGATGATACGTAGCCGAGAGACGAGCCGGGACTAGCAGCTTGCCAGAGGAGAGCAGAGTAAGGCAGATTTGTCCATTTGCCCCTGTGACTCTCCAGGACTGGAGGCTTCACTTTAAGGGAGGGCGGTGGATTTTCCCTGCAGTGTTAACTGATATAAAAAGGGCAGAGGCGTGCTGCCAGGGGCACCCCGCCCAAAAACAGCTCATCGCTCCAACCTTCTGTCCAGTCAGTGGTTTGAAATGAATAAAGACGATGGTGACGCAGAGGATCTTTTTTTGGGGGGGGGTGAGATGAAGGAGAGGGGCAAAGCGAAGGAATGAGAGTGTTGCTATGTTTACTCGGTGTTGGAGGCCTGCGTCTCGTTGAAGTCGCCGGCGCGGCTGTCGGCGTCGTCGTCTGACATATCGACGGAGGCGCCATCCAGGTTGAGGTTGCGGCGGCCCGAACGGCTGGAGGAGAAGCTGCTGACTGGACCGCCGCGCCTGCGCACAACAGAGTAACAAAACAACATGAACCTTAAGTACTTTAAGAGGTAGTTTGACATTTTGGGAAATTCGCTCATTTGCCGAGGTGAGAAGATCGATATCGCTCTAGGCAATTAGCTTAGCTTAGCATAAAACCTAGAAGCAGGGGCAACCAAAAATACCAACAGCTCTAAAGTTCACTAATCTGTTAGCTCTTGTTTGTGTAATCTGTAAACAAACAATGAAATAAATGTAAAAGCATAATTATGAGCTGGAACTATTCCTTGGCGACTAGTGGCAGCCTCTAACTCCCTGTAAAATCACAACTTCCTGTTTATACATTTCTGTGTACGGACGAAACAAATCAGATGTTTCTTAAATAGTGAACACAAACACATATTCACAGTCTTTGTTTAGTTTTATTTAATATTGAGGGGTTTGTTTTTTACCTGAGGCGGTTCTTGAGGGAGTTGACCTCTCTGGTGAGACCCTCGCTGGCCTCGGTGGCGTCGTCCAGCTCCCTCTGCAGCTTCCTGCGGGAGGCGTTGGCCCTGGTGGCCTCCTCCTCCGCCTCCTCCAGCTGACGCTTCAGCTGCTTCATACGAGAGTTGGCTTTCTCCATCTGACAGGAGGACGGAGACAGCGAGAGGTTGTGGGTGGATGGCTGACTAACCATCTTGAAAAAAAATCTTTCAACGTGTGTCACTTTGCTTCTCATGAGTCAATACCTGCTCCTTGTACTGGTCAGCATGGCGACGCTCATCCTCCACCTGCATCATCACCTCCTTCAGTTTCTTCTCCGTACGACGGACGATTTTGTTGGCTGCTGCTCTCTCCCTGGAAGTTAAAAAAAACAAGACAAGATTGTATTTATCTAACTCAATGTCATAAAAGGTGTTAAATCTTTCACACTGCACTCTCAGTACGTCCACCACCGTTAATGTATTAAAATAATTAAAGTGACGATGAACGCTGACAGCCCAATGTTTGTGCGTGAGACTATCTACTCAAACGGATGTTAAACGTCCTCTGTGACATCTTGTGAAAACAGGTGAGTTTGGTCACTTACTTTGCTTCCTGCTCCAGCTGCTCCTCCAGCTGCAGGATCTTGGCCTCCAGCGCGGTGATGGACGCCTTAAACTTTGACTTCACAGTCCCCTCCAGCTCTGCCAGCTTGGCTTTCAAATCCTGCATTTATAATATGCTACTGTTAGGACTGTGAGCATTAAATATGATTGATAAGATAGATATCATTTAATGTAATCCCTACACGTTGCTTTCTCTGCCCTTGCAATTTTAAACGTTATTTTTAGGAAAAGTTCATTTTCAGGTAAGGTGTCCCGACAAATATGTTTGGCATTAACTGTCCCAAAATAAACAAAATTTAAAGTGCTCTCACAATTGAACAAATGAACAGCAAACAGAGGACAAAATAAACCTGAACGAAATAAATGAGTTGGTAAATAACAAATATAAAGTGCAAACCAAATTTGACAGTTTTTTAGATGGGTGATGTAGTTTCCTGCACTACAACTCACAAATCTGTCATTAAAATGAACACAAACATATGACAACCTGTAACAAGCACTGACAAACACAAGTGTGAAGATGAAGCTCACTGTCGCAGATTCACACATAGTTCAGGTGATTTTTACGCGTATACATTAAAGACTGATGATTTAACAATCAATCAGGGATCAATATAGTATTTCTGATTCTGATGGGTAACCAGCTTTTCTGTTGTTTTATCAAACTCCTGTATGTGCATAAACACATATACAACACCTTGTTCTGCCGCTCCATCTGTTGCCGAGCGTTCTCGCTCTTCTGTGCAGTGTTGCGCTCTCCGGCCAACTCGGCGTTCAGGCTGTCGACCTGAGAAAGAGAGATGAAGGTGAGAAGACGGGTGATGAGAGAGGAACGTGATGATGCACGGTGTAAACTGATGAGCAGTAATACTGTATGTGTTTGTCTGAGTGTTTGTGTTGTGGAGCGATTATTATCTCGGGTAATCAGTTTACCTGCATGGTGGTCTTTCTGAAGCGGTCGTTAAGCAGCTCCATGTTGCCCTGCTCCTCCTCCAGCTCCTCCTCCAGCTGGGCGATACGAGCCTCCAGCCTCCTCTTCTCTTCCAGCAGTGACGACCTGACACACACACACACACACACTTATATTCAGATCTCTTATTCTAACTCCAATCTAATGATTTAGACTGATTACTTAAAGTAAGTCCACAGAGGTCCAGAAAACAGAGACCACTTCCCCAGTTTTCACTAAAGCTGTCAACTTTTGTGCTTTACAGAATGATTTTAAAAATAATCAGAAGAAGGTGACACTGACTTTCCAGAAGCACTGTTGGAGATCTCATCAGCCAGCTCGTCCCTCTCCTGTTCGGCATGCCGACGGGCCCGCTCTGATGCTGCATGGTCCTACACAACCAACACACAACACATTATGATTAATATTATCTCATTCTTGGGACATCAAATATGGAAGTGAAGTCTGACTGGAAAATGTGTGATTGTCATTTTTTCCACCAGTCTGTGACAGCACATATCAGACAGTTAGATGATCTCTAATAAAATCTGTAGTTTCACCTCCTGTAGCTGTAGGATTTCAGCTTCTAGGCTCTTCAGTTTCTTCTCGTTCTCCTTGGACTGGGTGAAGATCTCATCCCTGGAGGCTCTGGCCTCCTCCAGCTCCCTCTGATAGTCCTTCATCTGAGCCTACAGAACAGAAACGATGTGGACAAAGTTAAAGGCTGACACAGCAGAAAAGTTACCACACAGGCTGGAGGTTTTCAAACCGTGAGGCATGCAGGTGCATGCCAGCATAAAAACAAGAGGAACTTAGTGTAGTTTGAACGTTGATTTGACAGCTCATAAAGGCACTTTACTTAAAACCCATAGTGTGTATTTATAAGTCAAATCTGAACACACCGTCATAAAGGATAAGAGGTCATTTAATTGTCAATTTAAAACACATTTTTAGATTCAGTCTTTCTGAGGATATCATTATCTCTGAAAGTATGAACGATTCTTATTTGTAGGTTTATATACATTAATGAACTATTATTTTCAATTTCTGCCAACACATCCTCCTAAATACTACACACTAGAGTAGGAATGAGCGAGTACAACATTATCTGTATTATAGTATTATCTGTATATTGTTTATCAGAAAACTACAGAACAGCCTCAGAAATGAGCTTCAGATTAATAATCAGTATGAGAATCAGGGATGTTTGAATCCTCTGCTTATAATAATAATTATTATAATAATTATAATAATAATAATAATAATAAACATATATACTATATATGTATATGTTCTAATATTTTATATATTTAAAGCCTAAAAATATTGTATGTAATGTATCAGCTATAGTGAGAAATAAGTGTCTGTTAGATTACATTACTGGTTTTCTTATTTTCTCGGGTGGTTTATGCAAACAGACACAGCCCTTGTTGGTACAACATGCAAACATACATTCAGCCACTGACTCCACTGTAAGCAGGTGGCTGAGTGAAGATTATCTAACCAGTAGAAGCAGTGGCAGTCACGAGCTGTAACTTGCGACTGCGCCGTGTCCGTTATGAACCAAGTTCTCCAAATAACTCAGCTGAAGATATTTTACAACCCGAGGTAGGAGCGAGCCAAAGGCTGGTGTAGAAGAACACAGAAAAGTCACGGGCTGATGTTAATCCCTGTGGGAAAGTGAGTGTGGGCGAGCTCTGTGTGTAACTGGCCAATTACGGTGTTCACACACTGGACAGACACAACTAGTAACAGGCAGTAGGGCTACCCAATGAGAATCTTCAGATATTGACATATTTTACTCAGAAGTACAATACCGTACCGGACACTCGTTCCAGCCGAGTACCCGGCTCAACCCAACACTGGACCTTTAAACATCATCATTCATTTGCAGAGTGCGTACCTGTAGTTTCCGGAGTTGTTTAATAGCCTCGTCTCTGCCTTTGTTAGCTGCTTCGATCTGTCCCTCCAGCTCGTTCAGGTCCATCTCCAACTTCTTCTTGGCAGCAACAGCCAGAGTCCTCTGCTTCCTCTCGTCCTCCAGCTCTGCCTCCATCTCGCGCACCTGGAGGAGAGAAACAACACACGGCATCAAATGTTTCAGTACTCGATGCAAATTCTTGGCATTCTAAAATTAAAAAAACCCTAAAATGTGACTATTGCATGAGCTGTGCAGAGGAATGTCTTCATTTCTCAACTCATTGTTTTGTATTTCAAGATAAATATAAATAATATAGAGCCAACTCATGATGTCTGTGTCCTCTGTGTACCTGTTTGACAAGCGCTCTCTTCTTCTCCTCTCCCTGCTCGTCTCTGGATTGCAGGTCTCGATCAAATTGGGCCTTCATGGCCTGCATGTTGACCTCCAGACGCAGTTTGGCGTCCTCCGTGGCCTGCAGCTCATCCTCCAGTTCCTCCAGCTGAACTCTCATCTCCTCCACCTGTTGCTCCAGCGTTCGCTTGGACTTCTCCAGTTCATGGACCTGAGAGAAGGAACAAGACCATAACATCAGCAAAGCAAGCCGGACAAAAGCCAGATCGAAAGGTTCCCAACAACCCTCTGTGGATAATAATCATAATAATAATCATTTATGAATGTACTGTATACCGAGCAAACAGAGGTGTCATTAACGAGGTCAAAGGTCACTCACATTCTTCCCCACATCATCCTTGGAGCTCATCAGGTCCTCCATTTCAGCGCGGAGCTGCTTATTAAACCGCTCCAGCTCCTCTTTGGCCTCCAAAGCCTCCTCCAGAGCTCTGGCCATGGACAAAGCCTTGGTGTCCTTCTCTCTGGCTTCAGCCTCCGCACGGTCACGCTCCTCAGCATAACGGGCCGAGATGGTTTTCTCCTCAGCCAGCAGCTAGCGGAGACAAAGAAACAATGATCTTCAGTACACTCACATACATCTGACCTCAATCTATCATTTCTAAAACATTTTGCCAGTCCAGTGTACCTGATCAAACTTCTTCTGTTTCTTTTCGAGGTTTGAGACAATCTGTCTCTGGTGGTCCAGGTCCACCATCAGGTCGTCCAGCTCCTGCTGCAGTCGGTTCTTGGTCTTCTCCATTTTGTCCATGGCCATAGTCTTCTCCTCCAGACGCTGGCTGGTCAGCTCCACATCCTTCTGGAGTTTTCTCTTCACCTCCTCCAGGCCCTCCATCGCCCCCACATCCTCCTCTAGCTTCTTCTTTGTCTCAAACAGCTACAGGGAGGACATTTTTTAAATCAGTGAATATATAGCGATAATATAAAATCATCATTTAGCTTTTTTTGTGTTCACAGGGACGTGACATAATGAATTTATCACTGTTTTAACAGAAGTTCATCTCCAATATTTCTGTTCACTAATGAGATCCATCAGCCTCCAGACAAACTTTTACCTACAGCTGCTGAAAGAAATGTTGAGAGAAACACTGTGTGCGACTTATTTACCCAGTTCCAATTCTGTGTGAATAAAAATCACAAACCTAAACGTGACTTGTTATTGATTCTGACTAATACATTTCATAAAGGCAGTAGAAGATGTGGATGAAAAGAAATATTAGAAAAGAAAAATCCAGAGAGCTACTTCACTTATGTTTATTTAAAGGTTACATATATATATATATACACACACACATATGTGTGTATGTATATATACACATATGTGTATATATATATATTTAGAGTTTTAACCACAGATTTATACAGTAGTACCCTCCTGTCTACTTATCCTTGTTAATATGAACCACACTTCAGATTCAGATTCTCACTTTATAGGGTTTTTAGTTTGCTGCAAGGCCTCACTGCTTTACAGCTGTATGCATGCTGTTCTGCCCATCAAGTGCAGGTGTTCACAGCTGGTAAACAGCTGGAAACCTTTGCCAGGCCCTTCTCTTGGCGCTCAGTCGAGTATCAGTGGTACCTGACAAGTTTGCTGGCCTCATAAGTTTGTGTGTTTGAATGTGTATATGTGTCTCTATGGATGAGACTCATTAACGTTTATACGACTGACTGTACCTGAGAATGCGCCGTCTGCAACTGTTTCTCCAAGTTGCGTCGGGCTTCCTCCTCTTCCTCCTGCTGCTCCAGCAACGTGTTCTTTTCCACCTCCAGCTGGCGGATTTGGCCGCTCAGGTTCAACTTCTGACGCGTCTCCTCCTGACGCAACTCCTACACGACAGAACACAACCAGAAATGACGATCAGAAAAAACTAAATTTCTGTAACAAATATTTGATATCTCAGTGATTCTAAATCGAGTTTCAGAAAAGGCCGATGTTTCATACCTCTGAATCTTGCAATTTGCTGTTCAGTTTGTCCACTTCCTTGGCCAGTTTGACGCCCTTCTTCTCTGACTCCTCCAGCAAGGACGACAGATTGTCGAACTCCGTCTAAGGAAAGTTGAGGGGTTATAAGGAAAGCACAATCCAAAGCGAGCCATGAATATTCCCTTTACAATAAACTAGGCAAATATTTACACAAAAAAAAGGTTAATTATTCTGTTTGTAGAGTAATCTGGGGTTATAACCCTTTATTTTATAGCAAAACTGCTCCAAGTCTGTGCTTCTCTGACGTCTGTAACTGGCCGTAGAGGTATTTACCTGCAGTTTGTGGGAGCGTTCAGCCAGCTCTCCCTTGGTTCTCTCCACCTCGGTGGCTCTGGCCATAAACTCCTGCAGCTGGGCCTCCAGTTTCTTCCTCTTGTACTCTGACTCAGTCTTTGCCTGCTGCAGACTCTTCACCTCACAGGCCATCTCTTTGTTATCACTCTCCAGACTCTGCTTGTTCTTCTCCAGGTTGGTTTTGAACTGCACAGAAACAAAAAAATAATGCTTTTATCTATGCTTCTGTGTCACGCTCTGGATTTAAACTGGGACAAATACAAAAAGATAAACTACTTGTTTTTATGTCTTCATATCATTCAACTGATGAACCCACTCACCCTCTTGGCTTGTTCCAGCTGTTCGGACACTTCTTCCAGCGCTGTGGCATGCCTCTGTCTCATTTCCTGGACCTGAGCCTCGTGGTTTTTGGTCTCTTCATCTATGGCCTTCTTTAGCTCTGCCACTTCTTGCTCTCGCTTGGACCTGGATTTTGGACACAAGTGAGAAGGTTAAGAGAACACATTAGAAGAGACAATACAAAAACATCTTAACACGCATTGTTTATTGCTACTATCGTCTTCATAAAATTGTTTAAATCTTGTATAATCAAGTGACTGCAGTTCAAGCAGCTCCCACTGGAACCACTAAACACTTTATACAACTTTCATAAACAGGGTTTATCGTCATTGAAAAACCAGCTTTAAACAAACACCTGAGCTCTTGCTGGGCAGCGGTGGTATCCAGCGTGTCCTCTAGTTCCGTCTTCAGAGCCTCAAGCTCCTCACTCAGGTCCCTCTTGAGTTTTTCAGCTTTAGTTCGACACATCTTCTCTGACTCCAGATCCTCCTGAAGCTCTGCGAGGTGGGCCTGAAGCTCCCGAACCTGCTTCAAGGCATTGTTCTTCTGGACGGTCTCATCGTCACTTCTGGTTGGGGACACAAAAGTACATGAGTTGGTGTTTCAGAGTAGACCCTTATCACCCAACTGAGTCTTCCTCGTGATGAAAATAATGAAAATCTTTAGTTTAAACATTCAGCTGAGGATCTGAATTTCCAAAGATTTATTCTATACCAAATTAATATCTTAAAAATAGTCTATTTTTTAATTTTAATATTTAAACATAAGAATCTATAAGGCGTGTGTATGTTCTTGTACACTTCAACTAACACCTCAGTTCCTTTCAGTTCTTACTTCAAACCATTTCTCAGGTCTCAGATATTCACCTTTAAACAAACAACAGTCAGCTCTTCTAACTTTCTTTATAGATACACAATTTACTTCAGCAAAGGACTTCCACTTTACCTCACACTTCCTGATTAATTCATCACCTACACTTCACCTGAGATTTCAACTCCTTTCAGTGCTCGAATTTGAACTGAAACTTCAACTACTTTTAGCACAATACTTAAACTTCACTCAGCAGTCAAACTTAAACTGGCACTTCATTCATTGTTTATTATGTATTGTTCCATTTTAACTTCTTTCAGTTAATTACTTTACAACTGTCACTTCAACTTCTACTTTGTTCTGTATCTTAGTTATTTTAAACGCTACAACTGAATATTTCTATTGCGCAAACACATTTTGAGAACACAGTGATGTGAATGCACTGCATGCAACTAGTTTTATCTAAGTTTTATCGTCTGTCTAAAGTAATACAATTTACTTTCAATGCAGGACAAGTCAGTGATGTCATATTTTGTAACTGAAATGAGGCCACCAGTGCACACAGGGTGGCAGTGTGGTCAACTGTTCACCGCTGAAGCTGTCCACATGAAGTCTGTATGTTCTCCGAAGATGAACATGGTAATGAGACTGTGGATTTGTTTGCTGCTGGAAGCGAGGCTGAGTAAAATTCATGCTGGCTACAACACTCCTCTTATATAAACCCACTGACTGAACACACTCAATGTTATAATGATTCAGTTATATAATTAACACAATGCCACAGCATTGATTAAAGGCACTAATGACATCCATATAAAAGTAATTCCCCATTTTCCAAACAAAGATAATACAATCGTTCTCAGAACTGCTGCTGCATTCAAAATGAGGCACATCAAGTTTAATGGAAGCTTAATTAACTGGATCTGTGACTAAACTGAGGATTTCTGCCTGTGAAATTAGTCAGACGTAAACCGTCGACCCCTGTTTTCTGAACTATTGGCCTGCTGTAAAGAGGCAACTGCTGAGAAACCACATTAAAATAATCTGAGCTGACCTTCAGAGCAAAGACCTCCACAGCTGTTTAACCTCATCTGTATGCATGTCTGTCTAGTGACTGTTAAATGGGAAAATAATTAAATATGACACCACACGTATTGCTCAGAAGATTTTTCCCACTGTGGAAAGTGAGGAGGAGTGATCTTAATTAAGAAATATTTTGCTGCAGGTCTTTTACAATCATAACTGCCAACAATCAGGACACAAAAGAAGTCAAAAAAATCCTCTGACGATAAAAAAAAAAAGACTTCTTAATAGTTTCTCCTCCACTGGCAAATGACTTCATGTGGAAAAACTACTGCAAAGCCCAAGACTGAGAGCATCAATCAACATCAATTTTCCTGTAATCAGACACGGCTGCCTCCAAGATGAAAGGTCTCAGCCAGTGTCGCTGAAGGCAAACACTGCAGCTGGGAGCAGTGAGCAGAGAGGGACTGAGATGAGTGAAAGATAGAGGGAAAGGGTATGTGCGCTGAAACACTGCCTGCAGCAGCTGAAGAGGACATTAGCTGCTCAGAGTTCAGACTCAGTGCTGTCTGTGTGTCGTCGTTGTTGTAACGTCTATTTCAGGTCTTATCCTATCGACTTGGCAGCACCACAGTGGAATGCAGTTGTCATGGAGATGAGATTTACTGCACTAGTGAGAGGATGTAAGTTAACATTACATACTGACATAAACACCAACGGTGATATTTCACCACACCGGTTAAGGTTTGTAATGATGAGAGTGAAGAAGAGTACATCTGCCTCGTAGTGGCTGTAAAAACACCCTTCAGTGTAATGTTTTTTAAAGTCAGTGAATCAGCAAAATATTACACTTTTGTGCATTTGAATGTAAAAAAATAAGATGTAACGCACTTCATCAGGTACTTCTTTATGTATTGAAAATTAAAAAGGACAAACACTTCAATCTGTGATCTTCCCCGTCAAGTAACAGCCACTGAACAATAAATAAATTAAAAGTTATATTTATCTGGAATTCATCAGTCCACTCGAAGGCTTCTTTCTGGCTTGAAGACATGAAAATTAAGTTTTTATGAGAGTTTTATTGCGCTGGGGTCATATGATCCAATACTTTGGTCGTAAAAAAATCTCCTTGACAGCATGTGGAGGGATTTTTTTTTACTTTTCATTTTCTTCCTTCCTTTCTTTTTCAGTATCATTATGGTTCAAAATGAGTTGAGAGGTAATGGAGAAAAGAGGTATGTTGATGGGTTTACCATATTAATATTTGTTCTGTATTTGTGTAACCTCGAGTTCAACAAAAAGGAATATAGTGCCTCACATTCAAGTATCAAACTGAAGGATGCATTTAGTCAATTCCTTCTTCCAGTCAGGATTCATGTTTGTTTTTATAACAAAACCAACATATCTTCAACCCGTTAAAGTCTAATGTCCAGTAACAAAATATCAGATTTGCACAAGAGTACCAAGAATGAACAAATTAGAGTATTTCAATGTTTATTTCAGCAGCTCATTGTGTGTTTTGTACATATAGATGAGAAAGTGATGGCTTTTCAGGCTCAGTTCATCTGTTGGTAAACTATCACTGCTAAAATTTTATTTATTAGCATTATATATTTAGCAGAATGTGTGTGATGCAGTCCTTTCAGTTGTGACAGTTGTGTGTACTTTTAGTCCATCACTGACCTGGCCAGAGCAGCCTGCAGCTCCTCCTCCTTTTTGGCCAGTTGGATCTTCAGCTCCTCTATCTGAGCCTGAAGCTCAACAATCTGGTCCTGCAGGTCCGTTGTCTCAGCGTCCAGTTTACGTTTGGCTTTCTCCAGCTCCTGCCGTGTTTTCTCCTCTTTCTTTAAACGCTCTGAAGTGTGATATGATCACAAGTAGCATAAAAAAAATAGCCAATAAATCCAAAAAAAACCAACATTTGGCCAGAGTTCATCTCAGGGTGCTGAAAGTCACAAGTTCAGAGGGGTCATACGAGGCACAAAGAGGTGACAGAAAGTGACAAACCACAAACACATAATTGCTTACAGCCTGACACAACTAATGCTAATCAGATTAGCTGTTTTTCAGCTCATTAACTCTTAAATGCATGAATGTTCCTACACACCTCGTGTCTTTAGTGACCTGGCACTAAAATTAAGCCATATAAAGTCATATTGCATATTTTTTCCATTTATTAAATTATTTTAGATTTATACATGTCAGATGTTTCAGATTTGCCTGTTGTATTTCATATTTATACTGTACTTTGTTCACTATCACTAATTAAATTTCTCATTGACAGGTCAGCACAGTGTCATTGTAACATGGTTGTTGCACCGCAGACATAGCTCCACTGTTCTGCGGTGGAGCATGAATGGACAGATGTGGCATCTGCAGTGTTTACGTGGGGGTTTCCTCAGTTGAAGGTACTTGTTATTGGGACCAATCAGACTTTTAGAGCAGATTTTTGAATTTGTGGCTCCTCTTTCCTTAACAGCCGAACTGAGCAGTGCATGACGGCTGCCTCGCTGAACACCAGCAGCTCGCACCTGAAGTGACCACAGAGAGAGCATTTCTGCTGCTGCCAGCCCTATCTTTCTATACTAAGTTTGCCTTTGATACAATACAATAAAAGCCCTGGTAAATGGATTAGATAAATGGATTCTTCCACAGAAACACAAGAGAGCTTTTAATCTCAGATACAGGAGGTGAAAAAATACATTTATAGTTCTTTTCACTTCAGTAACATATTCTACAGATATAGACATTGAAACTGTAGTGAAAGGTGTCTATGTTTCTGGTATAATGTCAATATGACTATGAACTTCTATCTCTTCTTTCTCTTTCTGACAGTTAATTCAAACACTTAAGCCCAGTCAATACTTTCAACTGATGGTGCCCACAAAATCTTTTTTGCAGCCTACTTTGTGTCTGTTCTGGTAAATGTTCCCTATTCTTAGACACACAATGGAGCCAGTTATAGTAACTCGCTCGGAGTCTCTTACCCTCCAGGTCAACCATCATCATCTCCTGCTTGTTCTTGACCTTGCCGAGGTTCTTTGCTTTCTCCTCCTCCTCTGTCAGCTGGGAAGTCATCTCGCCGATCCTGTCCTCCAGCAGCTTTTTCTCCTGTTGGGTAAAATCAAAGCGTGGGTTAGATTGGAGGCTTTAAGACCCACAACTGATATTTTTGAACAGTTTATAAAAACAATTTAAGTTCTATGTTGCTTCTGTGACATATATACACTGTTTAAAATGGGTCATGTCCAATAAAATAGTTTATTGTTTGACTTTATATCTCTTCTATCATGTGCCTCATCCATCATCTTATACCAACTTTAAAACATCATGTGCAGATATAATCCTCTCACCTTGAGGAACTTGGAGTTTTGGTCCTCCAGCAGGAGAATGTCCTCCTCCATTTTCTTTATCTTTGCCTCAGCTGTTACTTTGTCCAGTTGCAGCTTCTGTCTCGCAGCTTCCTCCTCATCGAGCTGCTCCTCCAGGTCCTGGGGGGAGGAATACACACGCATAAAGATTTAAGTCTGAACACTGAGGTTTATAAAAGGATGGAAGTTTAAAATCTTTAGTGTTTCTCTACAACATTAAATATTTATGTCTAAATAAGCAAGTAAAAAAATCAAAAAACATCTTAAGGTATTACTTAAATGCAATAGAAAGCACTAAAAACACTAGAGAACTCCAATCTGCTTTATCAGTGTCACTGTGTTTGATCAGATGTTCTTGACCAGTGGTTCCCAACCTGGGGTCCGGGCCCCCGCAAGGGGGGCGCCAGAGGTCGCAGGGGGTGCGCACAACTTTGTCTGCTGAGGTTGTGAGGTTACCAAAATTATTATTTACAAAAATTGGGGCCTGACTTGTCTTGGACACAGGCAAGGGGGGCTTCAAGGAAAAAAGGTTGGGAACCACTGTTCTAGACAATGCTGTGTCCTACGTGCTTTGATCTCTTTATAAATGGAATAACATAAAATTACTGTCTTCTATAGTGCCAGCCAGGTCTGTCATCATGTGGTACTGAAATCAAATGTTTATTGTATGCTGCTGATTTAGTTCTTCTCCTCACAAAGAAGGGCTTCAACAAAGTTTGTTTTGGAAATATTCTGCCACACGTGGGCCTTGAAACTAAATCTTAATAAAACCAAAGAACTGTCTCCCAGAAAAGCACAAAAACCCAGAGAAACATTGGAAACAGAACATTTGGAATTGGCTGTGAAAGAAAGGAAAAGGAGCACTTAACATCTTGATCCAAATCTGGCTGAAAATATTCAAAGCCATTTTTAAACCAGCTGCACTTTATAGTAGTGGAATATGGTATGAAAAAACAGTATGATTTTTTGAATTGTAAAAAAAACCACGCAGAGGACTGCAGCACACACAGCCTGTGGGCAGAATTAGGTCTGCTCCCTCTGAACATCACCATTAAAAAAAGAGCCTCAAATTCCGGAAAACCATTAAAAGAAGTGACTATCACTCACAGAAAGGAGTCTCCTCAGTTAGCAAGAAAGACCCTCAGCCCTAGTCCTGAGCCTCAGTGACTTAGTTATTATTACTATCCATTATTACAAACACTGAGGAGCATCAGGACAACAAATCAAAACAATCAAAACAAAAACTACTTGAGCTATAATGAACTAGAATGAAATTACCAAAACACAACTCAAGCTCAATCGTTCTCTGGCCCTATAATGCAGCTATATGCTGGCCCTGTATCAACAGGTATCAACAGGTAGACGCAGACAAACAAGGCTACCAACACTAGGCATGTTTCCATCCAACTGAAATCCACTACCGTTATGTGTTTATTAGGAGTTGGTTCATCGAGATAAGCAGTAGGATTTCATATCCTGACATGGGTCATTTTATATCCTGATAACGATATATAACACAATATAGCTAATTTTCCTTCAATACATAAATAGTTTACATATAATGATCACATGGATATCTAAATACATTTTGAATTATATACTCAACAAAAATTTACAATTAAGCATGTAACAAAATATAAAGTATTAATGCCCCATAAGACTTGGGCAGGTCACCCTGGTATATTAACATCACGACTCCTTTAAGCCTTTTGCCGTGAAACAATGTGTGTGCACTGTTGCTGGTGTGTGTGTATGGAGGAGGAAGAAAGCAGGGTGAGCAGATAAAAGTAGTTTGTGAGGAAACGCTTGCTTTGCATTGCATCCCTGTCTCATCAACCCCTTCAGACCGTTTATTTTTTGTCTCTGGATGAGTTGAAATAAACATTAGAACAAAATATGAAATTTTTCTATCGTCATACAATATATATAATTATATAAAAGAGCACCATTGGAACCTTAAAATAACAATGCAGCAAACAGGATGGAAATATGACATTTCTGTTTGTGGGAAAGGTAACATCAGATCCGTGTGGAAGTGAGAAATGATAATGAGGGTAAAATTTGCTGCATCTTGGAAGCAGTTATATATAGCTCTCTTGACTGCAAAATATGTATCTGCATGATAACAACCTGAGACAATCCTCATTCACTCTACTGTGTTAAATCATTGTGTGTGACTGACTCAGTCTTTAGCAGAAAATACTGAGTTCATGCAGGATCTAGTCACTTACAGCAAGAAACTGATCAAGAAAATAAGTTCTTGGCTCCTTTAAAAGTTCAAATGAGGAAAATTATGATTGTAATTATAATTTTCTGTGTGCAGATCAGAAATCAAATCCATCACATTCATTTAAATATGTGCTGAAAACAGGAGAGACAGTTGTGTGTGTAGAAGTTAAGTAAAATATAAACCTGGATGTGTGACTGCATCTTTTTCTTCTCATTCTGCAGACTCTGGTTCCTCTCCTCCTCTTCCTCCACCCTGGACTCCAGGTCGTGAAGGATCTCCTCCAACTCTTGCTTCCTAGAAAGCAGACGAACTCTCATCTCTTCGGCCTCAGCAAACAGCTCTGTCTCTGCGTGGAGCTGCTCTGCTAGAATATTCTTCTCCTCTAAGAGCTGGACAGAGGGAACAGTTTAAACAATGTATCCAGCCTTCACAGCAGGTTGATTTGTTCAATTGTCAAGCAACATTTATAGAAAACAGTTCATACACTAATGGGGGGTTTACACTGTAAACAATATTTACTTTCCATAACAGAGGACATGTTTACCTGTTGGTGTTTCCTCTCCATATCTACTAGCTCATTCTCCACCTTGAGCTGTCTCTCCTTCACCTTTACCAGCTCCTCGTCTTTGGCCTGCATCTCCTCCTCCTGCCTGGTGACCTGCAGCAGAGGCTTCACCTGAGAGAGAGAGAGAGAGAGAGAGAGAGAGAGAGAGAGAGAGAGAGAGAGAGAGAGAAAATCAACCTCTACAAGGTTTCTGTAAGTGTTCACCAAATTACATTTAACGCTCTATTTTAGACCTTTTTAATACCACACAGAATGAAATGTAGTACTTTTTTTAATGGTCATACTGATCAAAGAATGACTGAAAACCAGAGCTGTAGAGCTGTGTATCATCTGTGTAACACATGTGAACTACTTTGTTGGAGTAGGTAGCTGTCAGGGTTCTCACCTTGGTGAAGAGCCTCCACCACTGCCAGTGTCGCAGCTTCAAGTAAGCAGCACAGTTCCTCTGGAGGACCTTTAGGGCACTCAGCTGCTGCTGCTTCTTAGCAAAGGCCCTAAAGGAGGGAAAAAAACAGACGAAAATCAGAGATCAATATCTGAGTACAGCAGTGTGTTTGAAGACCATGGTTGGGCTGCGTTTATTGCACAAATGAGACATAAAGGCACTAAACTTAAACCTGCAATAACTGATTTTTTGCTACTTTTTGCCAGTGAAAACAAGTTGTGAATGAAACACTGACATATGATCACCTTTTAAGGTGATATGATGAACTTGTTAACAAACTGTTAACTGTTAATTACACATCAAGCTGTTACAGAGAAACATTATCATTCATTTGCAGTTGATCTAACACATGTAACTTCAATAGTCACTCCTTATTAGCTATGTTTTTGGGAAATATCTGTCTCTTTAGCTGCTAAATGCTGCACTATGTTCACAAGCTAGATGCTAACTGTGTCTGTTTGCTGCTCACTGAAAACAGCTGCCTGCAGCAGCTTAAGATGAAGCTTTCAGAGTGTTGATAGAATACAAAAACAGTAAAGTTGTGGACAAGGAGGCAAAAACACTATAAAGCCAAGGTGAGCTACGAGCGACACATTGTTTTCACATTGTGCATTTCACATTTTACATTGTAAAAATATTGTTTATATATAAATAATATATAAATATTGATGTTGACAAACAAAGAATGTCTTTTGCAGTCAGCATCCAGAAATCTTTTCCCTCATTATACTGCTTTATGCTTTATGCTCTGTTATAAATGCTACACAACACAACGGCACTCTGACTTTTTACATTATTTTAATGAGGAGCTTTAGGTATACATCTGTGACTCGACATGACACTTATACTTTACCAACTCTAAGATGCTTTGTCTCTCAGACCACCTGTGGGGGTGGTCATGGTACTTTAATGCATCTTGGGTATCCAAACGCAGAAATATGTATATACCGAAGTAATAGTTTGAATGAAAATACAGAGATCTGACACTCACTTGCGAGCCAAGTATCCACGGCACACAGACTGGAAGTAGATGATGATGTCAGTAATCTTCAGATCTCTCTCCTCCTCCAGGTGAGCCAGAACACCAGTTCTGAAGAAGATCTTACTCTGGCCAATACGGAACAGGTTTGGGTCCAGCTCCAGGGCTCGGATCTATAAAATACACACGAAGAGTTGTTGACAATGCACCTTTGTGGGCAGAGTTAAATTTACATTATGGGAAGGAAATATTTCTTGTCAAATGTGTCAACAGTTTACTATCAAATATTTAGTCCCTGTACAATAACTCCAGGTGTAGAAATGTGTCCTATGCCCCCCAGTTCCTACACCAGTTCTTCAAATTCTTTACCTCTGCAGAATACACAGTATGTTATCTTTTCCATGGTAGCAGTTTTAAAACTGATATACAGCAAAAAAGCTCTACCATTCTCTCACAGGCTTGTTTCCCATCCATAAATCCTTTGGGGATAGCGTTGGGTGTCAGGATCTCATATCTGTGAAAGTAAACATAAATATAAAGTGAAAATGAAAGTTTTCCGCTGTGTAAAAAGAAGTTACAGAGTTCAGAAAGCTTTCTTTATGTTTGTTACCTCTGTCTAAACTCCTGGAAGACGATGCGGTTGGGGAAGCCCTGTCTGCAGATGCGAATCCCCTCTAGGACTCCATTACACCTCAGCTGGTCCAGAACCAAGTGAGGCTCCAGTTTACCAGCCTGAAGGAAAAGACACAGACACCATCAGGAACAGAAAGAAGACTATTCATACTTTTCTATTTCTATTGTACAATGTCTGCTCTACTAAGAGAGTCTGAATGTGACATTGCCTCCAGAGGCGTGAAATGTGAGACAAAATGACTTTTTTGGTCTACAGGTCAACATTAATGGATTTCCTTGGAAATAGTCAAATAACTATTTTTTCCATGAAAACTGGACTAGGACCAATGTGACAGCTGGTAGACAATTATAACATAATAAAATGAGTTACAGGTCCTTCTTCTAATAAATAAGTTTAGATTATGTATGATTATACATAAGGATGATTATGTATTTACTCTTTTTTCATGGTTGGGGATGATGCAGCGGACAAAGTTGGGGTTGGTGTTCCTCAGTGTGGCCATGAGCTTGGTGAGCGACTCCTTGTAAAGCTGCCCCACTGTACGAAACATGCCCTTTTTTGTTTTGTAGGTGGCGCCAAAGGCTGTCTCATTCATCCCTGCCACCTGGTCCAGGCCCACGATGCGGTCAACTGGTGGGGAGATTGGGGGGGGGAGACTGGTTAGAGTGGGAAGACTTCATGGGGAGCAGAGAAGCACTGCAGGAACAGCTGTAGCAGTAACAATGTAGCTACATGACCAAGTGCAGATGGATGAAAAAGACATTACACACTAACAACATCAGCAGTCTAACAAAGTAGCATTCAAAGTCAAGAACTACCACTAGGTTCTGCAGATGGAGATGGAGCACGTAGCATATCTATACCTATGCATTCAGGGCTCTATATGTTGTGTTACCTTGGAGGGAAGCATCATTTTCCAATATGATTTACTTACTAATCATTAACAAAGTTTAATTCCAAAAATTTAAATGCTCTTGTCTGGTCCAAGTGGATGATGCTTGATGGCAGCTGGTGATGGAAGCTTTTCAACATTTTGCTGCTTATAAACACAAAACCTGCATCAACGAGGAAGGGACATCTAGTGGTGAAGTTACAGATTGCAACCATATGAATACAGCTCAGCCTCCCAAGCATGTAGGAGAAAGTATGGTGGCTGTGACCCTTAAAGGCCCCATCTAGAGCCAGTGCTTGGTTTGTCTGTTCTGGGCTACTGTAGAAACATAGCAGTTCAACTTACAAACTGTACAAGAGGACCTGCTGTGTCCATAGATAAAACGGCTCATTTTAAGATATAGAAAACACAATTCTTATTTTCACTCTTGACCTTTAATTGACGTCAATCAACAGAAAATTTAATTTTCTGGCCAAATTTGCTGGTTCCAACTACTCAAATGTGAGAATTTGATGCTTTTCCATGTCTTACTTTATGGTTAGTTGAATATCTATGGGTTTTGGACTGTACAAAATATTTGAAGATGTCACCTTGGAAATTGTCATGGGAATTTTTACAGTTTTTGATGTTTTGTAGAGCAAACAATTAATAAAGAAATAATTGGTAAAATAAAAAATCACTGGGGTACCATTTCAAAGGTCATATTTTTGTTACTGTCAACAAATCCAAAGAAATTTGTACTAAAGATGCAATTCTCAAAAACAGGTTACAATTATACGAGTGTACAACGTAGTTTCATTTGTAAAAAGAAATAATTTAATTTGAAAGATTAACTTCTTACTCAAACAGGAATAAATTGTGTATTTTTGGTGCTCTAGTGAGTATTTACAACCCAAATAAACCACAGTTCTCATTTTCACTGTGAAAAAGGACCATTTCAGCAAGTGCAACAGCCTAACTCAGTGATATGCTGGGGCTCTATAGCACAAAGGAATAAGATAAATGGGGCTTTGGATACACAGACAAATAGTTTGTGAGATCAATTCATTATTGGTTTTTCATGGTAATTCTTGACAATAAGAACGATAAGAACCAGAATCACCCATCAAATAATGGATATTTTTATAATTTGTCAGTAAATCAGTAGACTTACTCTAAAAAATGACAAAGCACACAAGTTATTATGACTTTACACTCAACTATATTATGTCACTTATTAATGTCCCACTGAATAAATTAAAGTTAGAAGTATTTGATGAGTCACAGACAGCTGGAGTTTCAACATTTAAACTGAAATGATGTATGGTTTTCTGTCTGGACCCTTTATACTGACGTCTGAGCTCAGAGCCAAAGCAAATACCAACATCTGGATTCAATTTCCCGCTACTGTGATCCTATATAGGAAGGAGGGAGGCGGGAAATTAATGTCATTATGCTTTCTTCAGTCAAGCTTCAAATCCTTAATTTGCTTCTGGATGTATCACTTGACAGAGGAAGGACAAAAACAGAAATCAGCTATGAAGTCCAAACAGCTGCACTACATCCAAAACACTTGCTTCAGAGCTATTGACCATACAAAGATCACAAGACCCATATCAGCCTACAAAAACTATGATTAAAGCACACAGTTTATTCTACCTTAACTTGTTTAGGAATTAGGCACTACTGCTTTCGCCTGAGACAAGGGAACCATGCAGCCGGGAAGCAAATGGGAGCCATTGTAGCTATGACGGACACAGCGCCGGCTGAAGCATGAAACATACAGCCAGATCTGGGCAAAAATATACCAGCACACTTTCAATAAGTTAACCTGCTTGGGAAGCGCTTATATTTAGCCTACCAAGCACCTTGAGAACCAAAACTGTTCATTTTCAGCTACAATTATTTTGGCCCAGGTCTGCTACAGCACGACCCAGTCATTCACCTGCCGGCTCATCCAGACTAGTGACATTGTCATAGAATGAAGCCCTTTGAATGGTCTGAATCTCTACAACACAGAGAAAGAGACAGGGAGGGGAGGGTGATGTTAAAATAATTCTTAGAAATCATTAATGTGTAGGCCTGGGTCAACAAGGCAGACAGTTGCTGTTAGTAGGCTTGTGTGAGAGACATATTGACATGCTGGTTAACCGAATAAGCTACAGGTACATACACAATGAGACTTAAAGGATGTGCTACTAAAATTGATTCTTTCTAGTATCTAATACTGTAGAAAGTGTTTAGAGATACAGAAGTAGCAGCTTACCATCTTTCCAAAGTTCAGCCACAAATTTGTCAGTTGACTGATGCAGAAGCGTTGCCACATTGTCATTCAGGGGGTCCATGTTCTTCATTAGCCACTCGTCTGCCTTATAGTCCACCTGTAACAAGGAAGTGGAACAACTCAGCGAAATGGACAAAACTAATAACTTAGTTATAGTCTGACTAATACTGGAGTTTTGAAATACTGATACCGATATTTGGGATTCAATCAGAGAACAATATAGCTGTAAAAAAAAATGTAATTAAGTCCCACAAGGCTTCAAACAAATGTTGGTAAAAACTGACTCATTCATTTACACATGAAAACTGTGAATCCAAATATCTTGAATATGAGAATTTGGCCAGTATGTTAATGGAGAGGGAATCAATAATCCTGATTCATCATCTGTGTCGAGCTTTAAAGGATTTGGATGAAGACAAGAACTCTAAATTCCTCGTTAGCAAAACACAGATGTATTGTTATCTCTATATACTTCCTCTTTGATGTCCGAGCATCAAGCAGACTGTGCAAACCGCAGCAGTCCTCTCTGGCCTCACCCTCCTCTCTCCCTCCTCTATTTTCTGAGTTTCTATTTGAGTAATAACTGAAATAATGTCTCCTTTACATAGTTTATGCATCAGAGCGCACGTTTATTTTTCAAGAGGTCACACATTCTTTAAAGGAAATAAAGGGATTTTATGAAAAAGGTTTGTAGCAGCAGTCTATATGTGCCTGGGATGCTCAAACATCTATCCAATAAACTAACTCCAAACACTGACTTCATACACAGGAGGAAACACTTGTAGTGATTCAGATGGGGGGGTACCTATGCTGACAACAGTAACAACATTTGGCTTCATGGTGCTGCAGATTTTTCTCCACAGCAGACGTTCTTAGAGCTCAAATCTGTGTTTGACTGATTGTGGTGTAAAACGACACAGGCCACATAATGGTAAGCAGATGTGTTGGTCAGCAGGTTTCTCTGCAAGACAAATGCAAAGTTGTGTTGCATAATACCACTGACAAAATCCAAATCCACGCTCATACAGTGTCATATAAATCCAAACCAGGACTCAGTATTTCCCTGAAATCCCACCACAGGAGAACTTTCCGTCATTGTTTAATCTGAGCCGCTGACCAGCAGCAACTTTTCACTTGCTGTTTCAACTTTGCAGGAGAAGATCCGTGAGGAAAAGAGAAGTTTTTCAAAAATATGAAGGTAGACAAAATTAAAGAAGTTTGGTCCAACACAGAACAAAATTACAATAAGAAATAATATTATATGTCAAAAATATTTCTGAGCAAAACAACTACCTTTATATTGACATACCTTACGAGTTGTAATGGCTATGATTATCAATATGATTACCTTTCCCTATGTGTCTGTGTTAGGGATGGTGAGATTCACACATCAGTGCACCCACATACAAGCTCCAGATCACCCGAATAAAAGAAGTGTACATTGGCTACAATGTGGGATGAGTTTACAATGCATTGTTTCTAACACCTTTGCATCTGTAAAATGTTTATATTTAGATTTATTGCTCCTTTCTGAAATGTTTCTCAAGCTCCTTAAGAAGAACCAAAGAAATAAAATCAACCTATTTGTACCATATTGAATTGCATAGCATTATATTCCTTTGCGTCACACGCAATCGCGTTGAATCACATTGCATCACCAAAGGGGTGTATCGTATCACATTGGTAGTTTGTTCATTTGTATCTTTAATGTATGGGATCGTTGGCAATGCATCAAGAGGTGTATTGCATCAGCCTCAGTGATGGAGACGCACATCCCCCTTCTGTATTGGTGAGTGCTTTGTAGAAGAGAGCCTGATCTATGTTCTAAAAATAAGCTCCATAAAATGAAAGCTTCATCCTTTGGTAAACCGTAATTTCCGAGAGACACAATTTATTTTTTCTTTTCAAAAGCCACCAGGAGCTTTAAAAGAAACACAACAACAGTGTATTTTTCGTAAAGCAGAGAAAGAAATCTGTGTGATTTTGAAAGAGGTCAAACAAGCGCACCTTGCCGGCGTAGTGGATGATGCAGAAGTCGGCTTTGTCTTTGAGCTGGCGGGGCTTCTGGAACTTGGTGTGTGTGCCCTGCTCCTGGGTCAGCTTGTCTACAAAGGTCTTGTCTGTGGCTTTGGGGAACCAGCACTCTTCATCCAACAGAGCCAGCACTCCTGGAGGGTTTGCCTGAAGGAATATTAACACAGAACAGAACTCAAGACTTACAGTAAATGTGGCATTATTAGCATTTAGCTGCTAAATTATTTGTCAGCATAGCAAAATAATTCAAGAATACGTGGGAAAAAAATTTAAGTAGGTATGTTTCATGTTCTCATTGATGCTCGCAAATCACACTGACCGGCCTCTCAATGAGGTCGATGCAGGGCTGCAGGTCAAGGCCGAAGTCGATGAAACTCCACTCGATGCCCTCCCTCTGGTACTCCTCCTGCTCCAGGATGAACATGGTGTGGTTGAAGAGCTGCTGCAGCTTCTCGTTGGTGTAGTTGATACATAGCTGCTCAAACGAGTTCAGCTGTAGGGAGAAAAACAAGAAGAATACGTTCACTGGAAATGTGAAACGTAGATAAGACAACAACATGAAAAAACAAATATTATCATTAATTATACAGCACAAACTGTCTTCTTTAAAAATGTTAGTTTTTACATTAAGATTTTAATCCAAACCTGGAATATCTCAAAACCCGCAATATCCAGGATGCCGATGAAGGAGGCACCCTGCCGTTTGGTTCTGTCCAGAGCTTTGTTAATGCGATGAACTAGCCAGCGGAACAGACGCTCATATGTCGCTTTACCCAGGGCCTCGACAGCAAAGTCAGCCTGGAGGTAGAGAGAGAAAAGTAATAAAGACAATAGAAAGAGATACAGAACTGACACAGGGTTCCTCCTGCACAGAGAATTACGAGGCGGCCACCACTGTCAAATCTCGTGCCGCCCCCACGTGTTACTTATAAAAAGCATTGAAGGCACAGTACACATGCCCATGTGTGCACATGACCAGGATGGTACCATCTTCACCTCAATTTGAGCCAGTGGAAACCCTGTGACATGGCCAAAGTGCTCAACGAGCAGAGGCAGGTGGAGGATTGAGTATAATTGAGACATGCTTCCAGATCCCCGAGAGGATCTCTGCTCTACACTGGACGAATGGACTCATCTTGGCAAGACTGTACAGTTCATGTTCCACATGTTTTCTAAGTCAGACTTGTATCATTATATTACTAAAACAGCTGAGACAAGCCATATCCATTGAGCTGTAGCCATTATGATCAGAAGTCTGCAAGAGTACTGCAATTTAAATGGAAATGAAAGATTCATAAACAGGAGATGTACTTTGGAGCGGTTTCACTAAAGGTAAAACTAACCTTCCCTTGTGCCCAGTACAATATGAAACAAGGCACGATTATCAGATCAATGTTTTAAGCTTTTCTTCCCAAAATGCACCTTGGGAGTCGTACTTTTTTTTTTTATCAAAGCACCTGATGTTTTTTTTTTTAATGCACTTGCTAACTTTTGTACTGATCATTCAGAGATTATTCTCATCAGAGCTCCCCACCATCCAACACTGACAATGCAGACAATGAAACAGACTTGTACTGGATGAAAATAGCTCCTCAACTACGCACCTATTTCTCCATAATGAAATTTACCTGCACTGAAAACGGCTTCTTCAATTGCATTTCTATACAACAGATCAGTATTAGTGTTACTGATCTAAGCTGGCAACAAAAGATGATATACATCATGTTAGTCTGTAAAAAAGAAAAACTGACCTGCTCTTTAGTCTGTGCTTTCTGGACGTAGTCTCTTCCCACTTTGATCCTTGGGGACAGGATGGCTCTGGTGAACTCCATTACATTCATACCCAGCAGATGACATAACTTCTGAGCGGCTGAGAGGAGGACAAAGCACACAATAGGAACAAAAACAATTTATTTTAGGCCACAGAGGGAGATTCTCAAACATACTTGTATGGTAAATTATCTAGAAGACTAGAAATGAAACACCAAGGGGATATTGTTTGTTTTCAAGAGTGATTTGACAGAGAGTCTTATTTTGTCAATACTTATTCACAATTAGATGATTTGATTCATATTATTTCAAACCTAGAAACTGAAGTCAAATATTCACGTCAAAGAGGACAATGCTGTTTGCCTATTACTGATTAATGTTAGGATTTATCACAAATCTTTCAAAGATGTTTTCTTATGAAATGTAACAGAGGAAAATTCCATATTTTACATGGCTGGAACTTGTGGAAAAGCAGAAAAAGCTGGATCCGGTCTAGATCAGCCAAGTCTCACTACTAAAAAAAACAGCTGCTTCAGTCATGAGTTCTGCTCATCGCATTTGGGAATATCTGGCCGAGCTGCCGGCATTAGACTGATTCTCTCTCCCTGTCTCCCTCCTTTAAGTGCCAAATATGCAGTGCCACATGTGGAGGAACTGGAAGGCTGTGCCCCATTTCCTTCAGGAGTAAATCCACATAATGATGTGGCTTAATGGCAGGTTGACAAGGCTCAGGGAGAGAAAAGACATAAATCAACAGTTCCTCTGTTCTGTGGATGAGGTACGCAGTGTGAGGGAGGCAGGAAAAGAGAGAGGAGGGTTGAAGTATATATGGGAAGAGGAAAGGAGGAGGAGGAGGACGTGTTGACCTGTGAGGTTCAAGCTACGAGGTGATGAAGCAGATGTAAAAGGATTGCAGTGTGTGTTTCTGTGGGATACCTACCAGTATTATCAGGCATAGAGGCTTGGTCAGTGTTCCTCTCCTTCTTAAAGATGATGTTCCCAAACTGAAGCACCGAGGACACCACCTTCAACATGGCTACAGATATAAGAATCCAGAGAAAACAATATTACTATAGTATGACATCTCTTTAGTATCACATGAATGTGTTGCACTGAAACAGACAAAACGGGGTTTGTTTCATGGTTTTGGAGGGATTTAGAGAGGGGCTTAATTAAATAATTCTCTCTAGAACAAAAATCATTATAACAAATGTATAACAGCTTTCAAAAAACAAACAAACAAACAAACAAAACAAAAACAGATGATTTCTTAGTTCTTTGTCCACTTTAATAAATAACACAATACACACTACAGAAGCCAAAGAGGCGCTTACTGTCGATCTAGAACCAATTTCTTATCAAAAACACACCCAGAATCTCCTCATGGGCAAAGCTCATGATGTGCATGGCCTCCATGGTCTCCTGGAAGTTGTCTTTGTCCTGCTGGCCAGGGATCGGGATGTTACCGTTGGACAGGAAACGGTAGTTGTTGAACCCTTCCAAGAGCAGGTCCGCTGTGGAAAGAGAAATGGAAAAACAATTATGGTTACGATATAACTTTATTTTTCAAAAGGTGAGGACTCCTGCTGTAGACACACAAAAATTCTATGTAATAGAGCAGGTGACTGATGACTAAAATGCGAATTGGTGGCAAATCTTGGAATGAACATGAACTATGTAATGTTACATGTCTTTTAAATAGTTAAGCTGCTAAATAAACCAGAGTTATGAGAAATAAAAGCTCAGTATACTTACATTTGAGGTGCTCTCCAGCTCCAGCCAGCAGCTGGTAGAAAACGTGGAAGGTGCGCTCATCTTTGGCCTGACGAATAGCTCTGGATTTCTCCAGCAAGTCTGACACAGGATGGTCAAAGAATAAATCTATTTTGTAGGTCAGTCTGATGTAGAATCAACATAATATAAACATAAAACATCAGTTCCTCTATACACTTGGCAATTCCTAATGTACAGGTGTTCTGCTTCAATATTGGAAACAAATTTCTACAATAATTTTGTAATGATCCTATTGGATTCATCTTCATGTGTGTCCAGTAAACACTCCTGGCTAGCCTCTTCATAAACATCTCCTATAGTGTCTGTTAGCACACAGAAAGCTAGTAAATTCTAGTTTACAGTTTTAAAACAGGATACAGGTTTCAATATTGGCTCCAACAATGTATCCGGTGACATCAAAGTTGATCCGGATGAATTTCCCCTGCGCAGATGAACAGAAGATAAAAAGCTCATGAAGTGTACAAGACAAGATATACAGAAATCAATCGTCAACATAATGCCTCTGTTGTAACAGACACTACAGGCCTCATGGCGAGGAGCTGATAAGTCTGATGTTTGTAGAATAATTTACTTAAGAGAACATGATCACTGATGCAGATCATCTACATGGCTGATAATTATATTCTAGTAGAAGTACAAAATGTGTAAAATGGCATTTTAAAACAATAACAATAATGTTCATTATGTTTACAATTAAGTCCTGAGCCACACAGTACATGACAGGTCTACTGATCGAGTTCTCATTTATGGCAAGTGGAGAGATTTTCCGAAGTAACACTAATTTGTCTGATTCATTCACCACAGTAATTCTTAGGTTGAGGCTTTACTCATGTCCCTCTTGTCCTACGTCACCATTAAGAAGTCTGCTGAGTGTGGTTGCCTCCAGCCTTAAAGGATCCAGTACATCAAAGACATCATTAATGACTAGCATGTGGCCTGTGTAATTACTTACAGGAAAAGTAGGATAATTCAATTACTTCTACATCAGTTTTACCTCGGCTTGTTCTCTGAGACACAACTTTCTAGAAGACACAAACATGTCACCTAAATCTGATTCAGGTACAGAATTAAGCCAAGGTGATGCTGTGACAGGAGGAGGCTTTGTGAGACATAGCGCCTCTCTTCATGAATATAATTTATCTGTACTTACAAAACGTGATGAGTTGTCATTTTTCACTGTCTTAGCATTCCCAAAGGACTCAAGGATGGGGTTGGCTTGTAAAAGCTGACGTTCCAATTCACCCTGAAACAAACAGAAGGACGTTACAGCAGTTCTTTGTTCTCAAATGAAAGCCAAAAACAAGACAAAAAAATATCTGAAAAAACATACACATGCAGATATTTGAATACGTGTCATGTGTTTTATACAGAAAGAACCCACATATACTATCCCTGTGCGTAAACTGATCATACAAAGCCAGAGAGAAGATAATGACTTCTAAACAACCTAATTGTTTATAGTTAATTGTTCACACACAAGGTGCTGGTTATATTTGGTGAATTCTTACTGGTCTACTAGTTTTTGTGCCTCAAAGTAACAGCTACACAGCTACACTGTGGACGTTAAACACAATCTGACTTCACTAAATTTTAACATTTTGAAATTAAAAAAACATAAAAAATATTCAATAACTCAGCACAGAGATAATGACAGTATATTACCATGATAATAGTAAAGTATATAGTTCTATTATAATAACAATGACTTCCTTTTTTTCTCTTAATGTGAACACACCATTTGAAAACCAGTATAAAGAGGTAACATCTTTATGTGATAAAAGATTTAAATGAGAAACAAAAACTAAAGTTCAAGGGGAAATCCTTGTTTGCAGATCAGTTAAAGGTTCTGACTTTATCTGATCAGTGCCGAAACAATGTTGTTTGACAAAATAACAGCTTATAAAATGTGAAACTTCACCAGAGGGATTTATGTTCTGACACTTTATAGACTAAACAATTAAGAAAACAATGTGATCATATTTAAGGATTCAAAATGCTGAAACTATTAGTTCTTGGCACTGGACTTTAGTCTTTTGGACTTTTTGTATTTTCTCAAGCACATAAAATATAAACTGATCCCATAACTGTGGAGATCATAAAAACATTTCACAACTCCATTCATTCCATCCGCAGAACTTTTATCTTTTGAAGTTTAAACAAGCCAGACAGCCACTCTATCATGTCAAGAAGAATGTGTCCACAACACACAACAGAAACACTTTTCTTTTTTTTTTTACTTTAAGAGGCTGAAGAAATAAAAATGCAACTTATGCAGATGTTTGGACAGGTGGCCCACTGTGTTCCAATCAAAGCCACATTGTGGGCTTTGTCATGACCAGAGAAGAGAAAAACAATTTCTTCTGCAATGTTACTTCACTTCTTGTGGCTGAGTGGAATATTTTCCCATTACGTCAAAAATAGCTGCACACACTGAATGTTTGAGGAGGCCATTTTCCACCAAAGGGAACTCTGCGGGATGAGGAATCAGCAATGCACTCAGGATGTGAGACATGTAATGTGATCTTTGGCCGGACAGCACGATGGGCTGCTTTTAATTGAGTTTTTGAGCAGCTCGAATGAAGCAGGGCTGAACTGGATAAACCTGGTCCTCTTCCAGTGATCAGAGCAATGGAAAGGCCCACAGGAGCAGAGGATTCAAACCAAAAACCTTTGTTTCTACATAAACACGGGCCTGCGGTGTAACTTAGTAGTTAAAATTGTTCATTGGCAACATCTACCCATCTGTGTGGTCTGCTGTACACACACAAAAACAAAGAGCAGATTACAAACACCAGTGGGGGGCCAATTTAGCAGCATTAGAAGCTGACCCACATTCCTGTTGCAGAGCGAGTATGTCAGAAATCTGACAGCCAACAGAGCTGGCTCCTCCACTTCAGATGGCCAATTGTTGTGTAGCTGTGATAAAATACCAGCAAACTGAGACGCCTCAAAACTACTGAGAGACACACTGCAGTCATTTTTAAGCTAAAAAGACTCCTCATCATCTCCTTCAAACTAATAATTTTTTAAACTTGTCTGACTTTATAAAAAAATATTACAGGTCATAGCTACACGTTTGTTTCTCATCAAAGGTCCGGCTGTTTGGCAGGCCACTGAGTAGTGCTTTAAGGCAGATTGAGTGGAGTCAAAGAGGATCAGTCAAAACTGTTCCGCTAAATCTTATGAGGCCAGTTGTGGACGTGTGTTCACTGCTTAACGTCGGCTCCAGAGTTCACGAGGCCAGACAAATATTACAAGTCGCTCTTTTCACCAGCAGGAAAAAAGGAGAGCACTCCTTACGCAATGGCACAAAGTATTTCAATCTGGACAGAAACAAGTTAAAGTGGAGAACTCTGGGCCAAAATAGATTTGAGGCTGACTCTAACTCCGTGAGTAAGAAAGGTCTAAAGAGGGTTCTGCGTCATACAGGTCTAGGTCAAGTGATTAAGATGAGCAGGCTTGAAAACCAGTGAACTACTTTAATCATACTTAACATAAATTCAAGCTTACTATCTTGTGATGTAACTATTGTCTAGTTTCTTACATCCTGTTACTGTCTGTGCAGTAAATAAAAAGATACATCCACCAAATGGGAGGATTATTGTGAAGTGAAAAGTACTGATGATTTCATCCACAAAGTCTCTTATGGCTAGGTGCTGTAGGCGGGCAGTGTACATATAGGCCTACAGTATGGCTGATACGATTTAAAAAGATTTGAGACTTGCATAATTAACAGTATTAATAGTCTATATCAAGTGAAAGTTTAAGCTACCAGCTGTAATGCCATCATTAAATATAACAGGCTGTAGCTAATTTGCTTCAATTCTGTGAGTTGGTGAAACATCAAAAAGGAAATCCCCATGGCCTTGTTAATATTCTCTGGTAAATTTATGATTTGGCAAAGATGATTTCTCTGAATAAGAAACAGCACAAAAAATAGGAAAAAGCTGTGTGTTTTTTGCTGTTCTTCTACATAAATGATCTGGGTGATTGCCTCATTAATTTCAGAGAGGTAGCTAGCTGTTAGTTGTTGAATGTGAATGACAGCTAATGTGGGAATTTTCCTGTTAAAACTTTAAAGTGCATCATATCATCGTTTTAAACTTATCACCATAAAATAATTGTAATCTTTAGATTTTGGGGCTTGTCTTGTTAGTCTGTGAGGCCAACGATAGCAGCTACAGTACAGAGCTGTCAACAGTAGTTGTACAATTTACTGGCAGTTATTATGACTGTTAATAAACGTAACACCACTTTGAATTATGTAATTATATTTGAATATTGTCGACGTGAAGTATACCACTGATGTTCCATCTTCTAATCTACTACTAAGTAGATCTACTAAGGAGTTCACTTGTCATTGACTGACTGATGAACCGTGGGAGGACATCAACAACAAACTGCTCAATTATTTCATCATGTAGAAACAAAACAAGTTTGTGATTCTTGGTACAATCACATCTTGGATAGAAGCAATTTCAAGCGCAGTCAAAATATAAAATAATCCCTAGTCAACAGATAATTGAGCTGTGTTGTGGGATTTCAACCATACATCACTGAAAATCTTCCCAAATGACAAGCTGGGGCATTGATCTATTTTTAGGCCACCAGGAACCAAACTGGAAACTTAAGTGTTAACATGCCAACAGGGATGCAATGTTAATAACCTGCTTCATTATATAGGCAGATATATAACATGGGATCCATCAGCCTCATGGTAGGCCATTAGTTTATTACATGAAGCTTAGAGCAATGATTGATTTATATAAGAAGTGATGTCCTCACATTGCAAGTAATGTAAATGTCTGAAAGAAGTAGCTCCTAAGAACTCAGTGAGGACAAGAAGTACAACATGCAATGCACAAGTTAAAGCAAAACTACAGCAGGTGGATGGAAAATCACCCGATTTCAGGCAATATTAATATTAGTTAATAGTCAGTTATTTTTTAGTGTAAAGAGTAGGTGGTAACAGAGTGGGTAAAGCACCCCTTTAATATTGTAAGTGAGGTGAGATAGGTGAAAAACTACATACTACTCACATAAAACAGGGGTCCACTCTGTAGGATATGGGGAGATTCAATTGTTATTATGGCGAATAATAAATTGCATTAATGTCATGGATACAAATTAACTTGTAGTTCAAGCTTAACATTTTTAAAAATGATAAATTAGCGTAAGAATCTAAGCACAACCTACAGCTGTCTGTGGATGGAAATTAGCAACACGTGTTATTATAATACGTCAGGGTCTGCACCCTCAAGACCCAGATTACTGCTGGTGTCCTGTGTTAACAGGTAGTTCATTGTTTCCGCTCAGGTAGACTGTAATTCAGTCATAGGTTAGGTGGCCACAAGAACTACCTGCAGACTTATTCTGAGACTTATTCTTATGGATGTACTAAACTGATGCTTATAAGCAAGACAAGATGTGGTCACTATCTTAAGATATGACAGTCTAAAACACAGATGAGATACATGCCATGCTATAATACAAGTAATAGGCATTTTAACTTTTTTTTACAGCAGCAGAAATGGCTATGTTTGATACAGCACAAAATTACATCCAAGGCTCAATATTTAGCTACCACAAACAACAAAAACAACATGCATGTGACTATGTTTCACTGAGTGTGAACCACAATAACGGCGAGCAAATCTACAGTATTGCACATCTGAACAAATTAAGTCATTCACATAAAACACAATAATCATGCAAGTTTTAAAATGTACTCACAACTGCATTTTGTGCCTGACAGAGAGAGACAATGTAAATGCTAAATATGCTGTTTTTGGACCAGACGTTTTAACTCAATAACAGTGGTGTCTTTGAACTTGAACACCATTTGATGAGCCCTTAGTGGGCTCATGTCAAACAGATATTGTATAAGCCTATTTTAGATAAAGTAAGTTTGTTTGAGAGGAAAATGTGAGTGTAGCATGCACATGAACATGGTGTAGAAGAAAGCATGAAGACTTGCCTGTAGTTTCACTGGTTTAGGTGATTCTGGCTGTTTGTTACAGATAAACAAATGCAAATTGTTAGATTGTCTGCACACACATTTGGTGCACAAAGCCACATCGGCTACTACAGGTTTTGGTATCTCAACTTATACCTGTACTATTTGTAATCATCAGTACATCTCGGTAACTTGTGACTTCATTATAATCTCAACGAAACCCACAACAATCCCACCTCGACCAAACTGCTCATTACTTATTTCTACTAATTGTAACTCTAGTTACAGCATTATATAATGTCAAGAGAATTAACTGCTCTTAAGGTGTCGTGGGGACATACAAAAAAATCATAGGGCATAGTGGTAGTGCTTTTATTTTTCATACAACATTAAGGTCACATTTCTATGGGCTCATTCAGTTCAGTTCATGGCTTAGAGCAGGCACTGCTAACATCAATTAGAGAGATGAGAAAGGAAAATACTCACAGGAATGTTGTGGTCTTTTCTTCCTTTGTGGGAGGAGGCAACATGTGCCAGGTACTGAATGACCTTTTTTGTGTTTTCAGTCTTTCCAGCTCCTGACTCACCTCTGAGAGACAACAGAAGACAATGCACACAACAACAGACATCCTCAGAATAGTGTGTTTGAACCGTTTACGTCTGCGCCTTAGCCACTCTGTGATCTTAAAATCCTGATCAATAAAACTAACACGTACTGTACTGTTACCCTGTCCTATTTTCCACTACAAAGAAAGGCACAAATATAATCCTAAAACTCAAACCAAAGCTGGTGTGTATCTAATGATGTGAGTCTTTCTCTGCAATATTTTTTGAGCGTCAGCCCGGTTGAGGCCTGTGGTTCCTGGCGTGTGGATGTGCAGCCGGCTTTTCACTGCTCTGTCACACAGGGACCATGGCATAGAAAAACAGGACAGACATCTTCTCAAGGCCTCCAAGCCATGCACAAACTTTTGGGGGAGCAGTTTAGATTTAGATCATACTTGAGGTTTTACAGTAAGTGCAAATTTTCATACACCAAGTATGCACAAAATATTGTTTTGCTTTCAGATAGAGTGAGTGTGATGTGGCTGGGAGTAAAGAATGGGAGAGCGGTGTGTAAGTGCTGTGAGTGTCAGAGGGTAATCATGGAGGAGTTATGTCAATGTCTCTGTTGCTGGTCTTGGACTGCTGGGTGTTAGATTCCTCAGCTCCCCTATTTCAGCCATAAAAAGAGGGAGTGCTGACTTAATCATGTGTTTAATTCAACGTAATACAATAACCATGTAATAAATGCTAACCAGTGAAGCTAATACTATATTTTACTGCGTGTGAGAGCTGTTACTTTTAATTTTTAATTTGAGGATTGATTAAGATTAGGTTACTCAGGTTTGATTTTAATTTATTTTATTAATGTGTAAATTGTGATTTTTTTCAAACTTTGTTACTAATGACAACTCTCCAACGTGTTTACGCTTTGTTTGTGGTGGTGTAACCCTAACCCTCAGTTATTTTGACCCCTGTGTGTGTATATAAGGGACAAAATAACATGAGCACCTCTCCAGTAACCCTGCGTGAGTAAAAGGGCTGCTGCGTGGCTTATATCTTGATACCCTCTCTGGCATTTTCTTTGCTGACACTGCTGTCATCTGCAGACACTTGTCACTGAAAAGACGCCAGGGGGGCTGTGTAGCAGAAATGTCAGGCATTTCTCAGACCCACAGTTCTCACTTTTCTCTCAAGTAGTGACAGTCTGGCCTGTGTCACAATTTAAAATAACTGTTTAGGCCCCGGGGCAGCTGGTTCACTTGCACTCTTCCTGACCTTGTGTAATTACCAGTAAATGCTTTATTGTCACTTTCAACTTTTAATTCAGACACAAAGAGACATAAAAAGCCACAGAGAAATACAGTGGGGCTAAGTCTTGGGCCATGGTACCTACAATTGTATTAGCAACAATAACTTGAATATGCTGCAATAACAACTGTTCCAATAAAGCACAAAAAGTATTTATATGAAACTGAAAATATAAAATAAATGAATCAAGTTGACTGAGCTGCTATACTCACGTGCAAAGAATGGATTGGTCCTCTCGATCTGTGGGAGACAAGAAGAGGAGGAAAAAAGAGTCAAGCTCAGCAGTCTCTCTTTGATTCAGTCTCTACTGTGCTTTCACAAGGTTTGACTGACAACCTCATCACCAAAACACTGCACCGGACGTAAACTCTTATCAGCAGATTGTGGATTTGAAGGTCAAAGTAAAGCTTAGTGTGTGGATGTGAGTGTGCTATCAAATGTTTTTAAATATCATGTTTTTTACAACTCGAGACTAGTTTTTTATCAGGGAGACAGAATTACTTTTGTCCGGGCCTATTTTTCAGTAGGCTCAGGCTTCACAGCGTTTCACCACATGTATTTCCTGGAACGCAATGTCAGAAATGCAGAAAAGTGGCACTGTGATGTCAAATCACTGCATGGGAGAGATAAGGCAACTGTAATGTCAGCCTTATATTGGTAAATACATGGTGCAGACGGAGTTTAATTTTGAGACTTGGACTTGGGCCAGTAACCCCTAATTTTACATTGAGAACAGATTGGATTGATGACTCCTAGAATGGTGACAATTCAGTCTGCTTTGAAAGATTTAATAGGATGAATTGCTACCTTCAATTTCATTTCACAACTTAAAAGGTATGAATTTACTATAATTATAATAATAATAATAATTTGACAGCGTACGCATGTGTTCTTCAACGCACACCGAATCGTCACAGACATGACAATGGCATCAGAAGTGATTGCATATTGTTGATATTAATAACGGTAGGCTATGTTTTCATCTTGCAGAATGCTACCCCTAACACAACAGAGTGAGTGATCAAATTGGATTTTCTTACACTATTATGTTCCTGTACAGTACAGGCTCTTCTTCTACGTTTCTTTTAACACAATGTCCTCCATCCGTCTTTGCATTTTAAATTTTGGTAAATCTAGTATGACTCTTGAACCCAAATTAAGTTAATAAGACCATTCAGAAGAAGGGTCATATGTCCCCCATGGACCATGCTGGGAAGAAAGTCTCAGTGAATGTGATTCATGTCTATCTACCAGACTGTTAAATGATTATAATGAGGGATCTCTAAAAATGTCAGCTAGATTAATAAAACTAAATTTGCTTGACTGAACTGAAGAAATTCAACTGAACATAGCGTCAACCACTTACAGCATGATGACACAAATAGTGATCCAATTCATTTGTTGTCTAAAAATGTTAATGTGTGCTGTGCTGAGAGCAATTAGCACTGTGGTCATGGGGCAATAAAATATGGCATCTAATGTGTCTCCATTAACCTCTGGGGTATCCCAGTTTGGAGTGTCTTGTGAGCTCGGAGTGAGACAGATCACAGTCATCTAGAGGCCCTATAGGGGACAATAACGGTGATGATGTCATGGGAAAACAGTACTTTGTCTTCCCGTCAATGCCCCCCCACAAGGATAGGGCCTCCTGTCCAGTCACATGGCTGGCTGAGCACCTAGAAGTCCAAAGATTAGATAAAAGTCATCAGACTCTCTTCCCTCTGCACTCATTTAATGTTGCATGGTTCATTCAGAGCTAAAACCTTGGCCCTGACACTGATGAGAGGTGCAACTGTGTAAAATTTATTCAGCAAGAACAGTAGCTATGTCATAATTAAGTAATATTGAGATTAGGATTATCCATTCAGTTTTGCACTCACTGCCTTCAATTTCACATTATTGACTTAAAATCCCAGCATCATCTTCAAAATGTTGTAAATAAAATCACCCTCAGTTATAAAGATTCCACCAGAACGTAAATATGAATGCAGCTACATTATACGTGCAGGGTGGTTTGACTGTTTAAGATTAATTGTGCATCTACCTCATTTCATTCTAGCTAAGACAGTTTCCTGAATCTCTATTTGATGAGTAAGTTCCTGCTAATCAATGCGCCTGATCTCAGAGGCCATCAATACTGTAATTGTATTGCAGAGTTTACACATTTGTTAATTGAAGGAGTTGCTGGTGATTGATGATTGGCAAGCTGATGCATTAGTAGATTGGCTTGAGAGAGATAAGCCATCAATAACTCAGGGAAAGGCACATCTTTTGAGACTCCTCTTTGATAAAGCTTATAGTTAGGGCTGGATCAGGTGAGTCCCGAACCATCCCTTAGTTATGCTGCTATAGGCCTAGACTATCAGGGGATTTCCCATGGTGCACTGAGCTCCTCTCTTCCTCTCTCTTTCTGCACTCATTCATGTCCCATTAATGCATGTTACTAACTTCACTTCTTCCCCGGAGTTCTTGTGCTTTCTCGTCTCGCAGGTTCTTATCGATCCTGGTGGAGCCTCCTGCCATGGTCCTGCTAGATTGCCATTGCCAATACTGTTGTTGCTGTGCACCTGTCTGTCTGTCTGTCTGTCTGTCTGTCTGTCTGTCTCTCTCTCTCTCTCACCCCAACTGGTCGAGGCAGATGACCACCCACCTAGAGCCGAAGGATCTGTCCTAGGTTTCTGCCTTTTAACAGGCAGTTTTTCCTTGCCCTCGTCGCAAAGTGCTTGCTCATGGTGGTACTGTTGGGTCTCTGTAAATAATGTTATAAGTTCGGTCTAGACTTGCTCTATTTGAAAAGTGTCCTGAGATAACTTCTGTTATGAATTGGCGCTATACAATTAAAATTGAATTGAATTGACTTTAAATATAGCTGTGTGACTGAACAAACCGATTGTAGCCTTAACATTCACATTTATCCAAAGATGTCCTTCAGTTTATTTCAGTAGCTCACCGACTGAAAAAAGCCTGCTCAAGTTTGCCTTGAGCAAATGGTTGCAAGGCAACAAGAGCTTGCGAATGAATTGACTTTGTATCTCAAGTGTTACAACACACTGATATATACTGAATATCTCTGTTCCAGACTGAGCTAATATAATGAAACCCACTCAATGTAAGAATAATGGGCCATCAAAACCTGCTGAAATGATCTAGTACAGCAGCATTAAAAATAAGACTCTTTGCAAAGGAATGATAGTTCCACAGCAACACTGCTAGATAAGAAAAGACTAAATTTAGTGCAGATGGATTCCTCTGCCATTCCAGCAACAAGCTAACAACATGATTAAAATCACAGTACAGGGGCCGGTTCAGAGAGAGTTGCTGATCATTTAACCGTGTGGAGCAGCAGAGCACACTGGCAGAATGCTAATGAACCAATCCTTGACTGACTGCTCCCTGACCTAGGAAGCAGGGCACTGATTTTGTATTCAAACTTCCAGATTATTTTAAAATATGTAAAAATACAATACAACAGTATACAACTTTACACATGGTTTGCTTTTGGTTCTGACATTTTACTGAATCAGGCCTCTAACAATCGAGGAAACAACATGTTAGGAGGGGTCACAAGCCACAAATGTTAGGAACCACAGCTCTAAGCCATGCTGTGAACATTTCAACTCATTTTGTACATGTTGAGTCACAGGCTGAACCGTTCTGCCAGAGGTGAAGGTTTCCTGGACTGAAGTGCTGACTGTGGGGTAAAATGATGGAAGGTTATCTGACTGAGGACACAGCTGGACCGCTCATCAGTGACAACCTGGGCTTCCTGGCTTCGACCAGGAACTTCCTGCAGTTAAATACTGTAAGAAGGGGAATTGGACTAACATGCATTGCAAGCACACGCACACTCTAAAGCTACTCAGGTCATTCAGGATTTCTCAAGCTATGACGTCAACTTCTGCTCTATGCATGACAGCACACATGCAAACACAATCTAGCCCCCACCTCTTTACAATCTCTCTTTACATTCACATCCCTATCTGAATAAGACACAAAGACAACACCACTCAGAAAGCTAGTGTCTCCTTTATCAGACTGGCTGCAGACACAGTGGAAAGATATGAACCAGTCATTGTGAGACTGTTCACTTCCACTCACCAATTTGCCAGCACTGCTGCAACCCTAACAGCCTCTCCAGACTGTAAAACGCTGATTACTGGCAGAGGACTGAACTACCCAAGCAGGGGCAGTTATTTTTGTAACATTACTTGATGGTCATAAGGACTGTTTTGTGGGTTTCGCATGATTGGTAATGCTTTTGCCAGCTTCACATGACTCCATTAAGTTGGGCAGGCAGTGAAGATTCCCCCAGGTTGTATAATATTATTAGTTAAAGTGAAGACTGAGAAGTCTGAATGTCATTTGAAATATTAGATCCAGACTTTTTTGAGGGGGAAAACATTGCCAGATCTTAAAAATAGTAAGATTGTATAAAGCTGGAATAAAGAAGATAATACTCAAAGTGTTTCAGACATAAAGGTTTAAAAGACTTCATGAACATGCCACAGGCTACACAGATGTCGATAGGAGTAGTCCTCAGATAGAAAAGGTTTGCTTCAATTGTCTTGCAAACTGGTGACAGTGAAAAATTTGAGGATGTCTTGCGGCATTGACATAAACACAGCAGCTCTGCATGTGGTGTTTCTCCCAGTAACAAGGGGAGGGGGGTGATCTCAGCTCACGACAGTGAGCTCATTGTGAGGCAGTGGTACACTGGGCCTGGGCCAGTGTCTGCCACTGATGGCTAATGCCTGTATTTAGGAGTGGCACTGAAGTGCAAACACTCACCTCAGAAATCGGTCCTGCATACTTAATTTAATGTCAAGAAAAACATCAACCGAATGTTCAGAGTAATGAAGACAAATCTATGATCATTAAAGAGCACTGTCTCATTAACAGAAGGGAATATAGCTTGTCTCTATGCTGCCTGTGAAAAAAGGGGAGTCATGATGTTACTGATGATGTTTGCTTAGGTGCAGACAGTATATTATTCCATTACCCAAGTGATCAAGTAGCAGTTATTTCAGTAAATGAGCATCCACTCAACTATAATTTCAAAATTAAAGACCTAAAGTCTTCTTCAGTACCACACAGGGCTGTCCACGGCTTAGTCCTTTCTCCTACAGTAAAAACCTGCAATAAATACTGGTTAGAGCACATCAATTACACTGCAGACTTACATGATTTTTCTTGATGAAAACCTAAATTCTAATTAAAATCAACAAGAACTCTGCAGCCAG